GTCTGTGTGTGTCTGTGTGTGTCTGTGTGTGTCTGTGTGTGTCTGTGTGTGTCTGTGTGTGTGTCTGTGTGTGTGTCTGTGTGTGTTGTGTGTTTGTTTGTGTGTGTGTGTGTGTTTGTGTGTGTGTTTGTGTGTGTGTGTAAACGTGACAAGTATCTGACCGGGCCTGGCACTGGCCAGGGGCTGCTGCCCAGCCCCAACGGAAATCTCTCTCCCGCGGACGGGAGTGAGGCCTCTGCCCACTCCTCCTAAGTATAGCCAAGAGCCGCAGGTCCACTAGCTCCGCTCTCCTCTCCTCCCCGTGTGTGTGTGTATTTGTTACACACACCTATCCGGGGGCCTGACACTGGCCAGCGGCATCTCTAACCGTATACCCCAGCGGGAACGAACGACTGTGCCGAAGCACTCTCTCCTCCTTGTTGGCAGGGAGTAGGGGCGTGAGGGGGGCCACTATCCCCTCCTGCGCGATCGAGGACGTGCACACCCCCCCCACCGCAATTCCCCCCTCGAGGAGGAAAGCGAAGAGCGCAGTGGCTACCAAGGCCCTCAAACGACCAACCAACCTCAGCACGCGCTGCGGCACAGGCACAGGCACAGTTCCGCCCAGGCAGCAGCCGGCGCCTGGAGCAGCCGCCGCGGCTGCGCACCCTAGGGCCCTTGCACACCACACAGAGCTGGTGCAGATGAAAATGAGCATACTTTCATCCGCATATCTAGGCATGCGAGGCCCCAGGCGTGCACTTCCAGCGCCCTGGGTTCCCCTCCTCCCCGCGATGAGGGGTGCCGCCCTACCGGCGCCTTAAGCCCAAAAAAGCTGAACCCTACAACCAAAAGCTGTCCGCACTACGCCCCTCCTCAACGACGAACTACCAAGCAGGCAAAACCCAAGCCATGAAAAGTTGTGTCAGGCCCTGCCCCCTTTCTCCCCCTCCATACACACACAAACCCCGCGCCTCTGGCTCATAACCGCCTACTGGTCAGTTCTGCTTCTCTTTCTTTGGCAGGCAGCAGCTTCACTCGTTCACGTGGTTCGTCTTTCCCCCCCCCTCCGCCACCTTTTCGCATGTCACTGCCGTCGGCCCGCTCCTACCGTCCTGCCCCCCCCTCTACCCCCCCCCCAAGGGCATGGTCGCCGCCACCATCCACCTGGACAACCGGGACTGGTCCGCACTCGTGGACGACTTCGTGGAGCTGGGCTTCCTGCCGCCCAATCCGGATAGGGCCCTCATAATACCCGTCATGGACCGAGTGAGGCTTGGGCTTGGGCCAGAGGGGGCACGGGGTGTGTGTGTGCATATGTGTGTGTGTGTTTTGGGGGGCCAGGTGGGAGGGGAAATGGTGGGCGAGGGAAAGGGCAGACACGCGGGGTGCGAGGAAGTACGATATATGGTGCGTTGGGTCGTTGTGGACGTGGGGACGTAGTGGTTGTGGGATGGGGGGCCTGGTGCCAGGGATACTGCCCGGACGGCGACGTCACGGACACAAGGATCCCTAACCGCTCTGTACACAACCACAACCACCACAACCACCGCCGGCGGTACACGAATCTAGCAGCACCCCCCAATTCCCCCGAACCCCCCATTCCCCCGACACCCCCACCCAACCCCCCCTTGATCAGGTTCTGTCCCCCTACCTGCGCGGTGGGGGCGCAGCGGCATTCAACTTCTCCGCACTTAGTCAGGACCTGCTGGCAGCTACCCTGGAGATACCGTTTTCCGTACCGCCGTACATGAGCCTGCTGGCCAGGAGGTGGGGAGGGGGAAGTGGGCGCTTTGGCGGGGCTTCGGCTGGCTGGCTGGCTGGCTGGCTGGAGGAAGAGGGGGAGGGGGAGGGACGGTGGAGTTTTAGGGTTTGGGGTCTTGTGCCAGGTTTGGGCTGGGAGTTGGGAGGTTCGGTTGGGATCTCCGGTTGGAGGCTAGAAGTTGGGTAACAAAATGGTACATATTTCTTGACCACCCCACGGCTTTGCGCTCACGGGTTTCCCGGCACACCCTTCCCCCGCCCTTGTCCCCCGCATTCGTTCGTACGGGCAACTCCTCGGGGCGATTGTTGTACGGCTCTTCTCCCTTGGCACTCTGTCTTTGTACGGATGCGTACGACAGTGTGGCGACTCTGGAAGGTATTGCCCTGGCTGGCGACCCGCAGTACGCCATGGTTGCTCAGGCCTACCCCTTCGTGGCGAGAAAGGTACGGCATGGTACGGCGGATGGGGCACTGCAAGGACCTGTTAAATAAGCCCTAAGCCTTGGGTCACGTGATGGGTTTTGTCGGCCTGGCGGTCAGTTGCCGGGGCGGAAAAATGAAACTATGAAAGGAAACGGAACACCACTCAAAAACATACGCACGTATACACGTACACCCCCCTCCAACCCCCACACACACCCGGAAGCTACAGACACATACACCCACACGCACGCACGCTTGCTTCCTAGGCTGTTCGGTTCGGCCAACGTTGCTCTCCAAGTCCACGACAACCAAGTGGGGTGGCTACCCCATGCACACATACACTTACACATGTATGTCCGTATGTATGTCCGTATGTTTGTATATTTGTACGCGCACGCAGGTTCTTCGAAATGACTCATCCACCGCCTCGGCCTTGCTCCGAGACCTGCTTCTCATTCGGGAGGTGGCCACCCCGGGAGCTGAGGTGGGTGGCGGGGTGGGGGGGCTGGGGGGTGGGGGGCTGGGGGGTGGGGGGCTGGGGGGTGGGGGGCTGGGGGGTGGGGGGCTGGGGGGTGTTTCGTTTCCCAGTGCAGGAAAACGCACACAGACATACACACACAGACATACACACACAGACACATACACACAGACACACACACACAGACACACACACACAGACACACACACACACACAGACACACACACACACACACGCACACAGACACACACACACGCACACAGACACACACACACACAGACACACACACACGCGCGCGCGCGCGCGCAAAACGTAGCACCCGCTCAACCTATCCTCTCCCCGCCTCCTCAAATGTCCGCCCGCCATCAGCCTGCCTCCACCTTCCTTGGCGCCCATCCCCCCCCTCCTCCGTCTATCTCTGGTATCAGCTGGCCTCCTCTGCGTCCGCCTTTCACCCCCTTTCCCCCACCCCCCACCCCCCACCCCCCACCTCAGGTGGGTAGTCAGCTGGCAGCTCGCCGTCTGGCCGCCCTCCTCAATGCGGCCCTGGGCTATGTGGCGGATAGCAGCCAGGGCTTTGTGGACTTTGATGCGCTGCCGGCGGAGGGGGCGAGTGTGCAGGTCGGTGGGTGCGTGGGTGTGGGGGTCTGTGTGTTGGGGAGAGAGATTAGAAGGGCGGTCGTTTCGTGAATACCTGTGCGTGTGTGGATTTCCGCGTATATGTGTATGTCTGTATGTATGTGTGTATGAGTACGTGTGTGAGTGCCCCGCTTCCCCCCTCCCTCATCGCCCTCACCCCCGCAGTTCTTACTCCCTCTGCAGATTGGCACGTGATGTCGTTGGCGGTTGGTTCCCCTTCGGCTCTTGTGCACCATCATCATCATCATCATCATCATCACATTGTTATTATTATATGATTCCCCCTCCCTCTCTCTTTTTCCTCTACAAACCCCCCTTCACCCCCCTTCAACCCCCCTTCAACCCTGCCGTACAGGAGCTGGCCTCCTTCCTCCTCTCCGCGGAGGCCCGGGAGCTGCGGCCCCTGCTGACGGGCTGGGTGGTGGGAGGACTGGACCTGCTGCTCCGAGACCGATTACGTAAGGCCTTCAACCTGGCGACAGCCACACTGACCCCGCGGCTGCCCTTCCTGGGGTCGCTTCCCGCGCCCCCCCCGCCGCCGCTCTACGTGCCGGGGCGGGGCCTGGTGGCCGTGTCGCAGGTGGTGGACCTGCTGGCGCCCCCCCTGGAGCCCGGGGAGCAGGTAGGGGCCCGGGGGAGGGGAAATGGGTTTAGGGTTTGTGACTCTCACCTACCAACAGCTCCGAATTCGCCTCGCTCTCGCTCCCTCGCTCTCTCTCTCTGGTTGGTTCTCATTCTGTCCTGGTCAGTCGGGGCTTGCGCAGGGGCTCAACTCGGGCCTTGACACAGTTTTTTTCGCAGACGTACTTCGTTTTTTCAGTATGCCACTCTGTGTCGTACTTGGTTTTGTCGTACAGGTGTACCTCCAGCAGTTGACGGAGCTTGCGGCTGGCGTACTGGGTGAGTGAGGGGTCGGGAGGAGGTTATTGGGAGGGGGGGAAGAGGGTGGACTGTTAATGACTGTTTAAGAAAATGTTCTTTTCATGTGTGATGTATTTATTCCCTTCCCCCTTCCTGCCATCCAAAAAGATCGTCCGCCTACCGTCGTCTTATCCGTTAACGTTTTCTGAGCTATTTTTATTGCATGAAGAGGAATATGATGTGCGAGACAGCTCGGATTCTATCTTCTTGCCAAAGGAATTAAAGCCGTGTAAAGAAGTGTGATGCTACAGTGTGTGCCATCATCAACCCAGGGGCATTCCCCCTGACCTTACCTTCCTCCCTCCTCCTCCTCCTCCTCCTCCTCCCGCTGCTGCTGTCCACTATGCTCCTCCTGTTCACCACTTTCGGGACATCCTCTACCTCTCATGTGCGAAGACCACGACGTCCCTTTGGGAGCTACACGCGGGCAACACCCCTTCCTTTCCAAAGCATTTAAAAGTAATCCCACTAATGCTCTCGTCCCCCCAATTACATCTGCCGTGTCAGTCTTTCCTTAGCATCAGCTTCACTCGCTCGTGGTTCGTCTTTTCCCCCAATTACCCTGTTCCCAACCACCTCCTGATTTCATGTGTCATGACGATTCGATTCTGCTGTCCGCCGTACCAAATATGCCGTACGTAGGTGTGGAGTCAGCCACCCTGGAGTCCCCCACCTTGCAGTCCGTACTGCAGCTCGCATCCAGTCCACCCGACCAAGTTCGTGAATTGGCTGCCGTACTGTCCAACGTGGCGGGTGACGGCAGTAGCAGTAGCAGTAGCAGATTGCAGGTGGCGACGGAGGTGGCTGTCGACATTGTAGATCAGCTGGCGGGCCAACAGGCGGCCCGTCTGGGTGTGGCGCCAGACACCCTGTTCCCCTTCTGGCAGCCCGTGAGGAGCCGCATACTGCAAACGGTGGCAGCAGCGGCGACGCAGCTGCCGCTACAGGCCCCGGCGCCGGCGCCACCGCCGCCGCCGCCAGTGGCGGCTGCGGCGGTGGCAGATGCAGCAACATCCACTGAACCGCTGGCGACTTCTTCTTCGCCGGCGCCGGCGCCGGCGCCGGCCGTAGCTGCCGTGCCGTTTCCTTCAGACCCGGAGACCATCGTCGTGACTGTGGAGTCACGATAATGGGAGACGGCGTACGACGCGGCGGGGGTTTCGGAGCCGGGGTGGTTTCTTATGGGACTGCCCTTAATCTGCTGCTGCTGGTGTAGTTAGGGTTTCATGTGACCGTGTAGCGATAGGGAGCTAGAGAAAGGAGAGCAGGAGGGAGCGCCGGATGAAGGGGTCGGGTGTCCGGTTTACCAGCTGCAAGTGTGGAAGTAGTTCAGTTCATTACTGAAAATTGATTTTGCACATTGAAGGGCTTTTATACGATTTAGGTTTTATTATTGTTCCCTGGTTGATTGGAGCGGAGCGGAGCTTGCTATGATCCTGCCAAGTCTGGGGTCCTCCCTGGAGGGGAGGGGAGGGAAGGGGAAAAGGGGAGGGAGGGAGAAACTCGCTATTGAAGGCGGCCTCCACCCTCGAGGCCTGCTGCCCACATGCAGTGGCACAGGCAGCACTTATCCGTGCAGGTGTGCCACGTGTATCAAAGGATAGGAGGGCATATCGTATTGGCCTCTTAGGTGAGAGGGGCTGGCGGCAGGGAGTTGTGTGCTCCTCCTCCTGGAGCTATCTCCGGCTGCTGGACTGTGAGCAGCCGGTTACTGCTGGGGGGGAGTTGAGAGTGTGGCAGCGGCGATGGTGTCGATGGCGGCAGCATTAGCGTGAGAGTACTGATGCAAGATATGAGCGCATGTGTGTGTGTGTGTGCGTGTGTGTTACACCTCCGGTTGCGCTGCCTGCTGAGAATGCAACAAACTCCAATACGCGATGCATGTGGGATGGGAGGCAGTGGCGACGTGCGAGAGGGAGAGAGGTGAGAGAGGGGGAGAGAGAGTGCGTGTTTGACGATTGAGCGTTTCTGGTTGTTGCTGTTGTCGTCGTTGTTGTTGTTGTTCTTGTTGTTGTTGATATTGTCGTTTAAAAGTGTATATTGACCTTGGTATTGGTTTTAATGTATGGACAGCAGTACGGAAGCAGGGGAAGGCTGGAGCCATCTTGGAGCTGAGCGCCCTTCTGGTGGGGTTGCTTCGAGACCGTCGAGTGTGTGTCTGTGTGTATGCCGATGAGCAGGAGTGTACTTAGGGACCGCCGTACTGACGAGCCGTACTGAGGGGTCGTACCGAGGGGTCGTACCGAGCGTGCATGAACTTCCATGATTGGGAATCCCTTTAAAACCTTTCGAGCGTTCTCCACGTTGCGGATATCCGCGTCGGGGGAATTAAACCGTGGTCCTGGTCTGCCCGGAACCCTGGATTGCACCAAAAGCTATCGTTCATTGGAGGAAAGTTTCAGCAGCAGCGCAGCGGTGCGGCCAGCAGTAAGCACCGCAGCTTCCGGTGTAAATTTTGCTCTATTGCTGCAACTTATTGCATATGCTTCATGCTATCATTCAAGGACCAACGCAATATTAACAAAGGATGGCACACAACCTGACATCCAGTCCCAGCCGTGCACATGCAACTGGAAGCAGTCGAGCACAACACCAATTTTCGCAATGCCACTCTTCGTTAACCAATCGTCACAGAAAACGACCTGCAAAACCATTAGAAGTCCCGCCATTGCGATAGAGGAAAGCCTTCTAACCCTTCAGCGGGCCACAGCAAGAGGTACGGATCTCAATAAAGGTCCATGCGGAGGTCCGCCGTCTTGTGTACGTCATCCTCATCTCGTAGTCCGCTCAAATCAGACCGTTTCGTCATTTAGCCTGGTCCGAGGTGTTTATTTTTATAAATCCTATCCGAAATCCGAACGCGACACCTGCACGGCCTTCCTCCCTGAACGCTTTCAGAAAGGCAGCCGCGCCTTGGGGAATCAATCAATCCTCGTCCATTCCTTCACCTTCTCCATCTTGCTCATCGCCGCTTCCATCAAGACTCTCGCTCTCCGCCTCCTCGTCTTCCTCATCCGCATGCACGGCTCCACGCTTACGTTGCCGTCCGGCTGCCGGCGACTTGTCAACACGCGTGGTACGACCGCCGCCGCCAGCGGCCCCTTGTTGGCCGCTGCGGCCGCCGCCGGCTCGCTTCGCACCAGACGCCCTGGCTGCGCGTCTCGCTCCCGATCCCTCTGCGCTCGCTTCACCCGTGTCCCTTTCGCCGGCACGCTCGTCGTCCTCCGCCGCCTGAGGTTTGCACCATGAAGGAGCCGTGCTTCGCAATCTCTAAAGTGACTATGGATTAAGTATGGAGTATAAACAGAAACAAGCAGCACCTGCAATTGTGTACCAGCTGAGGCGAAGGCAGTCAGCCCACTAAGTCAAAATGATGCGCGATGCGCACCTTGTGGCAGCTGACTTTAAAAGCGAGCAATGCATAACCCACGTCCATTAAGGCCCAATCCCCATTACGGCACAGCACCCTCCCCCCACGCACACATCCGCCGCGCAGCCCCCCACCTGTAAGAACTGCAGTGCGTCCTCCCGGTTGATGGCGTAGACCCGGGAGATGCGGTTGGTGTGCGCCACTCCAAACAGCCGGTCCGCCTCTGTGACGATTTGCGGGTGGAAGGTGGTCACGATGAACTGCGCCGGGTTGATCGGGTCGTGAGCCTGGCGACGCAGCATGGCGGCCACCGTGGTGCGGTATTGCGGGTCCAGCGCCGCGTCAATTTCATCAAAGAGGTAGAAGGGAGCAGGGTCGCAGCGCTGGATGGCGAAGATGAGGGCCAGGGCCACTAGCGTCTTCTGACCGCCAGATAGCGCCCGCATGGAGACCTGCAAACAAGGGTGGAAATGGAGGTGACTGGAGGGCAACTGCCATCCACCTGCTCGATGGAGCCCTTGGGTTGTAAAAAGTGGACGGACGCGGAATGACTTCTGTGGCGACCTCTCCTCCAGTTCAAAACGGCCATGGCTTCAGCAAGATAGGCCCACAATAAACTAAGGCAATAGGAAGCCAGCAGGACAGAATGAAGAGCGGCTAAAAGAGTGTTTGTGTGAGTCGCGCCGCGCCGCGCCAAAAGGCAAGCTTCCACCCTAAAAGGGCGACGCGGCCTTCATCACGCATCTCCAATGGCTGACCCATCCCACATGAGCTGTCGCCAGCAAAGCCATTTCGGTGTATTTTCGCCCCCTCATGTGCTCACCGCCTCGCCGGTGCCAGCAAACCGCACTTTGACCTTGACACCACTGTACTTCTCCGTCGTCGTGGTTGCACCCGTCCCGCCTCCATCCTCCTCGTCTCCGTCCCCAGCAGCACCCCGGCCCGCCGCCCGTATCATCACGAGCTCACCAGACCCGCCTGCATGGCGACGGACACAGAAATGGTTCAAAAATATTACGGTGGAAATGTAGATGTTCGGGAGCGGAAGTGTACAGGCAGCGCTGGTGTAGTGTGAAGTGGCTCCGCCTCGAGAGCCGAATGCAGAGGGCCCCGAATTGACTGCCCGAGTTGGTGACATCTGGGCACAAACAGATCGCAGGTGGGATGGCAGCAAGACTTGAAACTTTCAACTCGGTAAATGAGGTAGGCGAACCAGGTCGTTTACTCCCAGCGTGGACATGCCGAAAAAACACCGCCAGGCCGTGTCGTCCCAGCGACATGCCGCAGGAAAGCCCCGCAAGGCAGTTCACTGTTCACGACGTACCGATCAACTAGTCATTATCCGGCAAGTCGTTACGACCTACACTCGAATTGAGAACTCTTAGCCAACCCTAGCCTATTGAATTTACCTGGTACCAGTGCGGCGAACACCTCCCGGAAATTCTTGGCGACGCCCTTGAAGGTTCGCTCTATGGCTTCGTCCTTGCGCATGTCCAGAGAAGTAATGAGCTCCTTGATCTTGTCCTTAGCAGCTTGCTGCGGGGGATGTTTTTTTGGCGTTCAGGATGTAAAAGCTGAAAGCTATGTATGGGTTCAGGGCGGTGGTGGCACAGCAGCGCTGAAGGCGTTTGACCTAGTAGTAGTTCGGTGCACAGATGACCGACGTAAGGCAAGCGCCTAGCACGAAGCTCCGACCTCCCCTCCACTGTGCCAGCACAAGAACAGTAACTGATGCCCTCATCCAACTGCCCAGATACAGACGCACGATGACCATGCACCTGTGACCGCACCCCGAAACGACCACTACCACATGGACCAGTGGAACCTATGCAGTGGAACTGGAACCTATATGCCATACGCAACAATCAGGCAATGAAATGGACACAAATGGCAGAAAGGAAATGGAATGGAAGAAAATGGCTGTCAACCCCGGTAGATTGCCGATGCCTGGCTGCTGCGTCTTGCGTTTCGCGTAATTCAGAACGCGACTGACGCCGGCTCGTGCTGAGTGTGCCTCCTGCTAGACCGTCTTCCCTTCATTACTGGGCATCCCCTCCCATCCGCCTGTGGCCACGTGCACGCGTTGTCTACCTGCTCCTTGAGCCTGGTCGCCAACTCCTCTCGTTGATTGGAGAAGTCCACGTACTGATCCAGTGCCTTGCGGTTCACTCCGGCGAATCGCTCCAGGGAAGCAGCCACCTCCTCCAGGGCGCGCATTAGCTCCTGCACAGGTGGTGGAGCATCCAGGGCCAAGGAATTGCCGCACGGCAGTGCGAGGGCTCCATGCGGTGGAAAGGAACCATGCTCTACTTCGCTCTACTGGCCTTGTTTGGCCACAGCAGCTACTGGTTAAAACCCTAGGTACGAAAGGCCTTAACAGTGGCGATACGGCGGTCAACTCGTGCTACCTCGGCCTCGAGTCACTAGCTCGAAGGGTAATAACGGACAAATAGTCCCGAAGAATGTACCGCGTTTAAAATTACAGACGGGGAATACCCCACGTTAAGAATTGCAGTTCAAAGATGCCAAGGTGAGAGTAACAAGGCATGATGGTCCGACTTCATCAGCGCTTTCTTTCCCATCCTTCGCCGCCCCAGGACTTCCGCACCCGCACCCGCCCACGTCCCGGCACTCGTGCTCCTCCCCACCTACTTTGGTGCTGCGGTCTCGGTAGGCTTTATCAAAGGCGTCCTGGGGCAGTGAGCCCAGGTCCCTGATCTTGCGGTCCAAGTCGGTCGCGCGGCCCTGCAGCGTCGTCCGCTTGTTGCCTAGGGCCTCTAGAGCCTTGGCACTGTCGGCGGCTGTGGCGGGTGAAAAGGTCGATGCACACGGGAACGGCGTGCGTGAGTGGGGTCGGTTGACGGTATAAATGCCGCATGAGAGCACGGAGGACAGCGGCAATAGCGTTCGTTGTAATTCCCACAGCCGGCACTAGGGAGCTCCGAAACAGGTTGCAAATTTGCGTGCATGCTTTGGACCTTCTTTTCTGGAGGGCGAGCTTCCGGCTTTACAGCAATGCAAGCTGGCCGGGTAACTGGTGACCGATTTCCTGGACCATATCCTAATCAATCTGTCCCGCCCCGTCCCGCCCCGCCCCGCCTACCTGCCGCCTCCTGTTTTCCTGCCGTGTCCTTTAGCTCCTCCCGCTTGCGCTTCAGTTGGTCCAGCTGCCTGCCCAGCGAGACCGCGTGCTTCTCTGCCTCCGCAGCCGCGCGAGACGTCTCCTCCAGCGACCGCTGCAGAGCGGCTAGGTCCCCCTGGCGTAGGGCCAGGGTAGCCCTGTGAGGTAAACAGACCGGGCGGCAATAACGAGCTAAACAAGGCCGGGCGGATAAGCACCCTGCATGAATGGCATGGCGAGCGCCACTGCAGCAACGGCAAAACGTTAACACCTTTTGCATTTTCACCTTGTAAGCGCTGCGCCGCACTGCACACGGCAAAACCAGCTGTCTGTCCTGATAGGTACGCATGCTTGATGTGCATATGGATAACAATTTTGCACTTCTGCAGAAGGTAACTGATCGCGCGCCCCGGTGAGCACCGCACGGGCCCCAAGGACAGGTAATCCCTTTGTTCCTGCCGATATGCCCACATTAACAAGCCTACGCCGCTTCCGACCCTTTTCAATTCCCCCCAAGAGCCCCGCACCACAGCAGACGGAGCCCTGCGTCTCATCGTCTCACTTGTCGTTCACCGCGTCGTCCGTAGTGAGCGCCTCCTCGTACTGGGCCACGTTGCGCAGGAGCACGCCGTTGAGGTAGGCCTCCGCGGCCTCGACAACGGCCAGCGCCTGGTCTCGGCTCTCGGCAGCTCGCCGCAGCTGGTCTCGGAGTTGCTGGAGAGACATGTTCAGACCCCTGCAGCAGGCAGGGAGTGGCACGAGCCCAGGAAGGTAAAAAGATCACACGTTGGCTTTACGGACGCCCTCCCCTTCCCCCCATTAGTGTGTGTAACTTGTAGCGAAGGAGTGTGGGCCAAGATCGAGCCTCTTCAGGGGCATGCAACAGCAGGCCATCATCCCCGCGTAGCGCTCTCGAACCGCGGGGAATCCAATGTGTCAAGTGTCAAGGCTGGCGCAGGCGGGATTGGGCCGTGACGCGAAGGCGTCACCAAGAAGGCGTCACGAAAGGGCAGACACGACATGGCCGCATGCTGCGTCGCCTCGCGCCGGAATTGGTGTGATCGTGGCCTGGATGGTTGTGTGAAAAGAATAACCTTTCCTGCGTGTCTTCTCCCTACAACACCCCAACGTACGTCATCTCGCTCTGCTCCGCGGCGGTCAGTCTGGACGTCATCTCGGTCCCCAGCTCCCTGCGTAGAGTTTGTAAGTCGGCCTGGACGAGGGGGAAGGGAAAGGGTTGGATGGGCATGGGTCCTAAGAAGGCAAAATCCTAAAGTGAAGATTGAATGTATAATCGATGTATAATCGCAGAAAACTTTGGGCTCGCCACGTAGTCCCACGCGCTGGGGCACCGGGTCGAATCCCGCATGTTCAATTAGTCTAATCAGCCAAGGACCATTTTTTGGCACATCGAATATACGCCGCGCGATGTCCTTTTGACGCACATCCTCTCAGCCAGGACCAGCCGTCAAACAACGCGCGCCAGCGCGCTGTCGGCTTTTCCATCCCGGCTTCGCACACCTGCCACACACGCCCCCGCCTACTTGCCACTCGAGCTGCCGTGTGTCAAGGATATGTTACCCTTACCACCCACAACATCACGCCTTCCGCGCGTAGGCCTCTACACCCTGCGATACCGCCGGCAGTCATGCCCAAACCTCACCCCCGCCTCCTGGTCCCCGCCTGCCTCACCTGTATTCGCCCAATGTCCGCCTCGTACGTCGCCAACGTGCGCTCGTGTGCCTCCACCTGGCGCCGTATCTCCACCTCCTCGTCACGCCGGACCTTGAGATCCACTTTGCGGCTGCGGGCCTCGTCCCGCAGCTTACGCCGCTTTACCTCCAGCTCCTCCACCTTGCGAGCGGCGGCCTCGAACGCCTCACTCAGGGCCACCGCCGCATCGCTGACCTCCTTTTGCTTCTGCTGCAGCTGGGTCACCTGCCGCCAAGACACACACACACACACACCGGCGCGGGGCCCCGCGCGGTGAAAAGAAACTCAGGAGTTGAAAGGGCAGGGAAAGAGTGTATCGCCGGGAGGGCGGTACGGGGTCCCAGCTTCCGCGCGGGTAACCGGACTATCAGGGAGGATGCAGGCGTTACTGGTAGAGGAGTATTCATCTGGTACTGTGCAAGGTTTCTGTGGTTAGGCTAGTTGCGATGGCGAAGCGAGGCGAGGCGGAAACCGCGCGCCAGTCAGATGGGACCGCAGGCGCAATAGGCACAGTAGGCACGGAGTTCCCATGGCCCTAAAGTCAAGAACATATCAGACGGTGCTCATCTTGGCATGGACATCCATGACATGGGCAAAGCATGGCAAAGTTGAGCGGGGGAGCTGCCGCCGATCGGTTTCGTGCGCACCTCCCGCCGTGCCGCAATCAGCGCGTTGAACACTGCCAGCCGCGCACGGTTCTGTGGCAGGTAGCCGCCGCTGATGTTGCCCCGCCGCCCGAACTTCTCGCCGTCCAGCGTGACACAGTCAAACTTGTCTGTCGAGCGGCAAACCTGCGGGTCAAGGATGAGGATCAGCCGCGCGTTGTCAGAATGCACTGCCAGCGGGCCACAAGGACGTGGGTGCTTGTTTTGCGAGGCAATAACACTAAAAAGGATTAAGCCGAAAATCCAAGCAAAGGGGAAATGAATGCAGGAGGTCGCCATCTATCGTGCGGCATCTGATTCCGACCACCCCTGCCCTACGCACCTCAGTGGCCACGTTCTTGTCCTTGCAGAGCAGCGCCTGGCCGAACATGTCCTTCATGGCGGGGCGAAACCTCGGATCGGTTTGAATCTTGCGCAGCATGGGCACCACGTCCGTGCCGAATCTGCATTGACCCAGTGGCGGCGGCGACGGCGGGTGGCACAACGACAATAGTGAAAGAACCCGTGAAAATAATTAGTTGGCCATATTCGAGTTTGCCGCCGCGGATAGAGGCACCATTTGGACATTGGTTGGAAAATAATTTACGCAGTGGTGGCCAAGTGAGCGGAGAACCTGCACTAAGAGAAGGTACCGTACCCTGAACGCCCTCAGCTGAAACCAGGAAAAAAACTGCTTACTGGCTGGGAGGTTCAATGTCGGGCAGCGTGCCCACCCTGTTGAGCGGCACAAAAGTGGCCCGGCCCAAGTTTCGCTCGTGCAGCTGCCGTATCAGCCGAGCCGCCACCTCGTCGCTCTCAACCAGCACGTCGAACAAGTGATTGCCTGAGGGTCGCAGGTGCGGCAGGCAACGATTGATCACGGGGCGAAAGGCGGGACCAGCAAGACAGCCCCCTGCCAAGCCGGCAGTCCGCAGAAGTGCAGGCCGGGACGGAGCAATGGCCCCTCCCTCCTGTGCCGTGAATGCGTGCAGGATGGACCAGCAGGACATTCCGACTCCCGGTAACTCCACCACAAGTTTAAATGGTGCAAGGTCCAAGAGGACGTGTAAGCCTTTCCCTAGTTTCTTCCACATCTCTTCTGAGCAAGGCAGCTGGGCAGCAGCAACTCAGGTACTATATTATCATTATATTATCAAGGCCCCCGCCTTTCAACTCCAGCATGAATCTGTGTCCTTACCCCAGTCCTCACCCATCCAGTCCCATACCACCTGCAATCGTGTCGATGGCGACGTGGAAGGTCTCGTGCGTCCGGATGTGCTCAATGACTGCGCCGTGCACGCCCTGCATGTCCGCTCCGAACTGCCGCCGGAGCGTGTCCAGACCCTGCATGCCCTTTCGCACGTCTCCCGGCATGCACTTGTCGTACGACTGCAAGGTGGCGACGGAAGGCGGAAGGTCGGAGGGGGCCGACAAGTGGAAAGTTATTGGCACCATTGCAAAAAAAAAATCTTGTTAAGGCAATATATAACATATCTGTAAAGCTGTTACAACAGCTATATATTTTTCCGTTGCTCCAATTGCTGTTGGAGCGATGCAAGAGCGAGGCGGTGGTCGCGAACCCACTTCATCAGCTTCGGACTGTCAGTCCGTTGCCTTTGCCGTCCTTCCACCGTCCAGAACACTCCCCATACCGCACCTTCTCGTACCAGTATCCTTGATGCATAGCTCCCCTTGGGAAAAGTAAGATAGCACAGTCAGGTCGAAGGCTCGAAACAGGACAGACTGTCGGTGCATAACTACCCGTACAACCGAACCTCCGGTGCAGACTACCGCTACAGAGCTAGCTAGCTGCTATAAGAGTCATGTGAATACCACCTGGTTGGTGCACTCCACACAAGCTACACGCCCACCCGGGGGGAACCCCTTGTTACAGTTAACTGTATTCCCCGCATCCCGGCATTAACTGTATTCCCCGCATTCCGGCATTAACTGTATCCCCCGCATCCCCGCAGTGCAGCGCAGCACACCTGCTGCATGGCCTTGGCGTTGTCCACGGCAGCGCGGACCGCCCTCTCCGCAAACTCCTCCTCACGTTGCTTGGCCTTCCGGTCGTCATGCAGCTTGGCGCGGGCTGCCGACGCCTCCGCGTACTGCTTGTCCGCCTCCACCACTCGGGCCTCCAAAGTTTGGACCTCCGCTGCAGGGCGTCACGAGGTGTGCAATGAGATGTTGGATGTGCAGGCCCCGAATAGGTATAGGCGCCGTCGTGCAAGCTCACGGTACGACAAAATAGAAGGAAAGCGACGACTGAATTAAATCTCAAGCCAAAAAACCATAGACGCCATGACAGGCCATGGGCACCATCGCTCCCGTCCTATCTGTTCACGGGGCGGTGCTACATACGCTGGTTTGGCAGTACCTTTGCATTTATCCCTCAGGCGCTATTGGAAACCTTGCAAAGATTCCCAAAAAACTCAACGGACGCTGCCCAGAGTCAGTACCCTGCGCTGTCACTAAGAGTACGCGCCAAGGGTCTTTACGCGACACCCCACACCCTCGCTCGCCCAAACCCAACCTGAACTCCAACTCCAGGGACACCTATCGCAATCCAATACCCGCAGCTTTTCTCCAACTCCCCCTCCACGCACAAATCGCCCACGAATCCCCACCCGGTGCTGCCCGCTCTCATTCACCGCCACAAGGCGCCAGACCGTATTGTACAAGCCACGCCAGATCCCTCCCGCTGCAGATCCCATTCGCCGCCCGCACCGCCTCCTTTCCTGTTGCCCCTTTCCAGTTGCCCCTTTTTCCTGTTGCCCCAGCAGCTTCGTTCCCCCAGCCCGCACAACCACCCACCGTCCAGGTCCCCGATGGTTTGACTGAGCTCCATAAGCAGCTCGTTGTGCTGCTGGTTCTCAGCTTGCTGGCGGTCGCGGCCCTGGCGCTTGGAGGCCAGCATGGACTCCTTGGCCGCAATCTAGAACAGGGGGGCAGGAGGATCCGGGTGTTGAGGGTAGGAGTGGGTTGGAATGTAGTCGTGGTAAGTCACCGTGTAGGATGTGGTCACAGGTGGGAGGGATAACGTTGGCGACCGCGCGACGGGAATGGTTTATGGGATTTTATGGCTCCGGAGACCATGGATGGCAGCGGGTAACACTGCCGGTCAGTGGCAACGCAACCTGATAACTAGAACGTAACGAGGCCGAGCCGAAGCAAACCGAGCTTTTTTGACTCCGAGAGCCATTACGGGTGTTCGCTGCGTCAGTCGCAGGACGTCGCTAACAGCGCAGGAAATGGGGGCAAATGGAGCAAAGGAAGGGGATTCCGAGCCTCATGCGCACCTCCTTTCTCAGCGCAGCGTCACGTTCCTCCCTTGACTTGTACTGGCTGCTTGCCCCCTGCTTTCGGTAGAGCGCTGCCAGCCGGGACTCCGCCTCCGTGATGCGAGCCAGCAGAGCAGCGTGGGCTGACTCAGCATTGGCAGCTGCCTCGCGCAGCTGCACGTGACACGGAGCAATCCGGATGTAAGGAAGCACAGGCAAGGGAACGGGATGGAAATCTGGAAACGAAACGAGGACAATGCAAACGGGACTCAGGTATCGATTCTCCACACACCATAAACAACCCTGCTGTGCCTTCGCCGGGACCTACGGGCGACCCCTGCCATACCCCGCAGCACGAGCATAATACCTTCTCCATTTTGCCATGCTCATCCGCCACGCTGGCCCGCAACGTTTCCAGCTCCTTTCGTGCGCTGCCCGCCAACACCTCGGCGCGACTAATTCGCCGCCCCAGATCGTCCATCTCCACTTCCGCACGCGAGCGCTGCGCCGTCAGCTCCTGCTTGCGAGCCTGACCACAACGACACGACGAGCACGCGCGACGAAATTACGTTGTTTGCAAGAGGACGCAATTGCAAGAGGACGCAACCTTGTGCTTGCTGTTGCGGACATATGTGTCCTGAGAATGTTGTTTAAAACACGGGATATATCCAAAAGGACTCGCGTTTCAGGCTGTGGGGAGGTGCAGACAAGAACCGCCTGAGAAGGAAACACCGCGCCGCCCTCACCTGCAGCTCCTTCGCCTGGTTCCCGGCCACGCCAAACTCCGCCTCCAGCGCACGGATCTGGCGCTCCAGGTCCTTGAGCTCTGCGGAGTGCCGGCCCTGGTCATCGGACACAGCACCGACCGTCTCCCGTAGGCGACTGGCCTCCCGCTCCAACTGCGGGTCAGATGCAGCAGCAGGCGGTCCGAACTGGGTCGCATCTCATACAGCAATATGAGATGTGAGCATGCGACGCATACAGCGGTGGACAGCGCATGTCGACAAAAAACAATCAACCAGGCTGGCTATGCTGTCAAGCCAGGAATGGAAGATGATGACCCAGCCAGTCCAAAGAATGGAGTGGAAGCCACGAACGAAAGTCCCAAAAACAAACGTGGGCTACGGCTGGGTTTTCATACAGTTGAACCATGGTTTCCTTGCGCCATGGACAACGCATTGCGATTGTACTCGTCTCAGGATGTTCAGGCCCTTCGAGGTACACCGCGTTGTTGGGAAGGCGACGTGTGCACCTGAGTGTCAGCTGAGACACGGACCGACCACACAAAGTCAACCTAGACAGGTATTGCCACATTAACCTCTTGACTTCAAATCCCTTGAAGTCAATCTGTGCTGCAATCTTCAAATGCAACATCGTTGTCCTGGTCCATGATGGACTCCACCTGCTGGGCCGCAGCACGCCTTAGCTCACCAAATTAGGTTAGCCATCCCACCTTTTCAAGATCAGCATGCGCCTTAGTCAGCTCCTTGTCGTACAGGGTGTACTGCAAGCAGCGCCGCCGGCGGTCCAGCTGCTGGAACTCCAACAACTCGGCGCGCTCTGTGTCCAGCTCCTTCAACTTGTCCTCGAGCTCCGAAAGCTGGGATGAGAAGGAGCATGCGGAGGAGGCGGCATATAGGAAGTATGGACAGCGATTGATAGCTGCTGTAGCCCTTTGTAGTGGGAGACCCCCCATCTCTTGCACGTGCGACGTCCTCCAGGGTGCGCAAGCAGTGTTTGTAAGCTCTGTGCCCCTTAGACGGGTGCTGCCGCGAGCGCCTATCTTCACACATCACCGCGTCACGTCGGTTGTCACAATGTCGCCCGTTCCCCAGAACAGCCCAAATCAGAAACAAATACCTGGCTCAGGCTCAGTTGCAATATATATCGTCCTGCCTTGCCTCCGGAACCAACCACGAGCTGTCAACGTTCAAAACGGCTATAATCCTGGAATCCATGCCGTGCGTCATGGGAGTTGCCTTACCGTGCTCTTGATCTGTTGCCCGCGGCTGTCCGTCTCTTGCAAAATCAGCAGGCTCTCCTTGCGCCGCTCCTCGTACACGCGAGCACCTCCAATCTCCTTGAGAAGCTCCATACGCTGCGCGTCCGACATGGCGGCCATGGCAGTGATCTTGCCCTGCGAAGGGGAGGACCCATAGCAAAAAACATGGAGGTACTGCAGCTTGTCCCAGCAGCTAAGCGGCCTAGACGTTCCAACGTTTCCGAAATGCGCGGCCCCAGGGCCCCGAGCCAGGGATCAGCGCGAGGAGAGGAGGACACCTTGGCCGAGCTGCTGTGGATGGTAGAGAGCCGCATGAGCACAACGTGTACCAGGCCTTCGTTTATTTAACTCAAGAAACAGTAAAAAGGGCTGTGTTGCGCTATGTAATAATAGTGCGCTACAATCGTACAGTAAATCTACACAGCGCGACACAGCACAGCCGTCCGTGTAATACGAGAGTCATTATCCCCCGAACCACCCGCAGCCAATTACCTGCTGCACGATGTAATATGGGTTGCTCTTGCTGAACCCGGCGCTCTCCAGGAGATTGCTCACCTCGGACTTGCTGCGGGTGCGTATGCCATAAGGCCCAGCTTCTCAGCAGGTGTAACAGACAGCAGCAAATCGCAACAAATGCAGCACACGCCTGCTTGTTTTGTGAGGCGGGCAGCCACCTGCACCGCGTTGCCGAGCCCGTGACAGACTCTGGCCCCCACAGGCTCTGTCTGCATCCCTGGCTGGCCATTATACCCCAGAAACGGTCGCACGATGGCGCCTCAGGCGCTGCTTAGTTTGCTGCCCAACCTCCATACAACCCGGTCAAACACATCCGAGGGCTCATGTTACTGGCTTTGCAGCCCTGATGTGGTTCATGCAAACCAGGGCCTTATGAAGAACCCCACATAAGGCCCAAAGAAACAGTCAGCGCGGCACTCCCCCCCGTCAGTTCCCCACTTACTTGATGTGTTTTTTGTCCAGTGTGTAGTCGTCCTTTTTAGCAGTAATTGTACGCCGCAATCGGATCTCACTGCGGTCAATCTAAATTGATCCAACCCGGTAGTTGGGAGGAAAGCATGCAGCGATAAAAGGCCGATGAGTTACGCAAGTCGTAGTCACGTGATGACGCACCCGCCGTCTCTTTGATAGAAACAGGAAGATGCCTCAATAGTATAGCCTGGCAGGGTAATTCTGCGTTCACCCCCATGGGTGTTCGGCGCGGAGCCTGCTAAGCGAGAGGATGGACGGTAACACTGAACCCGTGAACCCAGTTCAACGCGAGAATACCACGTGCCAGCACTCACGGCGCGTCAACACACTGCGCCCTGTCCCCCTCACGCTCAACTACTCGCACGGGGCTTAGACTCATAGCGCGCAACGAAACTCACCGGAAAGCGCCCGTCTGAGTTGTCGAACACGAGTTCCACCCAAGCGCTGGACATTCGATGTCCAGCACCCTCCTGCAGCAATGTTCAAAATAGCAAGGCAAGCGCCGTTCGTGCTTGGTGTACATGACATGGGATCCCGCGTTGACCCAGATCGATGTGGGGGTCATGAAACTTTGTGTACATATGCATTGCTGAAATGTAAGTCGGTTCACGAAACATTAATCAAATCAATTCATGCAGCTCCTCCGGTCGTATCGTGTCAGCCGACGCGCTGCATTGAGTCCAGGCCCAGCATGTGACTACATTTTTTGCGAGGGTATGTGGTAGGCAACTCACGTGTAACAGCTGGAGCCGCTCGTCCCCTCGCATGTTGATAAATGCATCGTTAAGGACGAACCGAATCGCTGCATGACATTGGTTGCAAAGGCGGGTATTAGTACAAGTTAATACGTATGAAGCGGCCGTTTGCGCATTAGAGGGACGGACGGAGGGAGGCAAGTAGCGCAGGTCCTCGTGTTCCCGGCCTCTGCACATGCCCATGCCCATGTTACCAAGGCCCAAGCTGCTCGTCCCCAAATATAACACGAAACCTCGCCCCCGCCCTTTGAGCACTTGGGCCTTTCCTCAGCCCTACCCCTCAGCATACCGTGGAAAAAGTTGGACTTTCCCGAGCCATTTGCGCCCACTGCAGTCAGCCATAAGGAAAAACAGCTGGTTTGACATATGTCACGGCTTCTACGGTGTTTACAAGGCCCTGGAGAGCTACTTACCAACTACATTAATTTTGGGATCAAAATCCTCCGTGTGCGTCTGGTCCTTGTAGCTTTTAAAGCCCTCAATGAGGACCTGTAACGACAGTTGACAGCGACAGCCGCCGCATCCGGTATAACACGTACAGCTCCAAAAATGCTTTGAGTACGATCATACGCTATGTGCGTCCAATCGGACCTGTTTGATGTGCATGGTCTATTGAGGCTGCCTGGCCCTTGGCCCCACAGCTGACCTCCGAAGATGGCCAAACAGTGCCTCACAAGGGAAAGGCTTTCATTAAGCACATGAGCAAAGGGCTTTTCCAGGCGTACACCCTAAGAAAAGACAAGACCTTGTTTAGAGCTAAGACCTGACCTTGTACTGAGGAAAGATTGGAACTATCCCATATTGTCCAAGAAACGTTAGACGTCATAAGGCCGTGACACAGCATAAAGAAAGTCAGTCCATTAGGCCTGGGCTCCCGCTTGTTTTCCTCATGCTATGCATGCCGCGCGTACAACATCCCGTCACTGCATGCTGAGATGCGGTCATCCTTTCATCGCACGTCACAGATTGATTATCCTCACTTGGTTATTTTGCTCCAAATTAATATGTTGAATCATGTTACAACTCGGTGCATCATTATACGGACTTACCTTGTTGGCAATTAGAGACAATTTATAATTGCTTAGTGTAAATTTTGCAACCACATCTTGTTACTATATTTCGGCAACACCCATTGGGTCTTGGGTGTTGTCTTGTAACGATAACGTGTTGTCTATTCACTCATATCGCGGACTCCCCCTTAGGTTTTCCTAGGTTTTAAGGATTTGCAGCACGCATAGTATCAACGAAGGCTCACAGTACTAGGCTGACCGTAGAGGACCGTGGGCCGCCGATTACTGTCGGCGGCGGTGCGTGCTTATTTGGCTTAAGAAGCCACCTACGCTACGTTGAACGGAATATTTGTGCGAGGCTCTAGCTAAGCTAGCTGAAGAGTTTCGCTATCGCGATGGCCGGCAAGGAGCATCGGAAGTCGAAAACCGGCAAGAAGGCGGAGAAGCGGAAAGCAGCTGACAAAAAGAAGCGGGGTGTCACGGATGAACAGCGGAAGCAAAACCCCAAGGCGTTCGCCTTCCAGTCTGCAAACAAGGCCAAAGCCCAGCAAGCGCGCAGTGCGGAGAGGGAGCAGCGTCGATTACACGGTAAGGCGCAAGGCGGCATGTTATGCGGGAACGATCAAGCTCAAGCGGGGAGGCCAGGGGGAAAGCGCCTATGTGGTCCTTGGGGGGCAAAATGGATATCGATAGGTTCCCGGGCAGGACTGGGGTTCCGAGGTGAGCGTCTCTGAGGCGGCAACTGGGTGTGCCGAATAACCGCGACTATCTTTTCATCTAACCTGCTTCTGATTCCCCTTCCTGTCCCTGACTCAACACCCTGCTAATGTGCCCTCTGCTGCCGCGGCACCTAGCCCCCCTCCTGGACAAGGCAGCAGAGGAGCCGCCCCCCTTCGTGGTATTGGTCCAGGGTCCTCCAGGGGTAAGTGAAGCATCTGGCTATCTGCAGTGAAGCCGTTGGCTGGTGGCAGCGTTTTTCGGCATGGTCTCGCAAGGGTTTGGCAAGGGAAGGGCTGTATTGAAAGCCCTCCGCGGCACCGAACGCGGAAATAGCATGGAGGGCGGCATGCGCACCAAACGCGTTGTGCTGCTGGGCACAACCTGTCCAAAAGATTTACTCATCGTGGAACAAAATGCTGGTTGTGATACGGCAGGCCATGAGGTTTCGCTAATGCTTTTCGACGTGCTAACTAACCGCTCTGGATGAGTTATCAAACCCGCCCCCCACCGGCGCGCCGGCCCCATGAGCACAGTCATCTGTGTTCCCCAACTCCAACGCCATATGCATCATTTGCAGCAATCCGTCTGACTAGGTACTCCTACTTTTCCACTGCAGGAAATGTTGCTTGACTTTTGTTATGTTCGTAACCGCGTATTGAGGAGCCTACTCTTTTATTGAGCTGTGTCTTGGGACCTGTGTTCTTCCGCGGGTTAGCCTCAGTCCCTCCGCCTCGTCGATTGCCATTGACGGGGGGCCCTGGTCCACGGGCCTTGTGACAGGTGGGCAAGTCAACGCTCATCCGCTGCCTTGTGAAGCACTACACGCGGCAAAATCTGTCGGACGTGCGCGGGCCTATCACCGTGGTAGCGGGCAAGAAGCGCCGCATCACGCTAGTAGAATGCCCGTCGGACTTGTGCGGCATGATGGTGAGTGGCGACCTGTGCGCGCCGATTCGCGTGTGTTTCTCTGCATGAAGTGATGGTGCTGCGGTGAAGTTGGGGAGTAAGTGATTTGAAGGGCATGGGCGCTAGCAAAGTAAAAAAAGTTATGTCTGATCAGTGCGGATGTTGTTGTCGTTGTTGTTGTTACAGCGGGCTACCAAGTTTTTACACTGTAAAGCAAAGAAACCGAGCCAAAGGGCACATCGCCTGTCGCGGTAATAGGCACGCACAACACATCAGCAAGCTCGGCTACGACTAATAAGACCGGACTAGCACTGCTGGTGCCAACAGGGGGGACTTGCCAACATGGCTCCCCTATGAGCCATGACAAACGCATGCCTACTAAGTGTGGATGTATCAATAAGTTAACAGTATGACTTAGATTACACTGTGGGCCGCGAGAGCCGGGGGCCGAAGCCGAAACAGTATGTTGATGTGACGAGGCTCCGTGTACGCTGATATCGGTGTTTTTGTAGTATTTTTGTATGCAGCCGGTGGGTGAAGCACAGGGACGCGTGCAACAGCCGTGGAAGATACCTTGAGTCAGTCGATTTCAGTTAACTAAGCAAAGCGCAGGGTTGTTCTGTACTGCAATGCATGGAATATGGACGGCAAACGAAGTCCCAGCCAGCGCAAGGAAACCGAGGCTGCTAACACGGATCGGCAGGGATGCATGGGGAGCTTGCCGCAAAGATGCCGTGTCGAAGTGGCGTGAGATGGACGGGGTTGATGGGAGGATGGGAAAGCAGGAACACACGGGCGGAGGGAGGGAAAGACGAACCACACACGATTGAAGCTGCTGCCAGGCGGAGGGAGGGGGGCAGGGGGATGTAGTGTTTGCAGCATGGTATACTTACAGGACAAAGTATACTTACAGGACAAAAGCAAGCTCGGCAAGCTAGCTACACGGATTAGATGGAGTAAGCAATTCAGTGAAGAGCGGCCGAAGTAAGTATCGAAGTAAGTGCAGGGAAACATGAAGCCGGCCCGTCCTTTTAACGTCCCGTCTTTCCATACCTGCACCGCGCAACCCCATGCAAGGCCTGCCTCCCAGAGCCTCCCTTGCGTTCACGCAATCCCGGTCGGCCGCTGCACTGCACCGCGCACACCCACCTCTACCTCTTCTCCCTTGCCATGGGCGCTGCCCATGCCCATGCCCTTGCTGCCAGGACGCTGCTAAATACGCAGATCTGGTGCTGTTGCTGGTGGACGGATCTTTCGGGTTTGAGATGGAGACTTTCGAGTTCCTGAACCTGCTGCAGGTAAAGGAGTTTCAGGGATGCGCAGGACCCCACATGCTGGCCGCCCATGGTGGGCAGACAGACAGACAGACAGACAGACAGGCAGACAGACAGAGAGCGGGGTAGGCAGGCAGGCAGGCCACTCAGGAGTCCCCATGGCGAGAGCCACGGGAGACACGTCTCAGCGCCCGTTATGCATGGGTGGCCATGTACGTCTCGGTCAATCCCCTGCCTCGCCTGTGTACCTGCATGCATAACCGATTCCTCTTCCCGACCCCATGGCATGGGGCAAAAGGCGAGAGGACGCTCAGCTATCGGAAAACCTTTCACCAGAGCTGTGAATGGCTCTTTTACGCCCGCTATGCTGGTTTTTTGGTTGTATAATGCCGCGCCCAGCATCACTTCCACCCCATTCACCCACGCAACGCACCGTGGCCGCGTCCCCTGCCATCCGTTCTGCTATCTGCTGCTCGTAGGTTCACGGCTTTCCCAAGGTAATGGGCGTGTTGACCCATCTGGACGGCTTCAGGGACGCCTCGAGGCTGAAGAAAACCAAGAAGAAGCTCAAGCAGCGCTTCTGGACGGAGATCTACGACGGCGCGAAGCTCTTCTACCTGAGCGGCATACAGCATGGTGGGTGCGTGGATAGGTCGAAGAGCTGGGTGTTGATGCCGTTCAGCTACGGATTTTCGTTGGGTCTTGCACCCTGGCGACGCTGAGACTGACTTTCTGGTGACACGGATGCTGCCGCTTGTGCTGTGACTGATGCTTTGGCTGCGTGCGGCCCCTTTGCTTGTGTGTAAAATCCGTCGTTTGTGCTTTGGCTGGTGCTACTACTGCGCCCCAGGCAAGTACTTGAAGCGTGAGGTGCTCAACTTGGCGCGCTTCATTTCGGTGATGAAGCACCGGCCGCTCACTTGGCGCCTGGCGCACCCGTACACCCTTGTGGATCGACTCGAGGTGCGTGGTGGATGGGCGGTGTAGTAAAGAAAGGAACGCCGCGTTCGTTGAAATCCCACAGCACGAGGAGTGCGAGATGGGGGGGATTTATGGTAGATGGGTTGATTAATGGGTTGGTGTGTAGGCAGCCCATTCACGCCCATTCGAGGCAGCAGTGATGCGAGCGAGCGGACAGCGCGGGACAACGCAAACCGGAAAGAGTAAAGGGTAAACCGCTTCTGTACGCCTGTGCAACAGCTGTATGCCTACATGCCATCTGATTCATGGCTTATTGAGAGTCAGTGCTGCATAGCTACGTCACCACCGTTGCTACCTGATCATCATCACGGGGAGCCGCCGGCGGGCCCTAAATGAACGCCGCTTCTCCTTCCACCTTTCCCTTCTGCAGTATTCTCGTCAAGTCCGGGTGTGACTCAGTGTTTTTTTTCATATTTGCCTCGTCGATTTTCCGGTCCGAACGGAGGAATAGGTTTTTAGTCGCGGATATAAAAGTATTCCGAATCTGTAAGGCGCTGGGGGGGGCTACGCCCCCCCAGACCCCCCCGATGAGTTTTAGTTTAGTTCGTACAAACACAGGGTTTGGGGCATGTCGCAACACGCGCACACCACAATTTCTCCATAGAGATGTCTCTTGCACGCCAGGAAGCGGCGCGCACTTGGACGCTTTGACAGGAACCCCGGTTCTGTAGTATTCTCGTCAAATCCGGGTGTGACTGTCTTCTCCTTAACCCGCACACCCAGGCAGTTAACTTGTAAGATCAACTTGTCTTTCTTGCATCTCGCCGGCGGATTTCCCCCTCGTCTCATTTCTTTCTTTAGACCTTTCCCCCTTGCTCTTGTATGTGATTTTTGTGATTTCCCACCTTTTCGACTTTGTCTTTCATGCAATTTCCCCCTTCCCCTTTCTTTCATGCAATTTCCCCCGTCCCCGCTCATCCGCTTCCATTTAAGGATGTGACTCCGCGGGAGCTGTTGCGCGCCAACCCCAAGTGTGACCGTGACGTCATCTTGTACGGCTACCTACGTGGAACCAACATGAAGCCCCAGCAGCGAGTGCACATCGCGGGTGTGGGCGATTTCACCATTCAGGTGCGACATCCGGAGGTTGCATGGTCGTGGAGAATAACGACGTCGAGGCGGCTAACTGTAGTAGCTGGTACACAGTACGGCTATACAAATACGCGCTAAGCGCGACCACCAGCATCTAGAGAGGCCTTTTCAGCGGCCAGCTACTACACTAACAGACCACATGGGGGCAGCTAGCAACTCGGCGAGGGGCCGCAAGGGGGCCCAGCAGAGCTTCCTTTCGGTCATTACGATAATGGATCGCGTGTTAACTGCATACGTAGTAGACCACGTAGTGCCATCTGTCCCGTCCAGCATACCTTAGCACACCTGCTGCGTACATAGCGCACCATAACCGCACTTAATGGCGTGAAGTTATTCCTCGTTTACCCCCCGCCAGGAGCTGGACTCGCTCCCGGACCCCTGCCCGCTGCCCGACACCGTCAAACGGCGTGGGCTGAATGACAAGGAGCGACTGCTGTACGCCCCGATGGCGGATGTGGGCGGGCTGCTGTACGACAAGGACGCCGTCTACATTGATATTCCTGACTGGAAGGTGCGCGTCGCGCGCTGCGCTTAGTTAGGGTCACGTGCCCCACTATGGGGACGCCGCATCCGGGATAGTTTTCCCGTCAGAAGAGTTTTCCTGTTAGTGTTGCATGTCGAGTTTCCCGTGCGACCCTTGGCATGATTGGCTCTCGGCAGCATCCGCTCTGCCACCCGCGCGTCCTTTTCACATCCTTCCTTCCTTCCTGGTATGTACGTACCTTCACCTTTTTCGCATATCATGTGGACGGACCCGTCATGCAGGTCTGTTGGGCATTACACCTCTACTGGTCGTACCTACCCATCCCATTCATTTCCTCCCTCAGTTGGCGTCCCGTGGGTCGTTTCTAGGGCGGCCTGCACGCGCAGGAAGAACCCTTCCTGCCGTTCCCACCTCAAGCCCATGTTTCACGCCCCTCCGTGTCCTATAGCAGAACCCCTCCCTCCTGCAGTCCCACCTGCAGCCCCTCTATAAGGATAGGGTTGCTGCCCTCGTTACCCCTCGTAACCCGGCTTGCGCCTTTGCGGGTGCTAACGCTGCTGCCTACGGTTATGTAGTCTGCCGTTCGTTGTCATAATGTTGCCATTATCTGCGGGCCTCTGCGGTAACTCGATGTATACGCTCCCTGCCCGCAGGTCCAGTACACGGGCGACTCTGGGCGCCCGGCGGACGAAGGAGAGGCCATGGTGCGGCAGCTGCAGGTGAGCAACTTCCAACGTCACCTTTCGGAAGCGGAGGGGGCACCGACCCTCTGCCTGTGCCCCGACCCGCTTCCTCTTTGTCTATAACACGATAATGCGCCGAAGCTGTCGAGCCCTCCTATCGAAATTCATCAAGCAGCGGGCTCCGTGGGGGCGACAAATTGGCGTAGTCCATTTTTATCTGAGTTGAGATCCATATTAGGCTTGTAGTACAACGCGCGGAGGAACCGCATTTTGGACTTTCCTCCCCGTAGCATTTTGGACTTTCCAGTTTTGTGTAGAACTTTCGCAACCGCAACTGAATCCGTCAGTTAGGGCCGGGGTGTCTGTGTCATGGACTGGGAATGAGAAAGCATGACCGCCAAATCTCTGGCCTATGCGCTGGCCACCAGCACTGTCCTGGGGCGCCGGGTGTCTCCAGCATTTTGGTGCCCTGCATGCTGGAGGGAATACCGGGTGATCAATATCTTGTACAGCTGTCTCTTCAAAAAACTCGCAACTGTGAACTTCCGGTTCGGTGTCATTGCCTAGACGCCCATTGGCATAGCTGAACTCTGGTACAACCCGGCCCTTTCTCCACGGCCACTTTGGTGGCGACTACGTCGCCCTCTGTTGCGGCATCGTCCCTTTACTTCCTTGTCTTCATCGTCGCCCTCTGTTGCTTCTGGTTGATAGGCAGCGCAGCAACCCGTGGACGAGGCGCTCCGGCGCGGCAAGATCCGGCTGTTTCCTGGCAGCCGCGCGATTGGGGAGGACGGCTCCACCGAGGGCGGCTATGACGAGGAGTCTGAGTCTGGCCCGGATGATGAAGATGATGATGAAGATGATGATGACGGGAGCGACGACGTGGAGGGTGACGATGGCGAGGATGACAGCGACGGCGACGCGACTGAGGACGATGACGATGACGGTGGGTTGGGCATGGGGGTTGAGGTCACGTACATGCCGCTTGGCGTTACCTCAAGTTTTTACGGAACGTCGAGGTATTGAGCTGAGACGTTGCGAGCAAGGGGGAGCTGGTGGGGGGCCCGGGGTGAGTGCGACACGATGAAGTGCAGGGCATCCAAAACAGGGAGCACCACGTATGAGTGGCAGCCGAGGGGTTTTATGTTCTGTGGGCCCGGAACGCTGTGGTGTGTGCAGCTACAAAAAAAACACATTAGAAGCTATTATCTGCAGTGTCCTGTGTGCGTTTTTTGAAGGACCCGGTGGGGTCCATTTCCGCATGCCCCCACAGATCCTGTCGACGCCCGCAAAGCGCTGCGCCGCGGCATGCCGGCCAGGGCGGCACCCGTCCGCTCTGCAGACGGCCGCATGCGGCGTGCGGCGCTGTTCGGCGACCAGGCGGTCCCGCTGCAGCAGTCGGAGGAGGACGCATCTGAAGATGAGGAGGACGACGCGGAGGAGGAGGAGGAGGGCAGCGAGGACCAGGAAGCAGGAGGCAGCGGGCGCCGGCAGCTGCAGCAGGCGAGCAAGCGGCGGAGGCTGTCCGATGGCCGTGCGGTACCGTCGGGGTCGGAGGAGGAGGAGAAGGAGGACGAGGAGGATGGGGGAGATGGCGATAGTGACGAAGATGACGACTCGGAAGGTGCGCAGGGTAGTGTCTATTTGTCCCTCGATTATCGTGGCAGTTCCACGAGCCCTGAAACAGTTTAGGTCTGTAAAGGCTGGTACGCAAGCGTTTTCTCCATACATACATACATACATACATACATACATGGATGTATGGCATATACATTTCGCTTCTCCCCTTCTCGCGGCACCGTTCATTAGCACGCATCTCCCACTCCGTCCGTCCTGTCCTGTCAAGTTTTCGTCGCACTGATATGTGCACCTTTCCCTACCTTCCTTTTGCTATGGTTGTCGTAGGCATGGGCGCCGCGGCTCGCTGGAAGGCCGGTATGGCCGCCCGCACATCAGCCTTCTTCTCCGAGCGCGCGTCAGACCTGGCAGCGTTTGTGTACGGCAAGCGAGCGGTTGCGGACGCTGCCGGCGACGACGACTTTGAGGAGGCGGCCGACGGCGGGGCAAGGGCCAACGACGGCAAGGGCCTGGGCGACGTTGACGGCGACGATGACGGCGGTGGTGGCAGCGAGGACAGTGATGATGACTTTTTCCGTCTGAAGCAACGCTCTGATCGGTCAGAGAAGGCACGGAGTGGCAACCTGGAGACAGTAGACGGTACGTGCGGAAGGGGCGAAGGGAGGCGGCCGGGAAAAGCCTAGGTTGGGTTTCGGAGAGGGGCCCTGCTTTGCTCATGTGCACCCGGCGGGGTCATACCCAGGTACAGATCTGGTAGACCTGGCACAAAACACAGATGTACCACGATGCGCACGTGTTGAGAACTGCATATTTGGTGGTAATCTCTGTTTAGGCCGCCGTGGCGCCACAACGGGGCTGTAATGACGCCTCGAATTTCTGCTTCAAGCTTCAAGAGGATTGCAGAAGCGTAAATAAAAAGCAGTTCTCAACCCTGCGACTACCTAACGATCCTAAAGTCTCCCTTTGCTTCCAGTTCCTTGCCTTATTTGCAAGGGCTATTTATACCGCAAAAGCCACACGGATGCTGCCGTTGTTTCATATGCCTTGACGCTTGCTAGGGTCCTGGTCTCCCGGTTGCGGGCTGTTGATTGGGTTCTCCTTATGTTGGTGTTGACTTGTAAGTTGTATTTAGTCGTGATAATCGGTATGTTTGCCCCTGATTCGTCTCCACCCCCGCAGCGTTGGACACTTGCCGCGTGCTGGCCCGGCCTGAAGCGCTGACCTCATGGCGCGGTGATGCGGGTGCCGAGACGCTGGCGGCGCTCCGAAACCGCTTCGTGACGGGCGACTGGGCGGAGGGGCAGCGGCGTGCGGAGGCGCGGCCTGCTGGCTCCGATGGGGGAAGCGATGGCGACGAGGGTGGCTCAGATGACGAGGTGAGATGACGCAGATGAGTTTCGCACGTGGAGGTCAAAAGGAGGTAAAAATACATGCACAGTAGAAGTCAAAAAGAGATAGCTGCGGGCGTTCGATTGCGGACCAACTGCCGGAGTCCGAAAAATGGGGGATTTGGGGACGCACGTGATGCCCAGGTGTGTGGCGCCTCCTACATTAGGTCGGCTTCTGGTTTAACGTCCACCGTTCACACTTGAGTTTCGGTCCTAAGTTAACGTGGATAAACATGGCCGATAGCTGGGAAGACACCGTTGATTGGCTGTATCGCCGTTAGGAGTTGAGGAATAGAGAGAGGTGTTAAGTTTATTGTGATGCTCTGCATGCTTACGCAGCCTCCACAGCGTTGAACATGTCATGAAATGGCCGTAAGAATGCTTATGCCCAGCAGGCTTGCGGTACTGCAAGGGCGCCACGATGGGTTGTTTCGTGGACTGGGCCGATGATGGGCTGGGGGGTCGCGGCCAGCACCATCATATCTCGGAACTGATGCACGATAGGGCGTGGACTTGGAGAGAAACCACCTCACGCGCTGACTGCGCCGCGCTCCCGCATGACCTGGGCGGGCCGTCCGCCTGTCCGGCTGTAGGTGTTCGGCGATTTCGAGGACTTGGAGACGGGGGAGAAGTTTGGAGAGAAAGGAGCGGCGGCAGGTGGAGACGCCGTAGCGGCAGCGGCGCAGCGGGCGATAAAGGACGCCCGCGCGGAGGCGGAGCGGTTGCGGGCTGTCAAGGCGGCTAAGAAGGCAGCGTTTGACGCCGCGTACGACACGAAGGGCGGGCAGGATGGCGACGAGGACGGCGACGAGGGCGCGGGTGGTGCTGGCAGCGGTAGTGGTGGCGAGGAGGGCGACGGCGGCAAGGTCAAGAAGGGCAGCAAGCCAGGTGGGGGACAGGAGGAGGGGTGGGGTTTTCGTCACTCAGGGCCAACAGCAGAGCATGCATCGGTGTGAACTCATGATACGGGGTGGGGTCCCCTGGTAGCCTTCCGTCTAGAACCTTTTATCCTTACGTTTGCCGCGTTAAAGCTTCCCCGCGCTCTGCATCTCATCAAATCCGCCCCGTGCCAACAAAAAACCCTGAATACCCCTCCCCCGACGGGACCCTCCCCCATCAGGGCGACCTGGCCCGAAAGACGAAGAGACGTATTACGATGCGCTCAAGCGGGAGATGGCGGCCCGCCAGGCCGCCACTCGCTCCCTCCTAGACGGCCTGGACCCCATGACCCGTCTAGCCATGGAGGGCCACCGGCCGGGGGCGTACGTGCGGATTCGCTTCATCGGTGGGTCGGGGGGTGATCGTTGTTTAGGTTCGCTCTGGGGGAACATACAGGCGCTTAGCTTCAAGCAGTGTGAGAGGCGGCCGCCGGTTCGGTATTTGCGCTGACAGCGGACAGAGCGCGCACAGGGGGAGCACTAAGGGGGGTGAAGGAACACCCCCCTTTCTCCAATACGGAGTGCAACCATGGAAAGGGATGGGGTGAATGGGCGTGTGGTCAGGGCTGGCATGTCACCATATGTCTCATCATCCCATAGAGAAACCCCCCACAATGTCACGTGGTGCACTGGGCCGTATTGCTGGGGTCCCGTTTGCGGTCTATACCTATCAGGTACATACCTAATCCCTTCCCCCCTGCGTCGCAATTGAACTGAAGTATTGACTACAAGCTACATTACTACTTCCCTGTAACCGCGCCACTCACTCACCAGCCCTAACGACGGGCAGTCGCGCCGTGGTTTGGTGCTCCTGTAGTTGTCTCTCTTTGACTTCAGCACATGGCTACTACCTGCTTAAATACCCATTCCTTTGCCTTATGGCTCACCAGGCCTGCCATGCGAGCTGGTGACGCACCATGACCCGCGGCGGCCTTTGCTGATTGGTGGGCTGGGTCAGGGGGAGGAGAAGCTGGGCATGATGCGGGTGCGCTTCAAGCGGCACCGCTGGTTCCCCAAGCTGCTCAAGTGTAGGGACCCGCTGGTGTTCTCGGTCGGCTGGCGCCGCTTTCAGAGCCTGCCGGTGTATGCGAGTGAGTACCGGCAGTGATGTGAAATGGTGCCCCGGGGAACGAGCGCCTTGGATGCAGGTTGCCCGGCCTTGGTTAGCATGCGCCGCCCCTGCCATTCTAGGATTGAGTTACGCTGCAGCTTTCATGTTTGGGTGGTGCGTGGGTGGGTGGGTGGGTGGGTGGGTGGGTGGGTGATCTACGGAGCCCCGAGGTCGTCGCCCAATGCGGGGTCTGCGCCATGTAGGTGCCCAGGGGGTGGCTGCGTGCAGCTTGCGAAGTGTTTGGAGCTGGGTGTGTCCGAATGGGACTGGAAAGGGAACGCTGTCTCTGTTAGGTTTTTTTGCTCCTAACTGAATCTGTTCAAGAGGCAGCCATCGTCCTTAGCGTTTCCTGTCCATCCATTCATCCATCCATCCATGTATTCATGTTGCTCACCCTCTCATGTCTTCCCCTTGCAAGCGGCGAAAGCATATGCGACTCTTGCATTTTATGCTTTAAGAAACTGCACGAGGGCAGCGCTTCCGTGCAGCCCATGTGTGAACCCTGCGAAGAAGCCCTCCCCTCCTCTCTAGTGCCCGTTGACGAATTCCTTCGACATCCTTCAATCCATCCATTTCCAAACCAGACCTATTTTGGAGATCTCGCCTTTTCTCCTGTAATGTTTTCCCTTCCCTCCCTTCCCTTCCCTTCTCTCTAACTGAGCAGCCGAGGACCACAACCGGCGGCTGCGAATGCTCAAGTACAGCCCCGAGCACATGCACTGCATCGCAACGGTGTACGGGCCCCTGGCGCCGCCCAACAGCGGCGTGGCGGCGGTCCAGCGCCTGGACGGTCAGCTAGCGAGCTGGCGCATCGCCGGCACCGGTGTCGTAACCGAGCTGGATGCGGATGTGCGGGTTGTGAAGAAGCTCAAACTGGTGAGAGCATTTGAGCGGGTGGGGCCGGCTGGCTCTCATCAGAGGAGATCGGTTTGCAGGTCTGGTTTCCCTCAGGTTTCGTTATAGTTCTGGTTTCGGTATTGGTCTGGGTATCAAAGTGCTGTCGTATCTGTCCTTGCGCGGCCATATCCTTCCAGCGCCATGGCCTTAGCAGCTTGTCCAAACCTTTAGACGTGCCTTCATGTCACATCTCCATTCCCTCCATTTGACCCTTTTGACTCCATTTGACTCCATTTGACCCTTTTTCGTACATTATACTATAGACTGCTTCCGCAAGAATACACGAGGGTGGTAAACCTTACATTCAGGGGGCACAGCCGCGTCCCGTCGCGTCCCGTCCAACCGTGCCAACCCCAACCCGCAAACCCCCAAACCCAAACCCCGGCCCCAATCCCAGGTGGGAACCCCCTTCAAGATCCATCGGCACACCGCGTTTGTAGGCGGCATGTTCAACAGTGCTCTGGAGGTAGCCAAGTTCGAGGGCGCATCCGTGCGTACCGTGTCGGGCATCCGGGGCACCATCAAGAAGGCGCTTAGACCAGGTGTGCGGCGGTTGCCGACGGCGGTAGGGGCAAAACACTCTCCGGTGCGATGCCAACCCGTTCTCGCTCACCCGCGCATGCGGGGCGCCTCACTTCTTTCCTCACCTCACCTCACCTCACCTCACCAGCTCTTCGCGTTTGCTACGGCAGTTCCTTACCAGGGCAGACGGTGCTTAGGCATATCTGGCCGGGGATCCCTTTTTTTGCGCAAGATTTGCCACTTTAGTATGACCCCTCAGCTGTGTGTTGTGGGGGTCAGATGTGGAGGTGTGAGGCCGTCCGGAAGGAATGCATGCCGAGTTATGGTGAAGACGGAGCGGATCATTACTAATCAGCATCACGCCCGGCACTAGGACGTTGATGTTGTTGAAGCTCCTCTACTTGCCCGTCCCTAAGCGTCAATAAGCGTTAACTGACAAAAGCTCTGCGATGTCGTGTCGCCCCGTCGCGCCACCCCTCCGTCTCGCTACTCCCCGTCCCCCCAGGGGTCGGCGGTTCCAAGGACGGCGCTTTCCGCGCCACCTTTGAGGACAAGCCCCTCCTGTCCGACATCGTATTCCTGCGCGCCTGGGTTGCGCTGGACCTGCCGCGCTTCTATAACCCAGTCACCAATCTGTTGGCGCCCCTGCCGCAGCTCCAGCGCCAGCCCAAGCCCGGTTCCCTCGCCGCGAAGAGCTCCGTCGAACAGCCGGCAACGGCCCTAGTTGCTGCTGCACCAGCCGCCGCGCCAGCTGCACCAGCCGCTGTGGTGGATGCCCCTGGAGGGGCGGCCGCGGGGCCCTCGGGCAGGGATCCCGCAGCGGCGGGCACCGCTAGGGAAGGCGGGTTCCAGGCCTCTGCAGGTTTCACAGGCCCGCGGCCGGGCATGGTCTTTAAGCTGGGTCCGCAAGGGCTCGGCTATTATAAGGACGGGGGTACGACGGCGGCGGCAGCGGCGCAAGCAGCAGCAGCAGCAGCCGTGGCTAACGGAGCTGCAGGTAGTGGTGGTGGTGGTGCTGCTGCAGCGGCGGATGGGGTTGGTAAAGACAGTGAGGCGGAGAAAGGCGGCGGCGGTTGGGTTGGCGTGCGCACTGTTGCTGACCTGCGGCGTGCGCTGGGGGTGGGTGCCCCGCGCAGCTCCGACAGTTTGTACCGGAAGATTGAGCGTGCGCCACGCAAGTTCAACCCACTCAAGGTGCCCAAGTCGCTACAGGCGGCGCTGCCCTTTAAGACGAAGCCAAAGCTGGAGCCGGCCCGGAAGCGGAAGACGCTCGAGCAGAAACGCGCGGTCGTTTTGGAGCCAGGTGGGTGCCTGCTTTCCCAGTGTTTTTTTTCGTTTCTGCTTTTCCTGGGACAAAAGCACGATATGCGACAAGAATGGAGAAGGGATGGAGTAACAGGATTGCAGCGTAGGAGTTCCGACTTGTGCCCGATTGCGTTCCCGACGAAGAAGATCGGATGCATGCATGCACGAGGTTTAAGACTGCTTAGTCGCCTGACTGCGACGTAGCTCAATCGCGTAATGCGAAGTTGTGCCAGGCAGGATTGGAGGCTTCGGACATTGGCAACGGGTTTGTCCTTTGCACTCAGTCGGGCGTGGAAAAGGCGATAGCAGATACACCAGGACAAATCAATTCTCCGCTGAGCCTTCCTGCGTGCCGCCTCGCGCGCTTGTCACGCCCCGCCCTGTGTTAATACCTGGTCGCTTCTAAGCGCGTACTTTCGCACCTATTTCGCTGCGCAGGCGAGAAGAAGGCGTACACACTGCTGCAGCAGCTCAACGCCATCCGCAACGAGAAGGCGCGCAAGCGGCGTGAGCAGAGCGCACGTCGCCATGAGCAGTATGACAAGAAGAAGGCGGCCGAGGAGGAGTGGCGCACAAAGTAAGCAGTTGTGATGTCAGGCTGCCTATTTGCTTACTTTGTGTTGGGGTAGGGAAGGAAAGGCATGCACAAGTTATTTGGACTTTGGACTATTTGCACGTTCCCGAATTCCTGGACATTCCCGAAAGGACCAAGGTGTTGCTGTTGCTGAGGCCGCCGGAGCGTGAGATGCAGCGCTAGATAGGAAGCCCTGCCCGTTGGACGAGGGCTTTGCCGTCCTTTCTAAGGAGGACACCGGAGGACACGTGGCTCAAGAGGGGGGGATCCGGAGGAGGGAAAACCTGGGCCAGAGCCATATGGGAGCCGGGGGGGGGATCTGGGAGGAGCCATGCAGGCGAGAGTCCTGCGTAAGTCCTACATGAGGGTTTCGCTTTACGGCGTGAGGCAGGATTGCCTCCTGGTAAAAGGCTCGTCGGCATCACCCGGGTCAATGGAAGGGCGTATATGAATTCAATCGGTGGCTGTGTTACAAGTTACAAGTTGCGCACATCACAAGTGCGGGTGTGTCCGTAAAAGCCGGGGGGCCCATGGACGTTGTATTGGTATTGATGCGGGTATGCGGGAGGTCATCATCATTCTCCTCCGTCCGCTTCAGGGCGAAGCGCTTCAGGGCGAAGCGCCTCAGCGCGACGTGCCTGGCCTCCCAAATTTCCGAGAGGTACCTGGCCAATGCCAGGGGTGGAGCCTCAGTCATAATGCTGTGTAGGAGGTCGTAGAAGCACACTCGTCGCCCGCGGTAATACATTCTCAAATAAGGAAAGGAAAGGAAAGGAACGGCATGACGCATTGTCAAAGACGCGTGGTGTTGAAGCGTAACACAAATAGTGCTTGCCCGAGGCCATGCTGCCATATGGCGCAAACAGGCGCGCAAACGCCAGCGCTACCTCACCTATATTCTTTTCTCATCAGGCCATCACTTTTGCCTCACTGTTATCGATACCATGCACCGCAGGTACAACAAGGAGGAGCGCAAAAAGCGGTACCGCGAGGCCGGCCAGGTGGAGAAGCGACGGGAGCTGGGAGCGCAGGGCGGCAAAGCCGCGAAGGGTGCAAAGCGGCGGAAGGCGTCCACGGGAGACGAATAGCGTGTCTGTGCACGCGCCCGTGTGCTCGGACAATCCAGTGCAATCGATGCGATAATAGGATCACTGTCCCGTGCCTTTTTGATGTGGGTGTTCGAGTGGCGGCCACTTCTGGTGCCGTGGTGGCTGTTGGCCTCAGGCGGCTGCCTCCTGGATACGGTCTATAGATCTGGGAGCGCCTCTTGAGGTGCTACGGGCCCCGTACTGCTCTGAGTGCCAACATGGATTCAGGAGAATGGCCGCCTAGAGAGAAATATCTATTACGTGCACGGCCTTGCGGAGACGAGGCTGTGTAGCTGGGTAGATAATGAAAGCCGAAAGGGGCTAAGGACTCCGATGCGCATTTTGGTCTGACTGGTGGTGCTGACGAACGAATTTTGGCAGCGTGCGCGGTACTGTTTCAGCTCAGAGATGAATGCAGGCATGAATGTCGGGTGCTGGTCATCAGGACAGGATAGCCTCGGCAGTTTTATTGATAATAGTAAGGGTTAGATGGCGCGTTCCTGTTGGTTGTTCCTGGCCCCTACACCACAGCCTCACCCCGCCACGATGATGCTAGTCCGGGCAGGTGGATGGTTAGGTATGCCACCTAACCAAGGTGGGTTGGTGGAGTGCCGGGTCAGCTATGCGGTTTTGTGTTAGTCAGAGGAGAACTGAAGGGCCCGGGGGAAGCTGTATGGCGTCATGCCGAGTGAGTCTTAGACGTGCTGAAGAGGAGGGGGGGGAGATGTGCGCCAAGGGGGTGGATTGGATGATGGATAGATATAGGTGAGCCAATGCTGGCCTCGCTCGTATGTTATGTGGCAGAATGCAGCACAGCGTAGTACTGTAAGCGGACATAAGCTTTGTATGGAAACCTTAGGTGGAGGGTGGTCCGAATTATAGCGCGTTACAGGGGATAGGCCGATACGCTCTGTGGTGGAACATTAAAGAGGACGGACCCTACCGGAGCACCGGTGCTAGCCGGACCCAGGCGCTGTTGAAGGTCTCAGTACAGGGCGGAGGACGCAGCAAGGCGAGCTTCGTATCATGGCTTGTTGGGACATCAGCCCCTATGACCGGAACCTCTCCCATGCCCGGCACTTCTCGAGGGCCATGCCCATGCCTGGAAATGTCTCCATGGCGCTGATATCTAGCAAACCCTAAGTTTCCCGAACGACCTGCTATGACCCGGCGAACCTTTATCTGCTGGTCAGTGCGGGTCAATCCAGCTGTACACGGCGTAGTCGACAACCGCCTTTGTAAACTTCACAACTCCAGCAAGTGGTGTCGGCACGGTGTGCCTCGCGGCCATTCAGGAACCGTCCATACACATGCCAGGCATTCGTCGCCCCACGCATGTTGGAAACATCCTTGGCGGGGGGTGAGGAACACCCCAACCACCGAACGCCGCCAGAACGCCTCCTTGCGTGGATGTTCCCAGCGGACCGATGACGACACAGTGCCGCACCCCCTCCGCATATCTGCTCCGGACCGATCTCCAAGCCTCCACAACATACTGGCAGTCAACCATCGTCCGTTCGTATGCCACCACATCCTGCAGAGCTCGGCCGCACAGGGTGAACCCCAGCGGCACCTGGATATGGTAATAGAGCGTAGCCATCCCAGCAACGTAGCTGTCGTGCCGCAAATCGCAACTTCGCCCGCAAGAGTTAGCTGAACCCGCGCACATTTGGCGTCCGGCCGGCGGCCTTGGCACCCGTGCAGCCTCCACCCTCCAGCGACCTGTCAGAAACTCCCTGCAGGAACGCCAAGCTCATCGAACGCCGCTTGGTATACCATATCCATATCCATATCCATACCCATACCCTCCCCACGTCACTGCTGGGAGGGAGACAGGCAACCGGGTCCAGGCAGGAGCCAGCCACGAACACCGCTCGCTAAGCCCGTGTGACGCGTGGCAGATCGTTCGCTGCTCGTAACCGTAAGGCTCTTGCACAGTCAGGTTCACTGCGGCAAGGAAGGACGCCGCGAATCCCACCTCCGCACCAACAGCGCCACCACTCGCCCACAGACCGAGGGTCCTGCACTCCCCCAATCCAGCCCCCTGGGGGAATACAGAGTTTCTGAACCGAACTTCTTAGATGTGGAGTTGGGGGAAGCCGGGGCCGGCAAGGAGAGGGTTTGTAATTGTATGATGACACTGGGGTCCACCCACAGACGTGCTGTCGTTCGCCTTTTCCGCTATACCCACGCGACCGCGTTCCTAGACCCGACCCGACAAGTAGACGCGGACTTGGGCAGAGGCCTTTACTGCTAATTTGGGCGATAAAAGTAAAACAAAGCCAGGCGAAGGAAACGCCGCAACGCGACGATGGCCTAGTCACGCGGCGCGCGGGATCCGCGCGACCGCGCGATGAACCTGCAAAAGAACCTCGATGCCTTTATGGCTGTTGTAGCTGTAAACAGGATTATGATTTATGGGTCGGCAGACGAACCCTGCACGGCTAACTTAGCAACGGCCATGACGGACAGCCAAACCCGCCTTGATTGAAGAAAGCAAAGAGCTTCGCTTTCAAAGCGCCGTGGTGAAGGCTGCGCAGGACGCCGCTGTCTTAGCATCAACCCTAGCTGTTTACGGGTTTAGCCCTAGATGGGGTGCTTGGATTGGCCTTGTACAAATTCGGTCGCTCGTATCCATATGGATTGCATAGGCCGGCGCAGGTGTCACCGTATTGTCTTGCATCATGTGGCGAGCTTTGTGGCGTCTGTAAATTGTTACGAACATTACTAACCTCATGGCACCCGCACGCCGCCTCGCCAACCAACGACCATCACCGATGGTGATATTCGTACGACGCTCGTCCCTTGGATGTGTCGGCAAACACCCCGCTCCAATCCCACAGTTGGAAATCCGGTCGGTTCCCGTACCGTCCGCCCAGTCTACACAGGGCTTTCACCTCCGCTGGTCCATTTCCTTCTCCCGCGGCTACCTTCAGCAGTCAGCCTTAACGTGGCTTTCCGGCCCTTGATTTTCACCGAACAGGATAAAACACCGCAAATCAGTGAGTATCCAGAGACCTCGTCGCGCTGATGCTCCAGAGGAAACTGGTGCAAATGGTAATTGCAAAGTGTTTCGCTAACGGTCGCCACCTTGTTGTCAGTTAAAACAACCAACATTAGATCATCATTTAGATAGATTAATAATGAGCTAAATAGTATGAAGGTTTTGCCAAAATGCGGAAGATGAATAAGGCAGATGATATGCGCGCTCCGAAGTTACGATTACGGCAGCCACGCTCCGGTTGAGCTTAGCAGCGGCGCAGAGGCCCCGGTGGCATGTCATGTACATTCGATAATCTTGTGCATGTAGATGGTGATGATGAACTCTTAGGGTGTGCTTCTCTCAGCAAGGGGGCGTTCGTTCTGCCCTTCGAGGAGAGTGTTACCCACAGTTTCTCCAATTCCCAAGGTTCAGGCTTGTGTCGCCATATATTTTTTAGCGATTGACGTGATGAGATAGCATTAAGGCGATTTGCCAAGAAGACTCTCAGGCCAGCCTCTCGGTCTAGCTGACGCCAGGATGGACTTTGCAGAGAACTGGTGCTCTCTGCTGGAGCTATTTGTTTCGGTAAGATATTTGGGCTGTATGTCTGCGGACAGCCTAGCATAGCTGGACGCCCATGTTAGGTTGCCATCCTGAGGTTGCAGAGCACAGGCCAGGAAGCTCGCTTGCGGCCCTATGATGAAAAGTAACGTAACCATATCTGAAATCTTTGATTCTAGTTATAAGGGGCAAACTGCACTTTTTGTCGGGATGGCGTTATCAGCCGCGCCGCGCCCACGGCTTGTTCAGTTTTACTTAATGCGATTCATCCAAAATAATGGATTTATTCTCTCTGTGATACATTTGGTTTTGCAGAATGCCGGCTTGAAACTCCGGTTGTTTATGGTTGACACGGTGCTCATCAAGTCAGGACGAGTTCTTGGGCACTTCTACACCAGTAAAGATGGTTACATTTGTCGCTTCAGCGCGCACGAAGTTACACGTCAGGCGATATACCAGCGCCTAGCGTCGCTGCACTGCCTAGACCCGCAGCTCAACCCCTTCGGCTATATTGCTGTGGCACACTATGCAACTGGCGTCTCCCGGCTACTGAAACGTGCAGAGCTGCAGGAATTGGTAAGCTTCAGCCGTGCTGTAGTAATCGCGGTCCATGTCCCCGTCGACTCTAGTGATTAAAACATGACAGCGAGGAACCCTGGACTTGACTTTAAAGCACCTCCCTCTTTCCCCTTTGTCAGCTTCTATGCCAATTTGCCTCCACCCCGCCAACTCCCTTTCTGGGGCCCTGCCAATCGCGTCCCATCCCTCGCGCCCGCCCGCCAGGCGACAACCATTTGCGGGCCGTACGAATTTTCAGACACGTCCCTGGTGGCCTCCCAGCACGAGCAGCTCTTCTGCCTTCAGGCATACATCGTACCGCGGCATGACATGCGGTACATCGCGTCATACGACGTCCAGGAGGGGCCGCTGTGCACCGTTCTCGCGCGGCGCTTCAGGTAGGACGGGCTTTCGCGCTCCAGCCAGTGCGTGAAGCGCGGTCCAATCCCCCCAACCGCAACACCGCACCCCCCACCGGCATGCCACCAAGCAGATATTGGGTGAATAGAGAAACGACTTTGGAAAGGGGCACAGGGCTGCAAGCAGTAGCGGGGCAGTAGCAGGGCTTGCCATACATCATCACGCCTATGGGTGTCAACGCCGCCGCACCGCACGTATTGTAGGTTGTAGCTTGTAGGGACATGGCCGTCTAAAGGAGGAAGGGCAGCATTTCCCTGCAGAGGGTGGGTGGGTGCAATTTTAAAATGACGTTTTCTAAATAATACCATTCGTTCCTTTATATCCCTCTCTCTCTCTCCCCCTGTTTTATTTCCACAGCGCCCGCTACACCAACGCTATGGACGACCCGGCGTCTGTCCTGCTGGAGACGGTAAGAGGACATTGGTTCCCCTAAAGGGGACAACCCTTTGGGAGACCGCTCCGGGGGCGGCAATTGCGGGGGGGGGAGGCATAAGGGGAATAGGGCTGGGGCGTGGGGCCCGGATTGGGAGGGGGGGAACGGGGCATGCAGAAGCTTCCCCGAGGGCGACGGAGGATGGGCGCGGCTGCGTGGCCAGGGAGCCGTGACGGCCTAGCATTCTGATCGCTTAGCCACCGCTTCCCATCACTCCAGCTGTGTCCCATCCTTAATCCCCCTCCTCCCCCCACCACGTACCACATCCCACCTCTCTCACCTCTCTCACCCCAATATGCCCTCTCCCCCGGCCGCAACACGCAGGCATCCTCCGACCCCGACGAGCCCGCCCGCAGCTCATCCAACCTCCTGGCCGGCGCCGGCTCCGTTGGCCGCACCACCTCTGGTGCAGTGTCCGCGCCCGCGTCGGTGTCCATGTCGGCCGATGACCCCCTGACCCACCCCGCCAGCCTCACTGCGGACGAACTGCTCGTGGAGAGCCAGCTGGTGGCCATGGGGCTGCTGGAGCCGCGGAGGCAGAAGGAGAGGGACCTGCCGTCAGGGGCGGAGGGCGGTGGGGAGGAGGCGTCAGGAGGTGGCGGAGGGGGAGGAGGAGGAGGTGGAGTAGAAGACGGGGGCGCTGCGTCGCCGTCGGGGGGCGGACCGCCAGATGGTAAGGAAGCGAGGTAGTGGCGGTGTAGTGACAGAAAGGAGGGTGGGATGGTTTTCTGGACGTAAGAGTTGGTAGGTAGTGGACGGCTGAAGAAAATTGTGAATGGCTGGAAGGAGGAGCTCTTCTCTGGAAGGAGGGATCACCTGTTGCTGATGTAGAGACGAAACCCTACTGCGAGCTTGCAAGCAGAGCCGTGGCGTTTTGGTTTGATTGCGGCTGAAGAGTGGTGCGAGGTTTGACGAGCGTCGTCTGGAGCCGACCCTTGGCATGTCCGGCCCTCTGACCTGCGACTGCTCAACCCTCCAACGAAAGCACGAAGGCACGGCGGGGCACCCACCTGTAGCTGACCTCACAACGACCCCCGTAGCATGCTTTGATGTGTCAGCAGGTGATAATTGACCTTCCTTTTTTCGCGGGAACCAATTTCCTTTTCATCTTCCTCCAACATAGCACCTAAACCACTCGATCAACCTCACTAGTTTTGTTCCGGACCCCACGTTTGTCCTTGCCGTGCCCTGCCGCCACGGCTTCTCCTTAAACTGCCCTCCCTGTCAAAACTCTCCCCGTCCTGTGTCGCCGCGCTTCCTTGCCCGCAGGTATCACCAGCTCCCTACCCGCGCCCCGCCGCGTCAAGGACGATGTGGCTCGTCTCCTCCAGGCCGCCTCGTCCTTTGTGGAACGCGCACACGGGCAACGCATCGTGGGGCTGGTGGCCGAGTTTATCTCGGCAGGCGCGCCAACGCCGGGCATGCCCTCCGGCGGCGGCCTCGCACTCATGGCCGTACATGCCGTACAGCTTGACCCGCGTGCCAGCCGCGGCCGCCTAGGCACATTTACCGAGCGATGGACCGATTACCTAGAAGGCCTTGCGCCGGCCCCCGCGCCACAGGCGCCCACGCGCCGGAATCAGTCTCCCAGCATCCTTCGCGCTGGCGACTCGTCGCTGGTGATGACGGAACGCTCCTCCGGGCTCCTCATACGGACATCGCCGTCGTCCGCGGGGTCAACTGGCGTTGGCGGGATGCTGCCGGTGTACGGCGGGGCGTTCAATCCGCAGCGCCAGCTGTTGGGCGTCGGTCCAGTGACGGCGTCCGCCGCCGCCGCCGCTGGCGGCGGCGCTGGCACCGCCATGTCACCGCGTGTTCACGGCGGCGCCGGCAGCGCCGCCAGCAGCCCGGCAGCGGGCAGTCTGACGCGCATCTACTCGGCGTCACCGTCGGCCGCCCATCACCGATCTTTGACGGCATTATCGGATTTGGGTCGTCCTGGCTCGGCCCCAGCCGCCGTCGTCAAGGTGGGCCGCCACCTTCCCAACGCGGCGCACTCGTCCGCGCTCAATGGCCATTACACTCTGCGCAACGCCATGTCTGCGGCCCGCCCTGGCGGCGGCGGCAACCCGACCTCCAACCCTGCGGCACCCGACAGTTACAACTTGTGGCTGTCCAGGGAGGGTGTTCCCACGGACAGCATGTCGGCGAAACTGGCATTGGAGGTGGGTGCATTGGTGTGTGACGGTGTGTGTGGAGGGTTGGACAGCTCCGGGTAGGTGGCTTTTCGGAGGGTAGACGGCTGTGGGTGAGTGCGTGCGTACGTGTGGCCTGTATTATGTGCACAGGATGTCCGGAATAGCCTCTCAAGGGTATAGCAGTTGGGGAATCTTTCTCATCTTTCCTTCCTCTTATACATCAACAGGGAGGCCAGCCTTCTGGTCTACGTTTCCTACCCTTGGTCTCTTCCGCATGAGCGCTTTACTCTCTTTTTCCTTGGCCTCTTCCCCCCTTTCCCCGAACTCACCACCACCACCACCGCCACCACCACCACCACCACACCAACCCCAGGTGGAGTCTCTCCGCGAGCGGCTCCAGCGGCAAACCGACATTGCGGTGCGGGCGGAGACGGCCCTGCAGCAGCTGGCAGTCAGCAGCCGCAAGGAAACTATGGAGCTAAGACAGCAGGTGAGCTGGGCCGCTGGGGACAGCGGTGAGGGGGTCCCGCTAGTGTGTCCTACAGATCGGCGGCCCGGGATTGGCACCATGTCCCCTAGCTCCAACCCCCTACATCACACTTCCCCCCAAGCCTCTCCCGTCGGGGGAGCCGGGGAAAGGTTTTGCGACTATTTGGGGAACGACCGTCTTATGTGACGTCGTGGTGACCTATGCAGCTGGCAAACGCCCAACATCAAAGGGCAAACGCCCTCACAATGTACCCGACGGCAATTTCTCCTCTCCCCCCCCGCCGGCGACCTCACCGCCCGTCTTCCTTCGCCGCCGCCGCGGCGTTCCTTTCCTGTTCTTTCTTGCCCGCCCCACACACCCGCGTCTCCTGCCTCTCCTGGGATACCGCCTCACCCACCACTTAACTAACCAACCGATCCGTCAACCAACCAACCGCCAGATTGAGGAGCTGCGCATTGAGGTGGGTCGTCTGGGTGAGGCCAAGCGCAATCTGGCCACGGAGTACGACCGGCTGCGCTCGGAGCGGCTGGGTTTGCAGGCGGGTCGTTCGGAGCTGAGTGGTGAGGTGGAGCGATTGCGGACGGAGTTGGCGGGGGAGCGGGAGACACTGGCCAAGGCGGTACGGGACGCCACAGCGCGGGAGGAGCAGCTGGAGGCGCAGCTGCGGGTGGCGCGGGAGGAGCGGGAGGAGGCGCTCAAGCAGCTGGGGGGATTGCGGCGGAGAGTGGAGGTGCGCCGGTTGGTGGAGGGGACTGGAGGGGGGTAGTGGTGGAGAGGAGGGAAAGGGAATCGTGTGCAAGACATCCAGGTAAGGAAGGATTGCCGACGTCCAGGACACCAACTGCTGCTGGAGTTCAAAGCAACAGAAAAGGGGAGGGACGGGGAAATGATTGGGGGGTGCGAATGGGATTGGGGCGTATGGGGGCGAGGAAGTGGGGTGGGCAGCGGTCTGGGAGCGGCAAGGCGCAATCAACTCTCTGGACTGAAGATAGCACCCGATTTTGCTACGTGGTTTTTGTGATACGCCTTGTTTGCCTTGACCTGCAGGCCATCGGGGGCATTTTCTCCCGGCGCTTGATCTCTTACTGGGATGTGCGCTTGGGTCATGAGAACCGTAGTTGTCTCTCACCCCGCATGGCTCGGCCGTCTGTCTTTCACATGCAGCTCGCGCTACGGGTCATACGACCCTTGCCCGTGTGTCAGCTTAATTGCGCTATTCATGACCTCTCGTCCTTTCCTCATCACGCTGCAGGAAGAGGGCGAGGTGGTGGAGGCGTTGCGGGGCCAACTGTACGACTACAAGCAGCTTGTGGCGCAGGTACGGCCGTGTACGGCACTATGCAGCAATGTAGCAGAGATGATGGCACTAGACGGCGAGCCTGGTGTCGATTAATACCCGTGGCGTTGCTTGTTGACCGGGGGTTCGGGGGAATGGGGGAGGGAGGTTAAGGAAGTTCAAAGTGAACCCAGCAATGTGACCCAGATAGGCGAACACAGGACGGGTTATGGTGTGCCCGAGGGCCGGGTACGGTCGGGGTTTACAGGCGGAATCGCTATGTGGAGCACCCTCTCAGGGTGCCCATGGGACAAGGGCAGCGCTGCGGCCTTCAGGAAGAGCCGGCCCTCCAAGAGCCGCAAAATGCGGCTCCTCAAAACACATCCTAAACCCGCCTCACTCCACCTGCCCATCACCTCCTTCCGCCCGACCTCCCTCCCACATAACGCATTTCGCATGGCGCGGCGCCCCTCCTTTGGCAGTTGGCCCCCCTCTTTTGCAATCCTCTTTTGGATCTACGATTTCCCATTTTTTCTCCATTTTCCCTACTTGCCGTGCACCTCACAGCTCCAAGCCCAGGTCCGCCGCGGTCGCAACAACAAGCAGCTGCTGCAGTCGCTACAGGGTCTCCCCGCCAATATTGCCTCAGTGGCCAATCTCAATGTGGGCGGCGGCTCAGCGGGCGCCGCGGCAGGTGACGGCACCTCCGCCTCGCGCACCGGCCGCAACACCAAGGACGGCGAGGAGTCGGACGCGGACACGGACGCGGGCGGTGGAGGTGGCGGCGGCATGGACGGCAACGGCAGTCAGCAGGGTGGGCAGAAGCCGCTGCCGGGCGGCGGAGGCGGCGCGACAGCGCGGCAGGGCGTCGTGGGGGCGGGCTATGGCGGCCGCAGGTTGTGAGGAATCCAGGCCCGTTGCGTGTATCGCCCGTTTGTGTGTCGCGTGTCGTGTGTGTCGTGCGTCTCGTCTGTCTACGTGTTTCGAGCGTAGGATGTGTCCTTTGTCGTGTGGCCCGTGTGTGCGTTCCTTGCAAAGCATAGCCGAGGCCGTGCAAAGGCACTGCGCGAGTGGCTGTGTGCCGACGCGATTGTACGGGAAAGCAGGGTTGAATGCTGCGTGGTTGCTATGCGCGTTACCATGCGATCCACAAAGTGCGGTTATGGGGGGGTGTTGCACACGGCGCCGGGGGCAAGGGCCCGTATTGAATTGCTTCTGGCTTGGCGCGGCGTTATCCGGTCAGGTCACCGCCGCTTCCCCCGTCCCGCGTCCAGAAACCGTGAGTAGGGTGAGACGCGATCAGAGGCACCCCCTCAAAGAGTGAACCCTCTCATGTACTATTTCCCAGGAGGGGTCCCTGCTGGGTGGGTGGAGTATGAGGGTCCGCATGCTGGGTCTTGGCGTGGTTGTTGTCAGGTTATGTCAGAGGCTGTGGCGGCACGTTTTTCTTTTACTCTTCCCTTGGGGCGAAGCGCTCGACATGCACCTGATTCACCTCGTCAGCTCCACCCCACAACTCGACACAGCGTTGCCGCGGTATCGCCGTCGTTATTGCCGTCCGAGTTGTTGTCCGGGTTGGTGCATCTGGGGCGACGACGGCCCCTATGTGGTGGGCCCCTACGGAAGGGGGGGATATTGCACAGCACTGTCCAGGAGCAAGCCGGGGGGGGGGCCTGGTCCAACAGACAATTCTTACGCGTGCAAGCTTCGGTGCGCGCGCTCTCACAGGGTTTTGGGTATGAGCCCACGGCATCTTGGTCTACGGGGCGCTGGCATTGGAACAGGGGATAGCGGGGGGCGCTGGTTGGCGTGTACTCGCTGCCTACACTGCACGTGTAGACGACCCCCGCATCTTCCTCCCCGGTTTAAGCCTGGAAATGAAACGCGAGTGATTACGTCGTGTGAATTGTCGTTGTTGTTGCTGCTGCGAAGGTATGGGTGATGAGGTTGCATCCAGCGAGCGCTTTTCCCACACTGCATGGGGGGCCCCGCCAACCCCGCAAGAGGGTGTAGTTGGGGGGGGGAGGGAGAGTGGTGAACTCGTAACCGTGTCATATCGTGGTTTGCTTCTTAGTGGCTGTAGGGACGGAATGGGTATGAGACGTTTTTGTTGCTGCTGCTGCCGCTGCTATCGCCGTGGGACCATGCGGCCCAGTGAGGGCCGCAGCCCGGGGGCCTCCAAGGCGCCCAATTCATCTTTACGCGGTGTCTAGTAGGCGTCAGCACGCCGAGTATTATTAGCGGTGTGTACGGCTCACTGGTTGGTTGAGCGGACGTGGGGGTTGTATGGGTTGTGTATGCGTGGGCGATGTATGCGGCGTGGGATGGCCAAAGAATGGTTGCCTGTTGCCGTTCCGGGTAGCGCTGGTGCTCTAATATGGATTATTGAGATGGTGGGGGGCCGCGGTCTCCGTGTGTTCGCTTACCGAAATAGGTAAGCAAGGAAGGGGCCGAAGAGGGAATTAATAGAGGGGACGAGAAGGAGGCCCATCTTGGCAAGCTTGGCCGGCGATTGGGCCGGGGCATTGGCCCCACAGAAGGGAGGTTGACAAATTGCGAGTTGGGTTGTGGTTTGGTCTACAAGTGTCTTTACGGGGGAAACATGCATCATGGTATTATTGGTGGGTTTGGGAAGGAAGACAAGGGTCCGGGGCGCGGAGTGCACGTCGTCATTCGGACTAGTAGGCGTCTAGTCGCCTAGGCGTCCTCGCCGTTGGAGGTGTTTGGAGTGTCTTTGCACCCAGGCCTCGTTGCTGTTCATGGGTTGCTGAGAGATGCTTCTTGCTTCGCGGTGTGCTCGGTCTCGCACCGTTCCTCCTCGCAAAGGGTGCTTGCTACATGTGTATTTGACGGCAGTAGAGAGAGGGAAAAAGGCCAGAATGCAGAGGGATGTCAGACGGTGCAGACTAAAAGTGCAGCACGGGTAGGCTGAGGCCGCAATAGCTAACGAGAGTAGATCACACGGCTTCGTTTTGACGGAGACGGCACGTGTTCTGTCCACCGAAGTGAGAGCGGAGCCAGAAGGCAGGCGCTTTCCCTCTCCCGGTGCTGAGAGGAGAGGGGCCCTGGCCGAGTGGTTGAAACAGAGGTTGCTCTTCTTCTTGCTGGTGCTGCTGCGGAAAAGGCCATTCGCGTCCGGGTGCTTGACATCTGACAGTTGCATCCTTATCTCTGGGAAAGGTGGTGTGGGCCGCGTGGTCGCTGTTAGCATACCTTGCGAGTGCTCTTGAGGCCGTTCTCGCTGTTGCAAAGAGATGCGGCTGCCGCCTACTATTTGTGCTTCTCTGCATGTCGCCATCGCCACCCGCATAGGGTTGTGGTACGTGTGCTTGTGTACGCGAGAAGGGACGCGGGAGGGAAGAAAGGACACCGGAATGTAAAGACCAACTTACGCCACATCACCACGATTTTGCTATCGGGTTCAGTCGTACGACCCCATGTACATTGGGTGGAGGAACACCCGGGTGGTTTGAGGCGGCGGTTGGCAGCGGTTGGCGGCGGATTGCCACTGGGTGTTGAGCTGCTGGTGTGTGAGATTGGCACTGCGGTGGCGGCGGAGGCGACTGCGAAGTGGGCGGAGGGAGGTTGGGGCTGCGGTGGTGCGGGGGTCACGGTGGTGGTGGTGATGTGGGGGTCACGGTGGTGGTGGTGGTGGTGGTGGTGGTCGGCAAGGATGGTGCTGCGGGTGGCGAGCGGAGTGCCGTGGCGGTATGGTGGCCGTTGGCGTGGTTGCGGCGGTTGCGGCGGCGGCGGTTGCGGTTGGCCCGGCAGGGTACCGGCTTCCCAGGGGGCCCCCCGGGTGCGGCGTGGTCCGCGTGAGGCGGTCCGGGGGGCCCCTCCGGGCGACCGCCTGCCGCCGCGACCCGCCGCATCCCGGTGGTGGTGTGACACCCGTGGGTTGGTCCTTGGTGCCGTCCTTGTCCGTGTGCCTTCCCTGCGAGCCGTTGTGCTGCAGCACTTGCTGCCGCTGCTGCTGTGACTGCCGTTTTGCCACTGCTACTGCCACTGCTGCCGTCACGCTACTCCTGCTGTCATGCCTGCTGCCCCCTGCCCTTGCCTGCCCACCCCGCTTGCCTGCCCACTGCTCCGTCCAACACCTCCGCACCTGCCACTCCCGCGCCCTGTCTGCACCCCATGCTCCGCACTCCACACTCGCCCCGCCCCCTCACACCCATCCGCTCGTCCACCGTGCGCTCTCACATCTGGGTCGGCAGCTCCTGCCAATTTGCCGCCGCGCCGCTACCTCCGCCGCCCCTGCCGCTGCTTCAACTGACCCGCCTCCCGCCCGCATGTGCCGCCTCTCATTCCCCTGCCGCCAACTGCCTCAACTACACCACACGACGTGTCCTATTCTCTCTGTTCATCTCCCAAAAGACCCAGTACCAGCATCAATAGTGCCTTTCATCACGGCAACAGCTCCCCGCCACACCACCGTCAAACCTACAACTCCTCAACTCCACATGGCCCCGATCACGGGGGGTCCTCCTCGCCGCGCCGCGGGGCCTCACCCTTCCGCGGCGGCGGGCCCAGCAGCACTCCCGCCAACCGCACCGTGACCGTGGTGCCGCCTATCGCCAACCCAGCCACCGCAACCACCTCCACCACCACCACGGCGTCGCCCTTCCTCGACCTAACCAGCACCACCGGGCCCTACAGCCTCCTCGCGGAGATCCGCCGCAAGCGCCTGGCAGCAGGAAATGGCCTTCCACTGTTGGGGCTGGAGCGAGCGGACTCAAAATGCGACGGGCCCACAGGCGGCTCTGCCGCCGCCGGAGCCGCCGCCGCCGGTGGCAGCGGCGGCGCCTTCGGCGCCGCCGTAGCCACCGCCGCGGCTGCAGCCGCTCCTGCCAGCGGCAGTGGTGGCCCGGAGGACACCAGCGGCACCGCCAGCGCCGCCGGCCGCCCGCTCCCCCCAGCATCTCCCACGGGCAGCATCAGCGGCACTACGGACGGCCCCGTGTTGATGAGTAGCGCTTCGCTCAACGGCAAGGCAATGGTGGTGGGTCTGGGCGCCCGGAAGCCCAATTACGACATGGTTCAGGTGTACGACCTCTTCCTTATGAGCTGGATGCGGGAGTCCCTCACGCCACGTATGCTCGAGTGCCACGGCATCGCGTTGCAGGTGCGGGGCGAGCCCCCTTTCATATGGGGCTGTGGCGTGTATTGTGCATGCTGTGCTACCGATGTCCTGTGCGTCTTGAATGCCGCGGGGGGGCCTGCGGGGATGATGAGGAACATCTGTCAGCTGCTTCCTGGCCACCAGAGAACCCCGCGACATTCTCCGGACTGTACCTGCACACCATCCATCGACCTGGTGGGGGCCCAGGCAAGGGGACGATCAGCTTACACATACATAAATACATACATGTGCGTATATACATACATATGCACACGTTTGTATGTATGTAGAATCGTGTGGAATATGGAGCGTGAGCGTAACGGCGTCTGTCTTGCGTTTCAAGGGGGGAATGGAGCGGTGGGGGATTGGAGGGCATGGGGGGCATGGGGGCCGAGGGGAAACGGGTGTTGGGGCGGATGGATCGAAACCCCGCCCCCCGAACCCACCGCACACACGCGCATGGCCCCCCCCGCCCACCCCCCACCCCCCCCACACACACACGATCCCCAGGAGGTGGCGGCGGAGGAGACAGCACTTGCGGAGATATTCAACTTCTACGGGCAGCTGGGGCAGGTGGTGTGGCTGGACTCCCGACTGACCATGAACGAGAAGCAGTTCATCAAGCTGGCCTGCGAGACGGGGGTTTCGGAGAGCTCGACCAACGACATGCGGGAGGTGTTTCAGAAGCTGTCGGATAAGACCGAGTTTGCGTCGGAGGCGGCGTCCAACCACCCGCACCCCTACATCAACTTTGAACAGGTGCCGGCCGTAGCGCTGTGTGTGTGTGTGTTTGTTTGTGTACGTGTGAGTGTGTGTGAGAGAGAGTGTACGTGTGAGTAGGAATGGGAATGTGAGAGTGTGTGTGAGCGTGTGTGCGTGTGTGTTGGAGGGGGAGGGGCAGAGAACGATGGATTTTCCCTTAGGTCCACGAGGCCCATCCGGAGGGAGGAGGCGTGGAGAGGGTGGAGAGGGTGGGAGAGTGCAAGTCGCGTTGGGGGACTGGGCTTTAGCTGGGTGTGTAGGTTACAAGTATCTTGGGCCTGACACTGGCCACAGAGGGGCTGCTGCCCAGCCCCAACGGAAAGACCACCTAAGCTCTCTCCCGCGGACGGGAGAGGGGCGCTAGAGGGGCCTCCTCTGTCCCCTCCTAAGCAGAGCCGCAGGTCCGCTAGCTCCGCTCTCCTTTCCCCGGGGGTGGAAGGCATCGCACGCGCGCACGCTTTTGTGTTTATGTGTATATATGTATGTATATATGTGTCGAACACGTGGCTCTCCGCACAGTTCCGCATTCCATTCCGCTGGCTACGGACTCTCTCCGGCACTCTCAACTGGGCGCTGCAGGAGAGTCAACACTACCCAGCTCCCATATACTCCTCCCCCTGCCCCTGCCCCCTCCGGAAGGAAGCTTACCCAGCCGCAACGGCCGCCAAGTTGATTGTGCGTCGGCACCTTATCAGGCCTTACGAGGCCCTGCTCCCCCACCTCCTTGATTTTCCCCCGCCCTTTTCCCCCCCCTCCACAAACACACTCTCAGTCACAAACACACGCACACACACACGCGCGCCTGCCCTCCGCCCCCGCCTCCGCCTCCGCCTCCTAATGAACATCCCTTCATCGTCCGCAGTTCCCCGAAGCCGTACTTCGGTTGGCGGCTCTGCGGTACGAGTGGCGGCCGCCGGAGAACCTGGGTAAGTGACTGGGGTGGACGCGCTGGGAAGTACGCGTGGCGTACACACGGGTTTACGATGCCTGTTTCCGCCTACCCCCCAAATCCCAGTCTTCCTTCCCCCTCCTCACCCCGGCCCCCCCCCCACACACACACATGCAATGCACGCATACGCGCGCGCCTCTGTCGGTCCCTGCCCGCCTGTTTGCCTGTCCGAACAGAGGACGCTGAGGAGGAGCTGTACTTCGCCTCCCCGCCCTTCATGCCGCCCAACCCGAGGCTGTCCCAGCTGGGGGATGGCGAGGAGGAGCCCCCGCCGCGACCCCCCGAGACAGTGTTCGTGCAGATCGTCAAGGCCTATCTCACGGTAGGTGTTTGTGTTTGTGTGCGCATGTGTGTACTTGTGTGTTTTGAGGGGGGGAGGAATTGGAGAAGGGATTGGGACTGGATGATTTGCCTGATGCGGCTGATCTCTAGCTGTGAGGGTGTGGATGAGGGTGTGGGTGTGGGCAATCTCTTTTCTTGTCCATCAGGGTAGAGCGTTACGTGGGGCGTACCGTGGGGCCTAGGGGCTCCAGGGGAGTTTAAACCTGCCTCGGTGGACTGCGGCGTACCTCCGTTAAGGCTTAGGTGGGTGGCAGGTGCGCGAGGAAGCGTAAATACACCCCCCCTCCCCCCTCCCCACTCCCCCTGACACATACATCCCCTGGCCCTGCTCTCCAACACCCTGGTACGGCTCCCCCCCCCCGCCTCACGCGACCCTCAGGACGATCTGCTGGTCCGAGCTCGCCGCTTCAAGACCGCGGGCAGCACCCGGGCCAAGTCCAGGTCGCATCTGAGGACCGCACCACAGGGGCTGTGGCTCAGCTCGAAGTCGCTTACTGCGGGATCCGCCTCACCTGCGGCGGTCTAGGAGCAGAAGCCTCCGTCAGAGGGGGCTTGGGGGTTATGGTTGGTGGGGTGTGGGCGTGCGTGAGTGTATGTGTGTATGTATGTGTGTGGAAGGAGGGAAGGCGCCTCATGTTTGAAGGGAAACCGACACAGCGGTAGGGAGGTGTGCCCCCAACCGGCGGCCAACCGCCAACCGCCAACCGGTAGGTCGTCATTGCAGCTACCGGCGTGTTGGCGGGCACTGGAGGATCAAACGAGGATGCGCGGGTGGCTGGCTTGACAACGGCCTTCGTAAGCTGTATGTGTAGCCTTCCTATTCGCCACCTACTCCATTTCTCATATTCATCTCCTCCAAATACAAACTTGCATGTGGGCGTGCGATTAACGCATACACACATACGCACATACGTATACACCACACGCACGTTTAGGGGCAAAGTCTCATGAGTAGCCCAGACGGGTCCTCTTCGGGTGTATGTGGACTGTGTTTTCATGTGTGTGTGGGGGGGGAGGGGATATCACCACCGCAGGGAGTGAGTGTACAATATATTTAAATATATATTTTCTTAAGCTATGCGGAGAAAGTCAGGCGGACTAGTGTTTGTGTGGATGTATGCACGTGCATGTGCGTGTGCGTTTATATGTCCGTCCGACCTTGGCTAGTCGGAGTATAGAGGGGGGGGGAGGCCCGCAGGGTGGGGATTTGCAAAGGTGAGTTGTGCCGCGAGCCCTCCCTCTACCTCTCTGCGTTCACCCTCTCTCCTCCTCTCTTGTTCTGTTATCCCTCCTCACCCCCCCGGGGGGGGGGGTCTCTCTTTCCCGCCGGTCTAGCCATTCGGGACGTTTCGTGAATGTCACCAGCGCCGAGAGGGCGTTTGACGATTGGTCTCAGCCTGTTGGTGATTATCTGACACCAGTTGGTGCTTTAATTCTATTAATGTGAATTATCTGCGCTGTTACGGCTGCGGCTGCGGCTGCAGTTGCAATTGCGGTAGCGGCTGCAGCTGCGGCTGCGGCTGTGTGTATCTTATTACCTAGCTAAGCTAAGCTAAGGGCTCCGGGGGGGGGAGTACCATACACACAGGATGATGAGCTGCTGAGTAGCTGCCTCTCCTACCCGGGTGTGGGCAGGGGGGGAAGGGGGGGAAGGGGGGAAGGGGGGAACCCCGCCTGGTGGCAGAATACAAGTAGGGATTGGCGTTGCTGCAGCTGCTAGCGCTACATGTACGTACGTGCGCGTGTGTATACACAGGCACATTTGTGAGTTTAGCTTTATAGAGGCTGCGGTAGATGAAGTAATGCTGGGGGCGGGGGAGGAGGAGGAGGGGGAATGTCGTAGGAGAGCAGATATGAAGGTCATGCAGTTCTTCGAAACTGCTTGCGGAAGGCTTCAGCGTGGCGACAACACCTCTCCATCGTCACCGCCCGTGCTACTGCACCGCCACCGGCGCCGCACTGAGGTCGTAATCAGGCAGGGAAGGGAAAGTCATGGAGGCCCTGACTGCGACAGCGCAGGCAGTGTGGCTGGATGAGTCTTCTTCCTTTTCGCAAGGCTATTTTGCAAACACTCGTCTTACCGCGAGTGAGGCGGATGAATGCATCAGGACGTTTTGGAGGGTTGTTGTTGTCACCGTCCTCTCAGCCGCCCAGCTCTCTGGTGCCGCCTGCACGGAGACGTTGATGTTCGACCGCATCCTCCCCCTCGACATTGACCGGGGGTCAACGTTGAGAAAGTGACCAAACGGGGCGGTTGACCGTGTCCGGATGTTATGCTTTGTTATTGCTTTGTTGACATTTTATATGGCTTTTTATAGACAACTGAAACTTTTAACCTTGCTTTATGGAGGGCGAGAAGCAAGAGGTGTGGAGTAATTACTTGCATGTGCACGCTACCGTACTGCCGTACCAGTCACCCTGAATAAGCCGGCGCTTGTACAAAGTGCAAAAAAAGTGACGTCATAGGGATAAAAAGTTCCAAAATCTTCTCCTCGAATGGAAACCGAGGAGGCCTTGTGCGCGCCTTTGCGAGATCCTTTCTCGTAAATGTTCAGGTGTCGTACGGCCGTGTATGTACCGTGTACGGCATAGGCGCTGTGGGTTGTTAGGTTGTTGCCCTGCCATTTTCAGAACCTCGGGACAAACTGCACCTGCTGGGATGTCCCAATGGGAATATGGCGGCAGTCCGGTGCGCGGCTGCAGAACCGAGGGACGTGTGCTATTGAGTGTTCTTTGCAATGCGCTAAAAGCTATTCAACCGCTGCAATGCTGTACCAGTAGGTGTATGTATGCATGTATATATGTATGTGGGAGGGGGGGGATGGCCGGTGGGTTCGAACTCTTGATGGGCCCAAATCCCAGAGGCTGTGCAGGGAGGGGGAAAGAAGAAGGGGGGGGAGAAGGCAGCTGGAGCAGCAGCCGCACGTGGCGGGTAATGCAGGCGGACTTTGCGTGTCTGTCTGTGTGGGTTGACGCCCTTTTGTGGCGACGATGGGCAGCAGCACTGGAGGGCATTACACTGTATTTCTGTATGTATGTTGTCCTGTGGTGGTGGAACATTATGTCTGATATTGATATTGCCCCGGTATGGAAGAGGGATGGGCCAATTAGGAACCCTCCAGCCTTCTCTCGCTGCGGAGAGTTTCCTTTCCTCACGGGGTTGATTGCGAAGGGGTTCGAAGGGGATCTTACAGCTCTGTCCGCTTTTTTCCGCCATTGGCTGTGTCAGTCCAGCCGCGTGTCTGTATGCCCACGGTACGTGTGTGTTTCCCCCTGCAACTGATTGCGTGCGGGCCTCGGGCCTCCCATCATCAAGTGGTATCGTTTGCGATGACCGGGACGACTGCCTTGGGTTTTGGCTACTGAGCCCCGATAACTCTGAACGCAGTAGAATCTGTATATGCTGAGAACCGCTAGGGACGACTCTTTCGATACCGTTGCGAAACCCAAACGAGGAAATGATGTGATGAGGCAAATTACTGGGGCGAGTTGATCGGCGACCTGTCAGCGGTCAGAGGTTTCAGCCTGCAGCCCTCCCCCGGCATGTTCCCCTACTCGGCAGCATGCACCGTGCCCACGTGGCCCTCGGGCGTTGCGGGTGCAGTGGCGGTGCAGCCGGTGTGGTGCAGCCGGCCAGCCCTGCGGCCCGCACGCAGGCACATTCCTAGGGGGTGACCTGTTGCGCGAGCTGTGCGGTCACACATTGACCTCCGCAAACTGCAAACTTGCCAAGCAGCTGCGGCAGGCTGCACCACAGTCCCGGAAACAAGTAGGACATTTTGTGATTAAAGATCCCCAAGGACGTCATCATAAAAAAAAAGAACAAGTACGGACGAGGGTGACCAAAGGTTGTCATCAAACTTTGGGTTCAAGAAGGGGACAAACAAAGGTTCTCCAAACGTGAAGAAAACCCTTTGGTTTTGTCAAGTTGGTGATCCCCGAAGGGTTTTGGGACACAAAGTCCCTAAAGAGATGATGACAACCCTTTGGGGATGAGAACTTTGAGGGCTCGTCAAGCTCGGTTGCCCCCTTTGGCGACCCGAGGGTCAACCCTTTGGTTGTCCTTCTTGAACCCCAAGGGGGGGGGTCTGACAACCGAAGGGAAGGCAGCCACCAAGGGGTTGTACGTACTTATTCTTTATTTGAAGGTAAGTACAACCTTGTTCCTTTGGAAGACACACCCTTTGGGGGAACCATAGCGGAGCCAAAGCCGCCCTAGGGGACGAACCGAAGGGTTGTCATCCCCTTTGACCGGTGGTGTCCCCTTCAGTCCCCTTTGGGGAGACCTCCTTTGGGGACACCCAAAAGGGATGACAACTTCGGGCTTGTCCCCACTTGTCCTCTGTATTTTATGGAAGCCGAAGGGGAACCTTTGGTTTGCCCTGCCTGCCATGGAAGTCGGCCGAAATGAGGCAGGAACGTGCAGCGAACGAAGCGCCGCAACAGCCGAAACTGGCATAACAGGCACAGGGGCGCTGGCGGCGGTCGGTAAGGGAGTTCTTCCCGCAGACCGACGGGGCGGAGCACGGAGGGAGGCGCCCGCTCTGAATGCGCTGGAGGGTATGAGGACCAGGCACAAGAACCCAACACGCCACTAGGGGCCAGCCGCAGCGGTGGCCCCGGGGGTGACGGTGCTGGCAGCTATCCCTCTGTCGCGAGCGCAGCCCGGGCAGCGGGAAAGTTTTGGACGTGCTTGCGACGTGCCGTTCGCGGCGCTGAGTGCGCTGCAGAGGGGCCCAGACAACGACCGGGTGGGTGTGACCGAGAGGTGTAGGGGGAAAACGCGATGTACGTATATGAGATGTAAGCAATGTGAATGTCCATATGTGAAAATGAAGGGGAGGCGCCATGCGTACTGAACCCTATCCAAATACACAAAAACATAAGGATACGCGAAAAACTTGCGCCACCGGAGAGTCGAACCCCGCTCTTTTGCTTGGAAGGCAAATATCCTACCGATGGACTAGTGGCGCGTCCTCGTATATGACATAGAAGCTAGATACAAATATATAAACAAAGTATACATCAGTACGTACGTACGTGCATAGAAGCACAGTCCCCTGGTTGTTAATCTGCTCCAAAGTTGCGCCATGCTAACCAAACTTGCGCCGTGCTGACGAGGTTGTGTAAAACACCAACCTGACCTGTGGAGGACTCTGTGCGCCCTCTGTTCAAGCGTCTCTCACGGTTCTCTTGGGGTTTCTTCTCGCAAATTCGATGCCATAAACGCGACCGTTACACAGCTCATCCAGCCCAGGTCAGCCTCCTTTTGACCTCACGGTGCCATAAAAACCAATCTGTAAGCATGCACACAACTATCCATATAGGTGCGCAAACCTCAACTCCTAGGAACCTTCTGGGACAAACGGGGGGGCCAGGAATTTTATAACCGCTTTAATACAAAAGAGATATTGGTGAGAGCATTCATAGACTGCTTATGTAGTTTTCATTTGTTTCGTAGAAATGAAGTTATGGCTCCCTGAATTTGCTGTACGGCATGGATACGGCATGGGTGGGTGTGTTTGAAGCTGGTTTAAAATTATAAGTATTGTTTAGGGGAGCCTCAGAGCTGTGTAGCTATGAGCCGGGATGCATTTATGAAAGCATGGTAATATCTGCCTTTGAGAATGTTACGGAATATAGCTTTTAAGCAGCTACGTAGTGAGGTTTCTACTGGGTGATACATACCCGCCACACGAGGCTCGATCGCTGCATGAAGGCTTCCCCACCCTCGTGGGCCCTGATGGCAAAATACCTACAACAGTAAAAACAGCGTCTGAGTACAGATCCTGCCTGAAAGGCTGGCACGCCTGGGGCTGGTGGTGCGCATCCCCAATCGTCCGATGTTCCGAAGGTCACAACTTTGGTGCTAATAACTTTGTGGCAATTACGCAGAGGGCATTGGTCAGGGCAGGGCAGAGGGGCCCAGTCCTGCGCGGGCCCCGTTGCGGTCTTGCTGGGGCGGGGGGTTAGACAGTAAAACTATGCGGCGGCGCTTTGTGAGCACTGTTTGGCGAGGCGATTAAATAAAGGCAGTCTTTGGTTTCGCACACATGCCAATATATTTTGCAAGATTCGTACGACCTTTTTTGACGCGTTCTGGCGGAGTTCGCGGTGCGCTCCGAAGATACGGCATACTGGGTTGAGCGCGTAGGGCGCGGGGTACAACAAATGAATATACATCTTACTCCTGCATCCATTCCTTTATTCACATTCCTCAATTTCTAGGCACATATATATGCTTTAACGTGTTACACATGCGACAGGTCTGGCAACGCAAACGCTAATCAATACCTAAAGCAAAAAAACAGTCCTTTGAATGAGCGCGCTCCAACAACAACCTGAATAGGAAATCTATAAAGAGCTATAAAGACTAGCCCAACGAGTTCGTCTGGCTTGACAGAAAGCCAGACGCCATAGCGCCGTCTCGCGCCATTGCCCCGAAGCCCCCCGATCTCGGACCGTCACGTCATATCACCCTTAGCCCTGCAAAACCATAGATAGCTACGCCATTAGCTTCCCCGGCTTGCTAAGCTCGCCAGTGCACAAGCAATACCCACGCCGTTACGCATCCCTAAGTTCTTTCCGCATTGTAGCGGAAAAGCTTTTGTTAATTAATCCGGCCATGGAGAGATGGATTTGTTCAATGATGCCCAATGACACGGCCTGGCCTATCCCCCTAGCTAGACGCACCCGCCCTGATCCACCCCATCGTACAATTGCATTGGAACGGTGTACCAACTACCCACTGCCTGGCCGCGAAGGTTCAGTGGAGGGCAAGTGCTGATGTGTTCCGATATACCTCTTAACACGGGTTCTTCATTCAGTCTTTTATGGTAGCAGCCCAGCAAAATAAACTTCCTCGAAGCACCTGCAATCCAGCGAAGAGCGCAATCCCTTGCGCTCCCTGGTTCGGACGCACTCTGGGGCGGGACACACATTGCGCGCCTCCGAGCCTACCCCCGAGAGTCTACCCAATCACGATGCACCGCTCCATTTCCCCTACGCCCAAACCTCCTCACACCGCCATTTTCCACTGCCGCCGCAGACTATTGCGCTGCTGACACGCATCCTCCACGAAATCCAGCAACAACACAGCAGATGACGACCGCAGATGACTGTTGGAGCCCTACACTTACCACTTACCGGGGGAAGCACGACAACCAAAACTCGGATAGCTTCCAACCCCGCGGCGTCCAGATCAATCCGTGTGGTTGAAAGGCGCGGGTAGCACAACGCCCCACTAACGTCTTCCCCACACACCTACCCGCGCCCTCCTAACGGATAACTGATAACCGCATGGGCTCCTCAATGGCCCCAGGGCGCGAAGCGCGTCGCTGGGTCGCTGGCAGCTGGGCCGCTCTCACCACCATCGCTGTCCACCACCACGTCACTACCACCGGCCGAGTCCCGATCAATGCCAGGGCCTGCCTGGCCAGCATGCTCCCTCTCGCCTTCCCTTCCGCTTCCCACACCACCGGTAGGTGCGGCCGCGGCCGCGCGTTCCTCAACCGCATGCCATACATCGCTATCCAAATGGCTGACAGCTTCAGAGCCATGCAGATTCGTAGCCCCGTCCCCAAGCCCTCGGGAGCCTAACTGGAAGTCTCGGACTTCCTTGGCACCTGCGGGTGAGGTGTGGCCCCGAGGGAGGGATGGAAGGCGGGGAAAATGCAGGTGGTTGGGGACATGGGGGGGGGAATACAGGGGCAAGGGGATGCATGTATGTTTGATTTGTCATGTGTGCGGGTGCCGTGAAACTGTGCCGTGGGGATGAAGGTAGGCGTAACGATGCGCACCGAACCAAATAATAAAAAGGAATGATGAGTATGAATGAATAGTCCGTTGAGGTTGAGCTTGAAGACAGACGCAGGGTGTCAAGAGGCTGTAGGCTTTGTCAAGCCCGCGCACGGCCAATGTCACAATGGCCAATACCACACACACAATCACAAGGTGCTTCGCCCTGAAGCGGACGAGGGAGGACGATAATGGCCCCCCACGTACCCGCATCAATACCAATCTACCGTCCTTGGGTTCCCCCGGCTTTTACGGACACCCCCGCACGTGTGTGTGCGCGTGGAGCTTGTAACTTGTAGCACTCAAGAGACATACACGCGCACACACACGCACACATACACACACAATGCATCGTGTCGTGTCCATTCATCCCTTTCAAACACCAAAATGCGAAACCCAGATCACCGGGTACGGGTACGAGCACCTGCACGGGTACGCGGCTAATAGTACGAGTAGATGTTTCCTCACGCACCTTATTTTGGTTGCCTATCCTACACAGACGCTGCGGGCAATCTACATGCTCGCATCTCTCACACACCATTATTACCCGTCATGTACCTGTACCGTCCTCGTTTAAACATCTAGCACCCGCTCTCAGACAGCATATCCAAACCGCCGTAACCACCCTGCATCCTATTTAGGTTAACCAGCCTCCACACCACGTGAAAGAAAAAACCTAGCACAACACCACCTTCGTGCAACGTTGCGCATCCCGCATTGACTCTGCCCCATGCATGGGCTCCTTAACACAGCCGTGCGCAGCACCTTCATGGCGTGTCACACCCTACCGGTGTATGTAACTGCCTCGCACTGCTCATGTCCACGAATGTGCACTGCTAATCATTTTGCCAGGTCACCTTTAATAACGCCATTTTTCACAATACGCACAAATTGCACAAAGGCACAAGACGTAACCGTACTCTGCGGCGATATCGTGTCGGGGTCCCCTTGCAGCAGTCGCTCCGCTTCCCCAGCTAGCTCGTCGGCAGGCGGCTGCCGCCGCGCGCTGCCGTGGGGTGTGACCTCCTGTCCCTGCCGGCTGCCGCTGCCTTCGTCGCCTGGGACCCCGCTTCCGTCGCCGCCGCCTCCCATGGTGGCGTAGCCGGCAAGTCCGTCTTGATGTGTCGCGAAGGGCGCGGCAAAGCGCTTGCCAGGCATGTCTGTAATGGCCGCGCAACGATTTACGAATGAGAGAGGCTGCTGGAGTGGGGAAACGTCAAGCCTGAGGGGAGACGGGTTATCATATCGCCATTGCCAGGCTTTTGCAGCGATCATCTACGAAGGCAAAGGAGGAGAGGCGTTATGGAGGAGGCTTTGGGCGGGCCTACTTGAAGGACCCGCGGGTCGGACGAAGCCGCTATCGCTGATCTGTTCATGTTCATTATGGCTGTGAGCGATTAGCGATAAAGGCAATTAGGGCTGAGGGTTGCCTGGTGTTGCGAGCCCGCGGAAGCTCGTTTTACCTTGCGTAAGTAGCCGTGTGACGATGCGCGTTTGCCTTAGAAGTGAAGTCATCTTGAAAATTGAAGTTCAGAGAGTAGGAGGAATCAATAAGAGAATACTCCTTGGAAGGATTTTATACTTTACGACGGTGGCGAATGAAACAAGTTAACACATCCGTTTGGGTAGCACATACGGGAATGGGACATCCATTATGGGTCGGCCCCGATAACGTAAAGACGTATGCTGGAAGCATTTTGGTGCGGTATGGTACTTGTTTTAAACAAGTACAACAATAAGGGTCGCGCAACTTTTCTACAGGCGTTCACTTGCGGTCATATGGGCGACCCCGCCGTCACAGGAAAATCCTTGCATGCCACATCCATATGTTAGTCCTTGTTGATTTTGACAGGCTCGGCTGAGCCAGGGACTCTCCATAATGGGGCCTGCATACACCTTGCGACACATCCGCACGAAGCGCTTGAGTCGCTTTTAGTGCGTGTGGCACAGTGACAGAGCCGAAGATAATGAGGGGCTTTCCTGGTGCATAGGAGCTCAGCACATAAGGCAAAAGCCTACAGACTCATAAACCTTCGAGCCGGATGGTGACCCTACGAGGGCGGCCAAAACCGGCGTACAAAGTACTGCTTTGTTACCTCTGATTTCACAAACACAACAGGCTTGCTTCTGGTACTGTAGTATTACCAGTAAGCGCTACTATAATTAAAGCGTGGTATACCTTGCTTTGGGGTTACTTCAGCCTGAAGAGCTTTAAACTGTCTTTCTACACTATTCGTAGATTCTCGTTACCTAGCGCACGGAAAATTTCTTGCCATATATTTTAGCATCTTCAAGGCCTTACAGAGGCATCAGCTTTGCAGATTGGGTTGCAAGGGCGCATACAGCCCTGGTCAGCGCGGGTCAAGACCTTTATCGACAGCTACGGTACACACCCCGCATACTTGCGTGGGTTGCTTTTAATCTTCTGGATGCAGTAAACTAGCTAGTTTTCCTTGGTTCGTTTGCAGTATGGAAGTGGATGAAACCGAACATTCTCCTGGGCGCCAGGTGCGTCTGAAGGCAGACAGCTGAGATTTGGTGTGAATCTTCACATGTTATTTTCATATATAAACGTGCGCTTTTGCCATTCCAGGTGTGGACACCTACTGTTGGGCGCTCTGGCCCGCTCTTCACAAGCAGTAGTGGTAGCAGCGATGAGGATTCTCCTGGCGTTTGTTCCAGCGCAATTGAGTTTCCCCCAAACCTCTTGAACCACTATTATGTGCGAGACCCGTCGCATGAGTCAGGCGGCATGGTAGGTGATGGCGCGAGAAACCTTGCTCAACACACCTTTAGGCTAATGTAGAGCTCCCCGTATGTCACATTTAGGTGCGTCTCGCACATTGCCAGCTTCACGGATGCCGTAGGTCCCCTTGGCCTCCGCGTGCATATGTTTGGACACATCCCCCTCCGTTCATTAGCCCGCAAACCACCTGTGCACGTCTGCTCCGCAGATGCAGTTGCCCATCACGGACACGCAACGGGTGCCCATCGCTGTACTTCCAACCCCCGGCTCGGCCAGCTTGAGACCCAGCAGCGTGACGCCCTCGTCTGTGGGGACAACCCGAGTTCCGGAACTGGTAAGCGGGCCCGGCCCTCGCGTGCTGTTGGAAGTGGAACTTTAACCGGCTGCCTGTGGTGCAATGGGTATATGTGTCCGCGCCTGTAGGCTCAAGTCTGCTTACTAGACGACAGCCACTCGTAAAACGGTTCAGAAGAACCGATTCAGCTTCCGCGGGTTTCCAGACAAGTGTCTCTGCTCTCGGTGTCTGTGGTCGCAGGATTTAGGGCCAATGTCGTCGATAGCGAGCTTCAGCCAACTGCAGCGAAGCTGTCGCCAGCAAGGACAAGCACCCGTCAGCCCGGAGTCGATATCGACGACCTCGTCTCGCCGATCAAGTAAGCTTTGCACTGTGCGTTGTACTGTTGCCCACAGAACTGTGCAAGGAGCGTCCGTTGCTGTACAAGCCTCCTGCACTATTCTGTGTCGATGTTTTCCTGTGCGCGCGATGCCACGCGATGAAGATAGGGGCCTCAAGGCATATAATCGCAACTCCTACAGCCGGACTACTCCAGTCAAAAGATTGCAGCAAACATTTTCGCATTGCGCTGCTGCCCTGGCACCTGTAACTGCGCAGGCCGCCTACTACCGCCCCCTGGGTACGCCTCCTATAGCTGCTTCCAGTTGGGCTGTGAGCCCAGTGCCCAATCCTTGCCCTCTCGACGCCACACCGCCTCGCCGCGCTGCTACACGGCATGCTACTCGCCCGAGATTAGCCCACGGACCTCAACCACGTCTGTACCCAACAAGTACCGCAGCCAGTCCCGGAATCCGTCTCCTGGCGCCCCTTTTGATTTTGCCGGGGGCGCGGCGCAGTGGCGGGCATCTGGCCGCAACAGTCCTGGACCCGGGCTCTCGCGAAGCGCTACGGCCAATTCCGCGGTTCGGGGGGCAACGCATGAGTCTACCGAGCCACGTGCGCGCTTGCAACGACAATTACAGTGGCAGCAGCAAGATGATGAATATTCCGAAGCCCATAATCTCACTGGGCTTGTTGGGTCAGGAAAACTCCCTTTGCCACCGATGCCGCCCCACTGGGAGCAAGAACTACTGTTGCAGCAGCGACAGGATGCTTGGGCTACCGCCGCTCCAGATCCTGATCTGACTCTGGCCGCTACAGGCAAGATTCCACTGCCGCCACTGCCGCCGCCATGGCAGCAGGAGCAGGAGCTTCTTCAGCGCCATTCGCCTGCGCTAACCCACTCTCAAACAGGAGGCACCGGGGGGGGCCTGTCAATGGGTTTCGGGAACAGCGCGGGTGTTTACCAGCGTGCCTGGTATGTGGACTCTGCGACTGCGTATGAACCACCTCAGGATCTCAGCAGCGAACCGATGGTTCCTTCGCAGGGCCCATCAGCAGCACTCGACGGCTGCTGCCAACATCATCAAATTGGCTGCTGTGGGGAACGCAGAGCTGAGAGGGCTTATCCAAGCGCAGCATCTGATAAGGCTAGGCTTGACTGCTCCAGTCAACCTGCTCTCGCTGCTGGTGCTGCGGTGGCCGCCGATCCACCTGCATCCCCCCTTTTCGCTGCCGCACCTCCTACGCCTCCGTACCTTCAGCAGCACCAGCAGCTAGGATCGCCGCAGCGTCCTCTTAAACAGGATTTGCCTTTTCTTTCGTCGTCGCCAGGAGGATCTCCACGTGCGCTTGGGGCCCATTTGAGCGAGCTTGAACATGTTGTCAGCTCCAGCTTCGGCGGGGGCAGCAACAACCGCGATGCTGGTGGGGGCTGTTGTGGCGATGGTTTGGGGCGCCGGATGGGAAGCCCGAACGGCTTGTACGACATCACGACGATTATGCGGCCGGACGGATCCCTCGAGACTGTGCTTCACATCAATGCGCGCAGCACAAGCAGCAGCGGAAGCGATTTTAGCGGCGGCAAGGGATTAACCGGAGGGTCGTGCTCGCCGCGGCCACGGAGCCCGCTGGGCACCCCAAGCCGCCATTGCCATAACCCTGACAAGTCACTGACACCGTCGTCGTCATCGCTGAATCGCAAGGCCTGCGGCGAAGCCTATCCGGTCGGCAGCAGCTTGATTAGTGAGCTGGCAGCAGCGGTCGGGGTACCTGTTGGGGGGGCCCCAGGAGACGGCCTTGGAGCTGGTGAGGGAAATCGAAGCAACAGCGTCGCTGTCATGACCGCGACTGGCACGTCGGCGTTGGGATCTGGGAATATGTCTTCGTCTGTGGACAAGGGCATGCCATCGACGAGTGAAGACAGCAGCCCTGGTAAAGCGCTCGAGCATCAGCAGGTTTCTACTTTGCATGAAGTAGCTGACCAAGAGCAGCAAGTCTTGCTTGAAGGTGCGACAGCGGAGCTGTATCCACCCTTGGAGCGCGGCTTTATGGGGGGTCATTACAAGAGCTTATTGGCCAACCCGTTGTTCAGGTGGGTACACATACGCACGTCGCATCCGCCATCGTCCTTTTGTGATAGGTTTGCAGAGCTTGATTTGCAAAATTGCATGCTGCTTGTCTAACGGCTCGAGTATGTAAACAATCTGCACTGCCAGGATGCGAGTGCCTACTGAAAGGGGCGAAGAATTTGGCAAATCGGAACACATGACAAGCCCTTCGTGGCACACGCACCTCAAAACGTAGCAGTGCTATATCAGTCCAAAGATGCAACTGCCTTATGCTTTCATAACCCGTACGTTTCTGTGGAATATCCATCTTCAGGTCATCCGGTGGCGGCGTCAGCGGCGATAATGGCGTTGATTACCCATGTGGTGACATATTGCTGCTCGAGTCCGAGGCTGGCTCATCCGCCCGTCTAAAAGACGTCGATACGTTGGCAAATTTGCATATGTGCAGGCCGTCCAGCGGGACCCGGCGCCCAATGTTGCGGCTTGGGGGCTCTCGGCCCGAATCGTCCGGGGGAGAGCGGTTCCCTACTAGCTCCCTCGCCGCCGCGGCGGCGGCGGCACTTGCTGCTGATGGTGGTGCAACGTGCCAGGGTAACTCCCCATCAGGAACCTCCGATGACGGGGATGCAGATGTGTACAGTTTGCCCATACCCTCGCCCGCCAGCCTTCGCTCATTGCGCTTGACGCAAGGGGTCTCCAACTCGGACACCCATGGCAGCACTAACAGCAGCCGCCAGGCAAGCCCGAATCAAGCCGTTCGTGAGCTTACCAGCGATCACTTCCTGGGCGACGTCAACACAAGCAACAGTGGAAGCCGCGCGCGCAGCGCATCTCTTGTGTGCACGCCCACCCGCTGCATCCCCTCGGCAGGTGATATGCGAGTGCTGGACCTGACTTGCTTACAGCAGGAGCGGCGGCGCCGTACCATACATCTCCCCGCTCATCATTCTCCGGCTGAGGCTGCAGCCCTTGGCACACCGTCGGAAGCGCAAGCCACCGTTGAAGACGCGCTAGGTGCCAACCTCCTCTCAAAGCCATCGGAAGCCGGATCAGTTGATAGTGCTGTGTCCGAGGTGGCGCCCCTCCGAGAACTGCCCACGCTCTCTCCATGTGTTGCTGACGGCCTGGCGGAGTGCGCCTGGGGGGCCCTGCTGGATGGGCCTGATCGCGAGAGAGCGGCGGTAGAGTTGCCGCTGCAGCCTTCCTCGACAGACGGATATACAAGCGCCACTAGCATCGCCAGCTGGGCAGCCGCAGCAGTCGCTGATAACATCCACAGCGGCGATATCCGTGAGCTGCCCGTTGCGGCACTCCCGGCGCTTAATGTTCCGGCCATGCGGCGGTCCGGTCTCGTTGAGGAGTCGTCGTCCACGTTGGAGCCACACATACACGCGCCCATCATCCTGGCAGCCGCTACGGAGGTTCAGCTGCAAGGTGCCGACATGATGGCCATTGCGAGAAGATTGGAGCGCCGTGGTGACGACATGATTGCGGCCGCGTTAGAGGTGCAGAGGCAAAGCGAAGACATGATGGCAGCAGCACATGAGGCACGCCGCCAGAGCATGACGCTGCTGGCAGAGGGTGTTAGCGTCAAGATGCAGAGCGCGGAAATGGTGGCGGCCGCGCGGAAGGTCCAAGAGCAGGGGGCGGATCTCATGGTAGCGGCCGCAAGGGAGCAGGAGGTAGAGGAGAATATCGTTGTAGAGGTGGAGCAGGCGGTGTCAAGCGAGGTAAAGCACGCTGACGGCCCAGAGGATTCAGCCGATGGACGGCCTCCCTGCGGCGACACCCGCTCTTGCGATGCGCCGTTGAACCAAACTGCCATCTCGCCTGCAGCAATCTCCTGCAGTACCCTGCCAGAGGGAGCCGCACTGACCGGCAGCGCCAGGGCGGCTACTCCACAGGATTGCTGCAAGGGAGCGGACTCGTCTTCGTCCGCGGCAGACCACGCCGTCACGAGCACGGCATCCACGGCGCCGGATGTGCCTGCATCGGGAGTTGCATTTGCAGTTTTGGAGGTGGAGGCCGTGGTTCCCGTAGTGTGTGTCACATCAGAAGCAGCGGTTATGGCTGCCCCCAACGCCTCATTGTCGCAACCGGAACTAGCGGCCGAAGCCTCAATATACAGTCCGGAGGAAATGGCGGAACTGTTGGAACTCGCGCTGGAGGTCTCCGCTGAGGCCATGGGCATCCGGGCGGCGGAGACCATGAGGGCAAATGCCGGGGAAGAGGATGCGCTGGAGGGCCTGGCTCTTATTCTAGCGGAGTCCGCTCGCTGCCCTACGATTGCTGCAGACCGCTCGACAGCTGAAGGTGGCGGCGTTTCCTTGCCTGTTCTTCAGGTCGGGCAACGGTTAGATTCCGCCGCGGATACCAATAACGAAGGGACCGAAACACTCACGCTCTCACCCAGAAGTGCAGGAGTTGTTGCACCTGCTCTTGCTGCAATAAAGGGGGAAAAGGAGTCAGCAGCAGCGCTGCCTTCACATGGTCGGCTTTACGCGGAGGTAGCAGCAGCCAGCGTTGCCGTGGCTGCAGCTGGTGCGGCAACGGTACCTGCACTTCCCTGCGTTATTACCGCGGACGTCGATGGTTTTGGATTGTTAACTGCACGAGGAGCGCCACCTCCACAGCTGAACGACGGTGGCACTGGTTCTGGTAACGGCGGCATGCACTGCCAGCAGACACCTAACGGAGCGGCGGCAATTATGACTCCGAACTCTACCTCCTCGTGGTGCAGCCCCAAACCCAAGTCCAAGGCTGCTGCGTTGGCTGCGGCGGCCGCCGTTGCAAAGGCAAAAGCTGGATCAGTGGGATTGCCTGCGGCGCCGACGCCAGCGTCACCCTCTGCTTCGGCTCCCTCCAGCCCGGCCTGGTCGACCGTGGCGTCGCACAAGGGCCAACGGAGTCGGTCTGCCGCCATGATGCAGCTGGATCCAGTTGCTTTTACTAATGCCGCAGTGTCAAGCTGTGCCACCAGCAGTATCAAGAGCAACAACGGTGCCAGGCAGAGCATTGCAAGCACAAACAGCAGCTGCAGCTTCGTTGATAATACCAAAGGTGCCGGCACTAGACACAAGCCTACCGCCAGCCGCGCGCACCAGCCGGACATACAGCTGCCCGGACGATCGTGTGCAAGGGGGTCGCTGATACGTACCCAATCAGAGCGGCACAGCAAGGATGGCTCAAACGAAGCAGCTCGAGCATGTGCCGGGGCCACTAGCGGCAACTCTGTGTCATCACCGATGGCCGCGACTGTAGTTCCGGGGGATCCTGCAAGCCAGAGACTGCTTTGGGCGAAGGTAAAGTCATTCCTCTTTCGATCCTCTGCATACTCCACGGAGGAGGAAGATATCGAAGATGAGGCGGAGGACGAACCAGGCCGGGATGGCAGCTGGTTAACATTTGGTACCGGACTGCTGGCAGGGGCCGTGCTGGTGTTCGCTTCCGCATTGCTGCTGTCGGAGGTAACGAAGAACCAGCAGCCACCCATCCAGAACACCTATCGGCAATGCCGCTTGGGGCCGCTGGGGCAGATGAGCAATGGCACCCCGCTGCCCGCTGCTGTCCCATGGTCTGCCGAAGGGGCCAGCAATGACGTCACGAGAAACTCCAGGCTGGAATGGGGCGGTCCATTGCAACAAAGTGCGTCTGGCTGGAGAGCTTCACAGTGCTCTGACCTGGATGCGGACGACCGTGCATGCCAAGAAGAGGCCTCAAGTACTACTTACGCAACGTGCCATGGCTTGGGTCATTCCTTAAGCGAGAGCGAGAGCCCAACCGAAGACGAATCTAAGACTGATCGCAGCGTTGTAGTTGGTAGTCGAGCCGAGAATGTCGGAAGCCGAGCTGTGGACGGCGGGGCCCAAAGCCGCATGGGACCGGAGGGCCAAAGGGCCGCAGAGGCGCTTGTTTCTCACCCGCAGTACGTTGGGTCGGGGGTACCTGCATGGTTAACCATCCACCCACAGGCTATTTTCGATAGACTCGAGGGTTGGCTGGCCAAGGACGTGGCGCATTTGGACGGCGCAGGGTCGGACAGCCAGTCGAGTGAGAGGTTGGAGTCGGTAGCGTCGTCATTGCAGCCTCTGGATTCGCCCCAAGGGTTAGAGCAAATGATTTCGGCACAATGGCCGCCATATGGGGAGCAGTTATTGTTGGGGGACAAGGATGACGGCGGGATGACATACAAAGTTCAGGTGACGCAGGTTCTGGAAACTGCCCATGGAGTCACCACCGAGGCAAACACCGCCGATTTACCTGACGATGAGGTGGACCCCGGGGCAGAGGCCTCCAGTACATCTTACTCTGCGGCCTGCCCCTCGGAAGACACCGCCGGTGCGGCCGACCCTCAAGCTACCACCCTGGAAGAGGCCGCCGGTGCGGCCGACCCTCAAGCTAGCACCCTGGAAGAGGCCACCGGTGCGGCCGACCCTCAAGCTGACACCCTGGAAGAGGCCGCCGGTGCGGCCGACCCTCAAGCTACCACCCTGGAAGAGGCTGCCGGTGCGGCCGACCCTCAAGTCAGCCCCTCGGAAGATGGGGCCTATGCGGCCGACCCATATGCTGCCACACCGGAAGAGCCTGCCGATGCGCCTGAGCCCCACACCGGGCCCTCGGAGGACGCTGCTAGTGGGCCCGAACCTTCCTGGGAAGGTGCCAGCAGTGCGCTCGACCGTCAGGCCGGTCCCGCAGAGGATGCCACATTTGCGCCCGACTCTCAACTTGTCCCCGCCGCGGCAGATGCCATTTGCAGCCGGCCTGCTGAGATACTTCCCGCGGCGTTTGAGGGGCATGGAATGCACCGCGTCACCGCTGCTCAACCCATGGTTGCAGACGGTGATATCCCTGCAATGAACGCCCCAGCTCAGCATGTTGCAGGAGCCACAGCACGGGCTGCGGATGCCTCTACCGCACCCACGGCCATTAGCGTTATTGCGCCTTTGCGAGGCGCGGGTCTGGGCCTGTCAGCTGCTGTGGCGGCGACCGTGTCAACACTGCTGTGGGCCGGCCGGCGCCGCCGGCCTCGTCGCCACCGCAACTGGGGTGGTACTTGGAAGTCGGTATGGGACGTAGGCCCCGTCCCATCCGCAAGAAGAAACATTCCCCCAGCCACCGCTCAAGTCGATGGCGCTGGCCCCATCGGTCAGCCTCACGATACAGCTAATGGCCTGTACAGTGCCTATGGTAGCGGCGTGGCGTACGACGCGTATGGCGGAACAGATCCATACGGGTATTCTGCTGCTGGGGCTGCTGGCTTTGACGCCGGCGCGGTGCTCGGTGATGCCGGACCGCATGGTGCAGTGGGCAATGGTCACGGCCAACCGACCGAGTATGACACGGAATATCACAACCAACCCATGAGCCCGCGTCGCTTCCTTCGGGACGTTCCCGCTGACGAGGGCCTCCTGGATTGTTACTATCTGCGCTCCAATCGGCTGGTTCCCCGAGGCAGTCCCCGCAGTCCGCGTAGCCCAGGTGGCTCTGGGGTTACGTTTGGCAGCGGGGCCGCAGCTGGCAATGCGGAGGCGGATGTTGCGGCGGGGCAGGCTGCGGTTGCACGACAGCGGGACGTGTGGTACCACTGGCTTCGGAATCGCACCATTTTTTGTTTTAACACGCAGGGGATGTCTCCAGAGGCGCGTCGCCTCGTTGCCGAGATGCACCAATAGCAGCGCGTTGCTGGTAGGGGCGACAGCGGGAACGTAACGAGCAGTCGCGTCGATTGCGCCTGTTGGTGCATGTGCATCACGAGCAACTCCTGCTTGCTGGAGATTCGATTAACCGGGGTAAAATGGTATGAAGTTTTTTGCTGAGGCGCAGCTGGATGTGCAGTCAGAGCAGGTTTCGTGTGGCAATTTTTCACAGTCCGCTTGCTCAGGTCAGTTCACGTGGGGCTTGGCATCGGCGCCCGGCATCGGCGCCAAAGTTATGCGGGATATTCATGTTTTTGCTGCTTGGTTTCATCGGATGTGGCTTCACCTATCACCAATCCTTTTAAGTGCAGACAAGTTTGAAATGTTTAGGTTATTATAAACGGTAGAGCTGGTACATAAAATTTATCACAGGGTGGTTTGTGCGATGTATGTGGGAAGGGTCAGGAGGAGATGCGTCTGTACTACTATTGCAGCATTCCGGTAAATCTTACGCAGATGCACAGGTCAGGTTTTGCCGTACCACACAGGTAGGGGCCCGGTTTTTAAGTTAGGAAGCGTCCGCACTGGCGCAATATGAGGCGATGGCTGCGCACACGGTTTGCGGGTGGTACACTTAAAGTCGCCAGTCCTTTTTCTGTCACGTGCGAAACATATCGGCTTTCCTATGGTGTTCTATGAACAGCTTGCGCCTGTGGCTGGACAGTTGCCTAGGATGCTTTGATGACGGGTAATCTTCAAACGTGTGTTTTGCTCCGTCATTGTCAGGATGACGCCTCTGATCCCGATCTCTTATGGCATGAATGTTTTGGATCTTCGAACTTGCTAGTGGGTGTTGCTCTGTGGTCAGGATCCAGCTGTTCCATTGCCAGCTGAGCGGGAGATGCAACTGGGATGGCGAATGGTCTTGAGTGGATTGCCTGGCGGCGTTATCCTGCATTCTGTGACTCTATTGGGCGTTCGTTAGTGTGTCGGCGCTGACCTGCAGGCTTATTTTACCAGGGCGGACTTACTATGTATTTTCCAAATCGTCGCGATCAGCATGGGAAGCGCGTATATACTGGATCGTTATGCTGCTAACTTATTTGGCATATCCCTGCTTGGCATCTGTGACCTTTGTTCGCTGAAAGGTGACATATTGTGTCGAGGGGTATGAAACAAGACCACGTTTGATGCAGCGTTCGTGCACTTGATAGTGGCCGGTTGATGTGTCCTGGTCAAAGGATTCGCAATAACAGATTTGATTGCAATCTTGTCTTCAAGCAGACAGGAACGAACGTTTCCTTCAATGGAATATTCGTGTGGGTCATACTTTACTCGTACGTGATGGAGGTGCACGGAATCACGGATATAGTTTCATGTACCGAACTATCGTTTCAGGTTTTAACCGCCGATGATGAACGTGGGGCCCACGGGTCGGCTGTCTTGCTGTGTTTAGTCAGGAGCTTGCTTTTCTGTACTAGGCAAAAATAATTCATTAGATTTGATGCTCACTAAAAGCTTTCCAAATCAACGATTTGCTTGCTCTGCGTCGTCGCCGACAACTTTGGATGATAGGCCCCTCCCCGTAGATGCAAGCAGACTCTGCCAATGTAAATGTTTTGACATGCATTTCACTTGAAAGGGCGGCCGGCCATGGGCGGCTTATAGCCCAGTTTCATGACAGCGATTGTATTTTTCCTTCTCCAGCCACCCGTCCTTTATGACAAATGTATCCAAGAGCGCAGCAGAAGCCTATGAAACAGGATATCGAATCCGCTTTAGTCAAGGAGAGATTTGAGCAATTTGGACGCAGATGGGAGGTTCAGTCTTGCGCTGCGGGCTCGTCAGATCCTGGTTGTCGCCTTCAGGCGGCCAAGTCCCTAGCCACTCTCGTGGCTGCTCTTGAGCAGCACAAGACGGCTGCACACAAGCCCCAAGCTAGGCGAGTTCATGGTGGCGTGTGCCCTGAAATTACGGAGAATTACAACGTCTTCCCCCATGGTTATACCAGTATGGTCACCCAATTTCCTTACTGGCTTCATCGATTTACAGGCACGCCGCATCTCGCGAGGTGGCCTGGGGCCCTTTGCTGGAGGCCTTGTTGGACGCATCCGGTCCCCCGGCAACCCTGAACGTGGTGCTTCCCGCAGCTGCTGCGATAGTACGCTTCATGCCCGAAGTGGGTGATCGGGCTGGGTAGCTAAGGTGTGCGGACAGGCTGCATGGATTTCGCGACCCATCTGGCCAGCTGCATGTGCGGGTGCGTGCTTTACACCTTCAGTTGCACAGCCCTTCAAAATTTTACGAGTCCGCACCAGGCAGGGGCCTAGTGTGCAACGCCCTGCCCAGTTTGACCCCGGGTGCTGTGACCAACTGGAAAAGCCTACAGTAGCCTGGCTACTGCTTTGCCGTACGAGCCGCATCTCTGCGTCATGAGCCGTCCGTCTTTTATAAACCACCAAGCCGACCTTGTTTAATCACCAATACCACCATCATCATATCATCAGTATGCCGTATGTCCTGGCCAGCGCCGCCGCCATTGTTGACCCACACACACACCCCTGGTGCAATAACGGCTTTTGCCTTGGCCCTGCTTCCCCTCCCTCTCCCTCTCCCTCCCTGGCTTTTGTGTGACACATGGAATCTGTTGTTCGCAATGCTGGGTGCTCGCTCCTCCTCACGCACGCAGGTTGTACCCACAAGCTGCTGCGGTGCACTTGTGACGCTCCTGGACCCGCCCGCAGGCGTGTGTGGTGGGGGCCCCAACGGACAGCTGATTGCGGGCGCGCATGCCGTCTCGTGTCTCACGGCACTGGTTCCCATCTGGCGTTCCGCCGCGCTGCAGCCGCATTGGCGCGCGACTCGGGGATCCACTCGCCTACTTGCGCACGTTCGCCGCTGTGTCACCGCGGCCGCCGCTTCTGCGGCGACTGCGGCCCAACTCATGCGCAATCCCGGGTCACACCCACGCCTAGTGCGGGCGTCACTACCTGATATGAGTTCCAGCGCCCCCGCCGCCGCCGCCGCTGGCGGCACAACCGGCTGTGGCAGCGGCGGCGGCGGCGGCTGCTTAGCTCAGCTCACCGCCGCGCTGCGTTTTACCCTGACTATGGTTCACCTAGGTGGTGAAGTTCGCGCCGATATGCTGGAGCAGGTACGGCCATGGGTTCTGCTACTGCTGGATGCTCACCAAGCAGCTTCGGCCATCGCCGCTGCTGCCGCCGCGGCAGCAATGGACCCGCAAGAGCCTTCAGGGGGGGGACCTGGGAAGGCAGTTACTGGGGCTCGCATCCGTGCTCACGGACTTGGCATCGGCGTCGTCAGTGACAGTACTGTATCGTACTTCGATGGTCCGCTCAGGGCACAGGCACTGGTTCTGGAGCTGCTTCAGCTGCTTTCCACATCTCGCCGCTTCTGGGCCGCAGTGCTGCGGCCATCCCAGCCCCAGCCCCAATCCCAGGCCAACATCCCCGACGTTGCGGCGATGAGGAAAGGAACACCCGGCGCCACCAGCGGCGTTGGCGTTGCCACTCGTAGTAGCGCTGGCTTGGGATCTGCCCCCTCAGCAGTAGCAGCAGTAACCGTAGCAGCCGCTGGCTCTGGCAGGCCTGTGCTTAGTTGCAGGCTGCTTGCGGTGCTTGCGGAGCACCTGGGACCACCTCGCCGTGCTGCACCTCCCGGGTAGGGCCCAGAGCGCGGAGCTTGGACACAGGACTGGATTCAAACGGACAGTCCTCGACAGATTTGTTAGGTAATCTGGATTCGGCAGTTTTAAAAATATCAGATCTGTTGGTCAGACGCCATGTGAAGCCGAGCGTGTGGAAGGGTAAACCCCGCTTGTGGGACAGTCGCGTGCTGCCGCTTTGGATCCGTACACCTCCTGGGTTGTAGAGAGCCGTGGGCCCCGGGTGGGGCCGGGTGGGGCCATGGACGGTCAATGGCCATATCTGCCACTCCCGGAATGAGAACGTTGTCGTCCTCCTCTCTCCCGCTCTCCTGGCTACCTGGTTGCGCGCCTGAGCGCGATGAGGGCCTCCAAGAGGAACTCCAAGAGGGATATCTGATAGGAGGAAGGCTGGTCACTGAGCTGTATAGGGTAGGCTTCCGTCATAATGGGACGCATTTCGCGTCCTCCTCGGAAACCAATGTCACCCGCGTACATAACCCGAAGCCCCTCATAGGCCGGTGGGCATTTGAAAAAACATCCAGCTCGCCCTGGACCGCTCCGCAGTCACAAAGCCGGCAGGTATGCGCGGCACGCTCAGCGGCCATTAGGCCTGTTAGTTCCCAACAACCAGTTCCCAACAACCTTACTACCTGAAACGCGTGAGAACCTGCTGCAATGGCCTATATAGGCAACACAGCCCCGGTGTGAACGAGCCACACCAGCTGGCTCCCTTACCAGGACATGGAGATGCTCCCATCCAGTTCAGATACCGGCATGTGCCCTCCTAGGCCCCTTTAATGACTCCGGTAGGAAGCCCCCCGTAGGTCAGCCCCAGGGTGTTAGCACACGTCCTCCTCGCAACAAGTCGCTTACGGAAGTTAGCTTGAGGGTGGGGTTGCCGTCGTGAGAGTGAGTGAACCCAGTGCAGGTTGACGGGCTCAGGGTTGCCGGTCCATGCAATCCACCGCCACGGGCGCCTACAACAACCTTCCCCTCTTCCCCCATACACACACACACGCTCTCAACGCCCGCGGCACGTCTGCCCGCGCTCTCTCGCCATAGGTGTCTACTCCGCTGTCTTCTTCCCTACCGTGTACACGGTCGTTTGCACCTGCAGGGCCGGGTCACCCTCGTCACCGTCGCCGCCGCAGTTGTCGTCACCGGTTTCGGCGCATCTTAGAGCCAGCGCCGCCCTGCTGTGCCATCCGGGACTGTGGCGCCCCTCCGCAACGTATCACGACGGGACCGTGGCTGGCGCTGGCGGAGCTGGAGCTGGAGGCGGAGGACCTGACCCCCTGGAGGCCGCCCGTTGCGCAGTCCTGGAGGCCGTCCTGGGCTACCTGGAACCGCACACCAGAGCCGACACCGGCAGCAGTAGCAGTAGCAGCAGCAGCTGCCGCGCGGCATGGCCGCCATCAACTGCCATCCTGTCCGTCTTGGCCGCGGCGCTAATGCCAGCTCCCATACCGTACGGCAGCAAAGCTATGGAGAGGGAGCTGCCGTACAGCTCGGTGTGGAGCAAAGTGCGTGAGTGGATTTTGCGGGGGGGCCCCTGTGGGGATGAGGCTTTTCGCGCTTTTCTCCTGGTTCACCTCTTGCTTGCCGTACTTGCGACTCCCGTCCTTCTTCTTTCAGCTCCTGGCCCGTGTGGGGTCCCCGGCTCCTTGCACTGCAGCCTTTCCAAAGCGCGTTCCCTCCTCCCCTCCCCTCGCCTTCAAACCCTCCCATCCTCCCAACCTGTAGGCGCTGGCTCCAATCTTGGCGCTGGCTGTCTGGGCCGTTCTTCAGGGCACCGCGGGTGGCGGCCTGAATGCGGTTGCGAGTGTCGCGAACCCCGATGTCCCTCGAGGCCCTCAGCAGGACAGAAGCGGCAGCGAAACCGGCGATACAGGGGTGGGGATGGCGGCGGTACCGGTAGCGGCCGGCGGTTTCGGGTTTGTTGGCGGCCCCACCGGCGTCCTCAAGGAGGTTGAGGGCGCTGCTGCGGAGGCGACGGGGTGGCTGCTGCTGCGGCTCCTTGCGCCGCGAGCGACCCGGGAGACGTTGCTGGCCGCCTGCGGCATCGCCAGCTGCTGGGCCGCCGGCTGCAGGGACACACTACGCCCGGGACCCGGCAACACGGCACCCGCACCTGGCCGCGTGTCTACTACATCTCCTGCCGCTGGTGTGCCCTCCTCACCCGCTGGTGCTTCTGCAGCGGCTGATGCTGATGCTGATGCTGACTCGCCTACCTGGGATTCGCGCCCTGGCACCCTGGCAGCCCTCATCACCCGGGTGGTCATGGAGCAATATGCAGCCCGCGGAGGCAGTGGCTTTGGTAGTGGAGGCGGAGGCTATGCGGCGCTGGTCGTGAGCGCGCTCAATTAGTACGTGTGGGAGGTTCGGGGGGGACCCGCGAAAGACTGAAGCTGGTCCCGGAGCTGGTCCCGGAGCAGCTGCGGACCCCGTGCCGGGAGGGGACCGCATTACCCCCACCACCCCACCACCCGCACCACCCCACCACCCGCACCACCCCACCACCCCCACCATCATCACCGCGCTGGTGCTAGTGGTAGTGGTGATGGTGGTGGGGGTGGTGGACTATGTGACTCACAGCTTTGGTCCATTGCTATTGCGGCTCCGTTGTAACACGGCCGTTGTCGCGGCTGCCCCGCACCTGCAGCGCCTTCACGCCGCTTTACCCCCTGTCCCCGGCACGCACTTCCCACGTCCACCCGCACCTCGCAGTACAAGTTTGGGCGCCCTCTCAGAGACTCGGGCCCAGCCAGGCCCCCAGCGGCGGCTGACCTTGCTCAAGGTGTGTTATGGGGTGGGGGGGTGGGGTGAGGGGGGAGAGGGAGGCGGCCAACTCCCTACCTACATCCGTACACACACACCGGTTCCTCGCTCCTCCCACTGTCGACGTGCCCCTACGAAACAACGCCGTACATTGTCGTACGCTGTCGCACAGGTGCTCCTCGCGGCTGCCGCCAGCATATCCGCCGACGCCGGCGCCGGCACCCTTACCAGCAGACCTGGGCAAGGCTGTTCCGCACCCCCGGTGCCGTCCGTGGACCTTCAACGGCTCCTCGTCAACACGCTGTCCTGCTGTTGCGGTGAGCTGCTGGCTAGCCCGCTGCCGCCACCTACGGGGCCGGTGGGCCATGCCCTGGTCCTACATGCCTGTTTGGGCTCCATGCTGGTCGCCGCGGGGCACCTACCACCGGGCGAACGGGCAGCAGCCGTGGTGTCGGCCCTTCCGGTCCTAATGGCCGGAGCTGCCGGCTCTGCCGGGGTTGTACGGAAGATGGCGGCGGCGGCGGAGGTACCGACGGCATCGCACGTCGTTCACACCGCTGGCTCTGCGCTGCGTCTGTGTAGACAGCTGACTGCGCTTGCTACTGGTCCCAACCTCGACGACGCAGGTATCGACGGAATGTCGTCATCACACCAGTCGTACCAGTCGTACGACCGTACACACGGCCAGGAGCAGCAGGGTAAAGGTGTGGGGCCGGCTTCAATGGCAGCAGCTGCGTCGGCGGCGGCGGCGGGGGGGTTGGCGGCGATTTCCCATAGCCAGGATAACCGAAGTCGGATGGATCCCTCCTGGGGTTGTTGGTGGTGGGCGGAGGCGGAGGTGGCGGCGGCGGAGGCGGAGGCGGAGGCGGAGGCTGCCGTTACTGGTGCTGTGACTGGACAGCGGAACGGGGTGGCCGCTGTTGGCGGCGGCTTACGCTATGGTGGCGGCGGCGCGGGGGCCCCCGGCGGCTCGGACAGCGGCAGTGATTTGGACGGTGACGCCGACGGCGACGTCAGCGGCGATCCAGAGGACGATGGCGGCATCTATGAATGCTCGGCGGACATGAGCTCTGGAGCGGCGCTGGCAGCTACGGCGCCGGCGCGCCTTTGCGGCGCTGTACGGCACCTCGTTTGGGCAGAAATCCGATGCGCCGCGACGGCGCTGCTCAGCTCAATTTTCGGGGTGCTGCTGTCGGGCGGAGCGCCGCCGCCGCCGCCACCGCCGCCGCCGTTACCTCTGCAGCCAACGCAAGAGTGTTTATGTGCAGCGGAGAGCCTGGCTGCGGAGCCGGAGGCCGGGGCGCCACTTTTTGGGTCGGCTGGGTGCGGCGGCGACGGCAGCGGTAGTGGCGACGGGTGCACCGTCGCCCCCTTCGCTCCGGCCGAGCTGCTCGGGGAGTTTTGTGACGCGACCTTCTCCTTTGGAGCCGCTTGTAATGCTGAGGGCCAGGCGCCGGCAGCGGCAGCAGCAGTGGCGGCGGCGGCAGCAGTAGCAGCCCCTGCGGCGCTCATAGCGGCGGGATGCCCCGCCTTGGCAGCCAAGCTGCGCCAGGCGTTGCTACAGCCTCCGGCGGCTGCCAGTCGCGATGTTGGCGTCGGCGGCAGTCGTGGAAGCAGCGAAGGTGGCAACGTCAGCGGTAGAACTCCCCGCAGTAGCAGCAGCAGCAGCGGTAGAGGCGGCGGTGGCGGAGGCGGCAGCGGTGGAGGAGGAGCCGCTGCCGCCGTCGCCGCCGCCGCAGCAGCAGTGGCGGTGGTGGCCTGGCCAAGGGTTATCGAGGTGGGGACTCGCGTGGCGTACCGCAGAACAAGAGAATTGTGACGGACAGACAGACAGACGGACATTACGGTGCATTTCTCTTCACGCCCTCCCTCGCAGGCATGCACACACGTCTAGAGTCCGCACACTCCCCCTAGATGTCTCAGTGGGGCCATTGTCATGTCCTAGGAACGCCATACCTGGGCGGTATCTGTCCTCCTCTCTCCCCCCCCCCACACACACACACACAAACAAACAAACAAAACCCACACGCCGCCATGCGCCAACAGGTGCAGCTAGGTGCCCGGGTTCCCCACGCCGCATTCCGTACAGTGCTGGACTACCTGGTGCAGGGCTCGGCTCGTCTAACGCCGTACAAAGCGGCGGCGGCGACGGCGACGGCGGTGCGTGAGGGCCCAGCGGGCGATGATGCGCTGGCGGCGGCGGCGGCGGCAGCCGCAAAGCGGGAGGTATCCTCTTTGGCACTGGCCCTCGGTAGGTGCTGTGGGATGTGGCGCGACGTAAAACACGTGATGCGATGCGATGTGTGGGGAGTGCAAAGGTCGGGGTGGGGCGGCTGTTGATGAGAGGGGTTGTGGTTTCGGAGAGCACCGCGCAACTCCTTCCTTCTCTAAAGTACGGAAGAGTTTCACCCCTCGCAAAATACCACCGCGTTGAGTGTATGTCTCCGTCCGGCATGTGGCATGGTGCTAGTGAGATTGTTGATGGTGCTAGTGCAATACCAGTACATGGTTATACCGCCACCATTTCCAAACTCGATTGGCCATTGGTCTCGACATCATTCGAACCTGTAATGATGATCACTCCCCTCCCTCCCCTCCCCCCCGGGTTTACCCCTTGGCCCCGTTATTTCCCCCTTTGTCCTATCGACTTTGCTACCGTTATTACCTTACCGTTGTTACTGTTACAATGTCTTTCGGTTGACAACGCCCCTACAGGGCTCCCGGAGCTCCGTGCCACAGCCCGGAGCTCCTTTCCCCACCCGGGCAGTTCCCCCCCACACGCGACACCCTGCCTGCCGCCACTCCTGCCGCGGCACCTGCTATTGCTGCCACCACAACCACAACCGTCGCCGCCGCTGCCGTCGCCACCGCCGTCACCGCCACAACGACGAGCAGCACACGATACGTCGTCACCATCGCCGCCGCCGCCGCCGCCATCTCCGCCACCTCCGACACCGGCAGCAGCAGCTGCAGCAGCTGTACCGGCTGTGGAAACTGGAGAGCCCGTCACCATCTGCATGGGCAAGTACGGCCACGGCGGCGGCATGGACGGGGGTCCTGGCGTTGACTTGGGTGACGCTGCCGGCGGCGACGACGGTGACGGTTGTGGCGGCGGAACCAATGGCAATGGGGTTTATGCCGGCGGCAGCGGCAGCCTCAATAATGGCGATGACCGTCGCTGCGGCGATGGCAGTGACGGTATCAGTAGCGGCGTTCAGCTCATCTCGTCATCACATTTTTGCAAGCGTCGTAGCGTCCACTGGCGCCTGGAGGAGCAGTTGGCGGCAGTTGCGCGGTGGGAGCAGGTAAGGGTACGGCGGAAGTACGGCAGCATCCACTAATCTATGAGATCACGTGAGCACCGTGGGAGGGGAGTTAAGGAAAAGGCGGCCCCGCCGCGGCGTGAAACCCTCCTACATCGCGTGCTACTTCAGTAGTCCGGATCAGCCCCTCTTGCCACCACCGTGATCCCCCTCGCAACCCTCGGAAGCTAGGAAGGGGTTGGCGGGCTGGGGCCTACTGCGAGAGGGGTATCGCTGCCCTGCCCTGCCCTGCCCTGCCCTGCCCTGCCCTGCCCTGCCCTGCCCTGCCCTGCCCTGCCCTGCCCTGCCCTGCCCTGCCCTGCCCTGCCCTGCCCTGCCCTGCCCTGCCCTGCCCTGCCCTGCCCTGCCCTTGGGGGGGGAAGGGAGGGTCCTTCAGCTGTCGGTGCTGTACCTCGTCTACTGACTGGTGCGTCAGCGGGTGGTGGCTGCAGCCGTCATGGATTTGGTCTTCCGCCGTCAGTTGAGTCTGCCCTCCCCCCGGCCCAACCCGAGGCGGACAGTGACTGAACTGGACTTTTGAGAACTGTGCGACGTTTCGTTTGTGGCGGGAGAGGGGGGTTGCCTCAGGGGACTCTAGGAAGCAGGGGACCGTCGTCCAGGAGGCTGTTCGCCCTTTCACGCCGCCGCTGACCGGGCCGGGCCTATGGGGGCCTGTGCCGCCACACGTACGTTGTATGTTGTATGTATGTTTTTGTGTCGTCGCGTTCAGGAGCAGGACGAGCGCTCCAGGTGGGCTGGCCCAGCCGCCGCCTCCTCCCCAGCCTCCGTCGCCACATCCGCAAGCGCACGAGCAGCAGCTGCGTTGCCACGTATTCCCGCCGTGGAGGTTGGCTGCCTAGCGGGCGGTGCCGGAGACGGCGGAGGCCGCGGCAGAGGTGGTGGCATACACGACGGCGGTAGTGAAGCCACCGGCACGAGCTCCACCCGCTGGGCTCACCCCTGCCCTTGGCCGGCGGATTGCGTCCTCGCGGTGCCGCTTCTACGGCAGTACGGCAGTGCAGTACACCTGGCCGCCGCCAACGCCGCCTTTGCGGGCGCAGGGCCCCTGGGACCGGATACCCTCGCGGCTAGAGGCGGGGCGATGAGTGTTCTTGACGGTAGTGCTGGCGCTGGGGGGAGCGGGTGGGGGCCTGTCGGCGCTGAATCCCTTGTCAAGGCCAGCGGCGGCGGCGGCGGCAGTACCGCTGCCGGCGACAATTGCTCCATCAGTACGACAGGATGTCGTACCGTCCTGATCCCAACGCATCGGGTGATCTTGGCGGCTGGGAGTGAATACTTTGCGGCGGCACTGTCCGCAGACCGGTGGGGGGCCGGCGGTGGAGAGGGTGACGGCGGCGGCGGTGACGTATACCTGCGGCCTGCCGCCGCCATCCCTGCGGCCGCCAGGAACAGCACCCATGGCGGCGGCGGTGGCAGCGGCGCCTCGGCAGCCGCTGTGGCGTTGCGCGTCAGGCTGCTTAGAGTTCCGGGCTGCGATGCCGACACCGTCGTTGCCGTACTCCACTACTTGCACCACCGGCGGGAGCTGCGGTGCTGCGGCCCCGTGCAGCCTCTTCCTCCCCTCCTCCCTCCTGCTCCACACACGCCAACACTAGCAGCAGCAGCAGCAGCAGCCGCGGGCGGCCTCGCCTCCCCATTTGGTGCAGCGCCTCCGCACCTTGGCGGCGGGGTAACTGCGATGATGACGTCAACGGGTGCTGTAGTACGAGCAGGTCTACGGCCGCTGCCTTTGGTGGAGTGCGAGTGGGCGCCCCTGGAGGGGGGACCGCCGGCGGGGCAGCGGCGGCAGCAGCAGCAGCAGCGGCGGGCTGGGGCTCCGGCGGCGCCATCCCCGCTGCTGCTCGGGGCCGGGGGCGACCCCGGCTGTGGACGGTGTTGGGAGCTTCGGCTGTGTGTGCGAGTGTTGACGGTGGGCTTGCTGTGGGAATATATTGGTGATTGGGTTTGTGGGAACGCAGGGCGGGTTATGGCCGGGCTGGGTTTGTTGGGCTGCTGGCTTCTTTACACTTTAGGCTACTACTCTGTCTCGCCATCGACTGGCTGATCTGGGGATCTCAGAGGACCTTTCGCCAGGACTGCAATTCGATTGCACTCGATTGACTTGAGCGATCAGCTTTTGATGTCAGATGTTGTCCGCTGTGTTGTCAGTTTGGTCCGAACATCATGCGGTTGCTTTTGCTTGTGTGCTTGAACTGTCTTTCCTCTCCTTAACAATTGACGATGTCTCCATTGTGATTGTGATTGTGATCCTTCCGAAATGGATGCGTTTAGCAACTCGTTATGTTGCCGTCACAGGCCTTACGTGGGACCTGTAGCTTATAAACGATACGTCGTACTGCCGGCTGCCCGTACACCCTTTTACAGGCCTGTAACGCGCTGCTGCTGCCCGACTTGGAGACGAGGGTGACTCACCACGTGATGCACCTGCTGCTGATGGCCGGGCAACAGACCAACAACAACAAACAAGAGCACCACCACCACCACCACCACCGCCGCCGCCGCCAGCACCAGCGCCGCTACAAGGGCGATGGCGAAGTAGACCAAGCCCTCAGCGGCACCGCCCAAGGCGGCCGGACGCCAACCCCTCCAGGGTCGTGCGCTGCAACCCGCCCAACTGCTAAGAAGAAACATCCCAAGGTCCCGCCATGTCCTGCTAGAACAGCAGCGGCGGCGGAGGCCGAGGTGGAGGCGCCAGGCCCGAGTCCCCACCAGGCTGCAGACGGCCACGGCGGTGCCGGCGGCAGCGGTGGCGGACTGAGTGTTGGCTGCTTGTTGACCGCGGTTCGTGACGGGGCGGTGTTGCAGCTGCCCTGGCTGATATCGGCAGCCGTGGAGGCTCTCACACAGCGATACAGTGAGTGGGGGATGGGAAGGGGCTGGTTAGGGTTATAGGCATAAGCGGCGTAAGCGCACGGGGAGGAGGAGGTGGGGGGGGGACCCCCACTACCTCACCTAATAGCTCTGGCCCGCCTAGTGGAGCCTCCTTCCGCTCCCTTTTCTGTCGCAGGACAGGCGCATAGGACTCTTTACACACACACGTGCTTGGTGTAGTAGGAGACCCTAGCGAGTTTTGTGGTGTGGTGTGGTGTGGTGTGTCGTCCATCCATTGACTTGCCATCCTTGTCCAGGTTCATCTGAGGCTCAGCAGGCGGAGGAGTGGGGGGATCTTCCGGAGGGGCTGCAGCGGGCGGCACTGGACAGCTGGGCCAGGAAGGCGCGGGCCGCCGCTGCCGGCGCTGGAAGCCGGAGTAGTGGTGCGGGTATGGGCGCGGCCGGTGCGCCGGCGGCGGATGCAGCAGGGACAAGAGCAGCGTCGGGGCAGTGCCAGCGGGGCGCCGCATCGGGTGATGGGGAGGGCAGCAACAGTGGTGGGCTGCAGGGGGTGATTCGGAGGCTCACGGAAGTGATTGGCGGCGGGGCTGTCGCTGACGCTGGCGCTGACCGGCGGATGCCATCGAGGGGGTGACGTAGCGGGGAGCGGAGGAGAGGGGAGGCAGCCGTCAACGACTATCTTCAGCTTATGTTGCTTAACACTAATGTCTCGCCGGCACGGGTGCCTCTGCCATCCGCTCCAACGCTTCGCCACCCACACATGTAAGGACTGCCTGGTCAACCTACGGGATTAGCATTCCAGGCGGGGCTAATCCTGGAGTGCGCTTTTCGATCACACGACCCAAATGGTGTGCGTGCAGCGTAGTGTGACGTAGGCTTCTTGCATATGCCACCTAGCCAGTGGCAAGTGCTGTCGGCTGCAGGAGCAAGTCACTAGCGGATCTTTTGCAGAGCGCAGTCAGTTTTGCAAAAAGGCAAATCTCAATCGCGGACTGTTCTCAGTTGCATGACTAGTTATGCAGAAATAGAGAACCGGCTCGAGTAGGCCCGGGGCAACCTAAAGAACATGGGAGAGCTGCTACAGGAGACTGTATGGAGGGCGATTATGGGCATTGAGAGAACCAACGCGGGCCAGCACACGTACTGGATTTTTTGCATTCCGAAACGCAGTCCTGTGCCCATTATGTATGACAAGGATGGCAAGGATGGCAAGGACGCGCAAATGCAAGTCACTATTGAAAAGGAGCGGCGAGCGCGCGTGACGCGTCAAGTTAGCCTCGAAAGTCCAAGCGGAAGGACTGGCTCCCAGGGGGGTCAATAATGTTAAGGTAATTAACGCCCTCCTGGCGGAGGAAGCAACGTGCAGCTGTAGATCGTGCTTTGCGTTACCTGTACGCTTGCAAGGCAAGAAAAGTACGAGGTGAGGTCCTACAGGCGGCAACGGAGCTTGCGGGGCTGTCCTTCCGCGCTCTATGAATTTGCACCAGTAGGCTTTCCAGCTTAGTCGCATCAAAGGACACCACAATGCTGCGCATGTCTACATCCGAAGGGAACCCATTTGCTTGCCTTAGCGGCTCGTAAGCAGGACATTCCATCAGCACGTGCAGCTCGTGTTCTACTGGGCCCCGCCACAAACCCGACATGTTCGTTCCTCCCGTGGCTTACGACCCGGTTGGCGTGCGAACCGTGTCACGTGGTGCATGCTGTGTACGCCGTACAATGACCGTTAGCGGTTGACTACTGGCTAGGTGTCTCGTTAGTGCACATGTAACATTAGCAAATGGAAAGCGTTGGTGTAGGTTACGCGCATAGGCGCAAGTCTTTTTTCCTTTTGTGTTTTTTTCCACAATAAACCTTGCCCTGGTCACGTAGAAATGAGACGAATAGGCACGCTGTTCTGTGTCTTCCTTTTAGCGACGAATTCCGGTGCCGTTAACTATGTTTTCGATGAACTTCTATTTAGCAAAGACACGTGGGCTGATTGGAAGCTCGAGAACCCTTTAGCAGACATGAACCCTTCTGACCTTCTACCAAAGGCCAAGGAGAGATTTTCCGGCTACGATGAAGCCGATTTTAACAGTCTCGATGGACCAAAGTCTCGCTTGCCCCCCGGCCACAAGACAGCGTACGTGGGCCAGGGTACAGAGGACAGTTTGAAAGCTGCCCTGGACAGGTTGTAGTATTTAACACTTAAGGTGATCAATGCTTTGGTTTTTGCAGGATCACCGGAGATGGTCCGGATGTAGACCCACTGGACGATGAGAACTTGGTGGAGCCTGCAGCCAAAGCGGCCCAATGCTCTACCTGTCATGGTGAGTAAAAGCGTTTATTGATGCATAAATTAAATAAAGGAAACCCCACGCTTGGCAATGTCGTTTAGCTTGGGGCAAGTGAAATAAGCTTTTTGGTCTTGCGTTTTTAAAGAAGTCATACCATTATCCAAGGGGGTCAAAAACGCATGCTGGCTGCTGCTTACGCCGGGTCGGCTGGTGCCGTGTCATATTATTACCCTGACTGCGCCCCAACTACCAGCAGCCCCAAACCCCGCGAACTACCAGCAGCTTGCGAGGTTGAAACACCGTGTAACTTGCTGTCAGCCACAAAGATATAATAGCACTGTGATTATAATCCCACTGTGATCCCATTTCTGCCGACACTGCGGCTCCGCTGCCGAATTGCCACTGCACGGCACGTACTTGACCCTGATTTCCGTCTCCCCTTCTCTACGGGGGAGCTGTCCCAGCTTCCCTTGCCTTCCAGCACCGCACCGCACCCTGACACTTTCCCCCATTCTGCCCCTATTGGCCACCTCGCAGTGCTGGTGGCAGTGGTGTGGCACCGTCTCATCGCTCGGCTACTCAGCGGGGAAACCCTAACACGGAACACTGTTGAGGAATTGCTGCAGGATGCATGTGAAAAGGACGTGAGTGATGTGCCGTACACAGCGCGCCGATGCCGTACATAATTTATGCTAGCTGCCGTACTGGTACTGGGCCGAAGGAGCCGGGGGGGGGGTGAAGTTGCGGATGGTGTTGGGGGGCCGGGCGGCGTGGATGTGTGTGCCTACGCTCATACACATGCTCATATACACGCACACGCACACGCATGTATATATGCACGTCATGGGTTAAGCCTGGCTTTCGCTGCGAGCAGCTTCGACAACACACACGCAAACGGTCAGCCCAAGTCCCAACCCTACGCGTATGGTTGCACCCACCCGCGGACACCCCCTGCTTGCAGGCTGTGGATGTGATGCTCCGCAAGCACACCATCCTCAAAATGGAGAGCGGCGGGGGAGCGGGCTCGCTCACCTTCTTTGTGGTGAGGGAGCGGAAGGACGGCGGCAGGGGCCCGGCTGCCACGGAGGCGGAGGAGGGCGCGGTGGAGCTGTCGTGCAAGGTAGGTCAGGGGCTGGGGGGGCCCGGGGCGTCCATGAGGGCCCGGTGGCCTGAACTGATACCTGGTGTGATGCATACAGCTAGCGGTGAGGGGTGGGCTGGGCTGGCGTGGGCTGGGGCTGGGTGGCAGGGTTTGGGCTGGTTGGCAGACAAGGCGGCAACTGGCTGGGTGGCGGCCCACGCACACGATGTAGACAACCCGTGTCAAACGTTACGTGCTTTAAGCCGCGTAGGTAGCCGTGCATGTGGTGGTGGGATGAGTGGGCGGGGCGGGGGGGGGTCCGGAAAGCGGAGCTGCTACGCGGTGAACCGCCCGTATGCGACTGCTAATGCCGCTGTCTGCTAGCCAAAGTTTGTAGCAGCGACCTTCACGCTGTGTGCTGCTGCCCCTGGTGTGTGTGTGTGCGTGTGTTGTGTTGGCCAGGGCTTGGTTGAGGAGCACGGCAGCGACTTGACCGATGTGATCATAACGCAACTGGCCAACTACCGGAGAGAGGTGAGCGGGTGGGGGGAGAGAGGGGGGGAGAAGGTGAGCCGGGCAAGAGGGGCGAATGACGAACCACGTGAACGAGTGAAGCTGATGCCACGGAGGATAGACGCCAGAAGTATGTAAGAAGTAACTGACCAGTCGCGGCATGTGAAGGAGGGGGAGGAGTCTTCGCGGATATGTAGCTATGGCGATAGCGGAAAACTACCTACCTAGCCGCCAAGACTAAACTAAAACGCGGCAACAAAGCACAAAACCGTCCGTATTTATTCTAGAAGTAAGTGTAAAGGCGGCGAAGAGCAAAAAGTACCGTAAGCTGACGTAAGTTGAAACAAAATGAGCTGACGCAAGAGTGGGCGGAGGATGTGAGCTGGGTGGGGTGGGCGGAGGAGGCGCGCAGGTGGGGTGGGCGGAGGAGGTGAGCTGGGTGGGTGGGCAGGCAGTGTTGGCAGTGTTGCTGCCAAGTATTCGCCAACTGCCAACCCGGGACACGGGACCAACCATTCAACCGTAAGTAACGGCCTCCACAAACGGCCAACGGCCTCAGGCGCTGCGGCTGCTGGTCAAACACGACCGCGACGGCGGCAACACGCAAGACGAGCCCGTCACGGCGACGGACACCGAAGCAACGGCGCCGGCGCCTTCGGCAGCGACCAGCGGCAGCGGCAGCAGGGGCCAGCTGCCTCGTCTAGGCGGCGGTGGCCGCGGCGCAGCCGGCGCCGATGACGACGATGACTACGTCGATCCGGATGACCTGGATGAGAAAGGGGAGGTCTTGCCGGGAGCTCGCGGCTCCAAGGGGGGGGTGCAGCAGCAGCAGCAGCCCGCCAAGACTGCTGCCGCGTTGCCCCTTCGGGTGCGGGGCCTGGTCATCAAGGGTGAGGACCGAGGATGCGTGTATGTATGTGTGTGTGGGGGGGGTGGGAGTTTAGTTAGTTGGGGTCTAAAAGGGGATTTGCTTGCTTGAGGGGGGGGGGCCTACTCGGCACGGTACTGTGCCGTTCCTTGCTGGTGTGTTTTTCCAGTTGCTGTGTGTATAGTAGCATCGCAAGGGCCATGGCCATGGCAATACATATCGTGTCGCGTCAGTCCTCTGAGGAAAGACTCCTCTTTGCCATCTCTCCCCCCCAGCCACCGCCTCTCCGGGACCACCTTTCCCAACTTGCCGCCTTACCCACCTCGCACACCCCTCCCCCTTCCGATTTCCCCTTCACAGGGCGAAAAGGGAAAGTGCTATTTACGGCATTACGGCTATTTTTCTGCGCGCTCTTGGCCTCATCTAGGTTTTCTAGCCTTGGGCGCCATGCATGTAACTTCCCTTCGCCTCTGCTTCCGGAATTGCTGACCTCCGTTCCTTTCGTTCCCGCGTGCATTGATGGGCCTCTGGGATGTCGCCGTTGCTACCGCTCGTTACATACATACGTGACAACAAAGGTAAGTCGTTTCGGTAGAGCTGCACACCTTGCATTGCGTAGCTTCGCGAGAGCGCTTTGCGCATCCCGCGCACTCACGCATGGCGGTAGCGGTAGCGGTATGATTTTAGCCAGGCACGGTCGGTTTACACAATTTCTTTTCTTACGGGGTTACCACTGCTAGCACTACTAGCACGGCACGGCACGTCTTCGGCACCGCAACACACTCTTTGACACAACAACGCTGGGGACATCAATGCTCTGATCCGGACACGGTTTGGTACCAAGAATGTCGGTAGTGAAGTTCACAGAGCTGCGTCGCACCATCATGGCGCCGTCGAACTCCTCCTCCAGCAGCGACCCTGTTTGGCACAACTTTGGACGTCAGCCGGCAGTGGTGGTTTCCTTTGATGTGCTTTCCAACGATTAACTCCCTCTGCCCTCCGCATTCACGCCCCTCATCCGCACCCGCATCCGCACCCAGTCAATCCTGACGAGCCCCGGTGTGAGGACCAGCACCACCTGTGCTCCAGTTGGGCGGCTGCGGGGGAGTGCAGCAAGAACCCCAACTACATGATCGGCACGGACAAGCACGGGGGCTCCTGCAGGAAGGTGCGGTGCGGGGGCAGTAGAGTGGGGGGGGGGGCCCAGGACAGGTTCGCGGGAGGGGGAGGGGGAGGTTCGCGGCGGTCAGGAACTGCAGTTATAGTTACACTTGAAATTTCAGTTAATCTGTGTTTCGAGGACATTTTTGAAGGTTATTGTGTTCCTTTCGCACTTCCTTGAGCTTGGAGTATTTTCCATAACCTCACGCTTTTGTACTGACTGAACACTAGGTACAAGAAATACAGGCTACATGGAAAATAACCTTCGGACCTTAAATCTAGTCCACCTACGATTTCAGATAGGTCATCAAGATTTTCTCATGCCTTACGTCAAGTCAATGACACCATTTCTTCCCTTCGCCCCACCATGCCCCCTTGTCCCCGCCCCATTTCCCTTCCCCCCGTCCTACCCCCCCAGTCATGCGGCGTGTGCCACCCGGATGACCTGCTGTCCTCCAGCCCCAAGTTGTCCGCCGAGCTGGACTCGGTTTCCTCGGCCCTGCTGCTGGCCGTCAAGAACCTGGGTTGCGGGGCGGGGGGCCCGTGCCTGAGCGGGGTCAGTGGGATGGCCATGGGGTCCGGACTGCTCAAGCAGCACACAGCGGCGTACAAGATGGCGACGACGCAAGTGGTGACGTCTGAGGGGTTGGAGGGCGGTCGGAAGGAGCTGCCGCCGGGGATGAAGGAGTTCCCGGGTACGAGGCGTGGATTGGATTGGGGGAGGGGGCGGGGAGAGGGGAGGAGGGAGGGAGGGGAGGAGGTGAAGGGAGCTTGGCGAGGCGGAATGAGTAGTGAAGGGAGCCTTAGGGTGTCCGGGACTTTCGTTACAAGGGGGGGTGTGTGGCGCCGCTGGAAGGAGAGGGTTCTCATGGAACGAGGCCGGGGCTGCTGCTGCTGCTGCTGTGATGACTTCGTGATAATGGGGGCCCCTCATGGGGGAGAGGGGCGGAGGGATCAGGGTTGGGCCGTACAAGCTAGGACGGCGTTGTGTCGCAAGACATGAGCGTCAACTTCGGTAATGGGGATGCTCACTGCGCCCTCCCCTTTGGTTCGCGTCTTGGGCCGCATCGCCAATGTCCATTCTCCGTAGCTCTCCTCCGCCCCTCCCCATTCAACCCCCTTCCTTTTTGCATGTGTGCCTCCCCCTAACCCTAACCCTAGCCTCCTCCCCCTACCCCTCCCCGCTTCCAGGTGGCTTCATCCTGGGTAAGCCCTGGTGGGGCCGACCCGAGATCCAGTCCGTACCCCCCGCGCTGAGGAAATCACCGCCCGTGTCACCAGACTCGTCTGGCACCGACACGGGGCCCTCTGGATCTGGATCTGGATCCAGCTCCGGGGGGTCCAACCTGGCTCCCCCCAGTCACGGCGAGGTGGACCGTGTGCTGGCTCCCGCCCTGGCGCACCGGGTGATGTCCATTCCCTCCGACTTCTTCATCTACGAGTACCTGTATAAGAACCACACCCGGCACTACCACGAGACTCCAAACGGGGATGTCACAGGTAGGGCGTGTGTGTGTGGGGGGGGGGGAGATTGGAGGGGCCGTCGGGTGTGTGTGTGTGTGTGGGGGGGGAGATTGGAGGGGCCGTCGGGTGTGTGTGTATGTGTAGGCAAAGCTTTCTGGCGCGTGTGACTTTAGCGATGTATGGCCGCGAGTATTGCTTGCTTGTCAGGGGCCCTTCCTCCCCCCCAAGGATGGACTTTCCCGGCAGGGGCGGGAACGGGTTTCACCCAATGTAGGGCCGTTTCATCCCCAGTGCCAAAGAGTCCAGCCACACACACCCAGGCCCCACTTCCCCTGGACGTTTCCAGTTCTGGTCGTGCTGTAAACATCCTCCTTTTTTGCATATGCTTTTTGCACGTCCACGTATCCCCTTTCTATGCTAAGCAATGCGCTTTGCACTTCTGCATGCAGATTTCCCCCCTCTCCCCTCCACCTCCTCGTCCTGCTTCCCACATCCCACCTACAGTTAATATCGTACTTTCTTGGTTCGTTATGCATTCCCCTCCTTCCCTCCCCTTCTCCCCCTGCGCCCCATGCAAAACACACACACGCAGAGGACTGGCTGCTGGGTCGCTTCACCCGGGAGAGCGTGTCCCTCATGAGCTCCAACACGGGGGAGGTGGCGGGACTGGAGGTGGGGTGGGGGGCCTGGCGGAGGGCAGGCCTTGTGGGGAACGGCGCCGAAATTGGGGGTCTTAGGTGGCTGTGTGGGCAAAGGTGCCTTGGATGACCGGGTGTCTGGGGAACCTCTTCTCCTGTGAGCAATCCCTGTTGGGGGGAAAGAGAGATGGGAGGCGGAAATAGGACAGGAAGGACTGGGCAGACGAGAAGGAAAGGGGTGGATACGGCAAGAAGGACGTCAAAGTATATGGGGAATTGGATCGGAAAGGGTACGGGAGGCCGATTCTAAGGACGGCAAATACGTGCTGGAAAACGGCAGATGCCGCAAGAAAGCGCCGAGAGGCAACGTCACTTGCGTTCATGTGTGTGTGTGTGTATGGCCGTCACACGCTCGCTCCTCCTACGCGTTCTTCCCCGCCTCCTCCTCCTCCTCCCCCTCCCGGAAGGCGTTCCTGGACAGCGCTCTGGACGACTTGACCAGGCCGCCTCATTGCGGTTATGTTGCCTGCGCAATGATCCAACGAACCCCGCCATCGCCACCCACCACCCAGCCCTGCGCCCTCTCTCTCCCTGACATGCTTCCCCCCCCCCAGGAGCTGGACCTGCTCCCAGGCAGCAGCCACGCTGAGCTGCTTAAATCTAACACCTGGCCCTACGTCAAACAAGTCTACGCGGGCGGTGAGTTGCGCGACGTAGCGAGAAGAAGGGAGTGGGACGGGGGAGATTCGGGGCGGAGTTCGGGGAGAATAGAAGTGCTTGGCTCAAGTTGGGAGACGCGCGGGGCCTTTGTTTTGCGAGGCGGGGACAGGGCAGGATGCTAGGTAGGGATTACACGGGGTGAACCGCTGGGTTGACTCCTATCCTCTCAGGGCAGTGCGTGCTCCTTTGAGCCACAGCAGGCAGTGGGGTATCCTGGCGCGATGTGGGGGGATGGGTGGGGGATGGGTGGGGGAAAGAGACACAACAGCTCGCCGTGACCTGGTCAGCTGGAAACGGGCCCCCCTGCGAATAGGGCCCCACTAGTGCCACCCGTTGTCACTAGTGGCAACCCTACCACTGAAGGCGAGGAGAGTTGGACAACGGCTGGGCGCGGGTAACACTTGGTTTAGCTGTAGCTCTAACTTGTAGTTTTGATTGTAGGTGGGTGTAGCTGAAGCCGCAGCCCCACCGACTCGAATCGAAGAGAATGTTTTCCCGCACGATCAGCCACGAACACCCAGCGCCTCCTGTAACCCGCACTCACACCCTCGAGGTTTCTGCCTCCAACCGCCCAGTGTGAGTGACCGACCCTTCCTGGGAACCCATTTTCCACTCCGCACTTGCATAACGCCTGGGCTCGGTTGCCTTTTCCTTACCCACACGGCACATGCGCACACCGCAGGAGACGAGTGTGTGCTGGCGGGCGGGCGCCGAGTGGTTCGTCGAGTGGAGGCTCGCATTGCCTGCTCCCCCGATAAGCACATCTACATGCTGGTCCGAGAACCCGACTTCTGCACCTACACTTTCGTTATTTTCACACCACAGCTGTGTGAGCTTGACTACTACAAGCCCCGACCCAAAGCCACGGCCGGCGGCTACAGCAAGTCAGCGAGTGTAGCTGGGGCCGGTGGTGGCAGTGGTACGGAAGAGGGCGCTAGCGACGGCGGGCGAAAGCGACGGCGGATGGCTGGCGGCGGCAGGACATAGGCTGGTTGAGAGACGTGTGCGTTGTTACGGTTGAGGGCCCGATTGGGGTCGTGGAGGTCAGTGACATGGAGCGGATAAGGCATGCAGCATGCGGGAAAAATATATAGAGGACGAATAGAGGACGAGAGAGCCACTGAATAAAAGTAACTCCTTCCCTGGCCGCCCATGCCCTGCTGCGGGCCAGGGCCCAGATATGTCATCATTCTCCGTGGTTGAGTCATTCTTCCCATTCTCTCAGTTTGTTGAGGCCGCGGCCAAATTCGCTGGAGGCCCATGGCCCGCGTTTCCGCGGGTTTGAAGAGCGAGGATCGAAGGTGGAGAGGGGGCTGCGAGGGTCGCACTTATCCGCCTGCCCCGATTGGGTTGTGCAGGCTGAGCGGTAGAGTAGAGCCTCCTCCTCGGACCTGCCGGGCAGAGTCATGGTCGTGGGGCTGTGCGAGAGGGTTTTTGAACGATCGGATTAACGGTGAGAGAGTTGGCGATGTACGGATCGGGGGGATGAAAGGTGGGTGCGGCTACATGTGTCTAGGTTCATGTGGCGGTGCGCAGGTGTCCTGTGATCAACGAATGACCGATAAGTCTGTGCCACGAAGTACGGTGTTGCGTGAATGTTGGGGTGACTGTAGCGTAGGATGGAGAAACGTTTTCATGCGATAGAAACCGGGACGACCAACAAAACTATTTGCTCTTTTTAGGGAATACGAGCCGTGCTGTGAGACTGTTGTGATGCGCTCATCGTAAGGGTGTCAGTGATACGGCTCAAAGTGGGCGTGCACCCGCCGGAATTCCGGCTAAGTGGCGTCAAGGTCACGATGCCGGGTCTGCTCCTCAACCGCTACCTAGGATACCATCCATGTATTTACAACGCCCTGAGCAATGAGACCCAACGAAATCTCCCCCCCCCTCGAGGCATCTATCTGCGGTGGCAACCATATAAGATTTATAAGCTCCACCGGGGTCATCATGACCAATACCCGCCAACAGTGTTTAACGTTCGGTGCTTGCGGACCTCCTGGCCGCATGCATCTGCTCAGCCAAGAGGCTGCAGCGCAAAGGGGCTTCGCTTTTGAGCCTTAAAAGAGGACACCATGTAGTTATAGTCACACGGGTGCCTCAAAGAGAGGTGGTCCTCCATCGCCTGCAGGATTGCTTGTAGACTTGAAAAGCTTTTCCAAGCCTGCAGGCAAGCGGTCTAGTAAGCGTCGCACCTTCCAGTACTCGGAGCCACTTGATGCGCACACCAGCAGGGCGGTCAGATCCCGGGGCCCCCAGCTGCGCCAGGCATCGCTCCAGCAGCAGCCCATCCGGTAGTATAACGCCGGGCATGGGCGGTGTAGGGGCCATCTGAAGGCCCCTTCGGCCCTTCACACTTGCCCCAGGTCTGTGCAAAGGTGGGTGAGGGCGTGTAGTCGAGCAGCGAGCCATCCTTGGCTAAAAGTACACAGTCCTGTAAGAGCACAAAGCCTGGAGCAGCACGCAGACACCCACTTGGTTGGTCGTATGCCGGGTGTGACGACAGTTTGGCATTTAGGGCGCGTCAGAGGGCAAGACTGTTATGTAGTTCATCAGGACTGCGCATGCTGTAGCTGGCCAGGCTGCTCTTGCTGCTGGCCTCAGCTCCTGCACACACCGCTGCCACTGTCTGCGCCTCCACCCGTCCAGCCGCAGTGCAGCCATCAGCATCTAAAGCTGCTCCTCTGATGAGAGTGGCTGCTCTCTGTTGATTTCCTGCCGTACTCCGCTGCGGCAATGGTTTCCTTGTCAAACTGTTTCCCTCATCCCCGACCTGTACAGGTGCACTACTGGACCCCGCCTTGTGCCTGTCCATTGTTGGGCCCCCAGTGGCCCGGCTGGGCCTTCCCTGGACCTTGCCCCTGGTCCGTCGGCACAAGCTGTCCTGCAAGCTGCCGTGCACGCTCCTGCTCCGCCCGATGGCGACGCAGCAGTAGCAGCAGCTCTGTCCGCACGCACTTGTAGCCATCCTCCAGAGCGTCCAATGTCACGGCTAACTTCCCCCGAACCTGCAGCTTCCCCGCCACACAACCCCGTTCATTAGACAACCTTCCGGACAACCTTCTGCCGTGAAGCCCCACCGTTCACTGGAGTGATGACCCAGCTCTTGAACGCGGGAGCTGCAGGTGTTAGCATGTAACGGTAATGACAGGTGGCAGAAGACGCCGCCACCGGTCTGACAAGCCGGCATTGCCCACCAGCCTATTCACCTCTGAGGACCCCCAAAGCCGAGAAGGTGGGACCCAGCATTGGCGGCCCACTTGGCCCACTTGCCGCTCCACCATCCGCCACTCCTTGCCTCGCCATGTGGAGCTCTGATGTGAAGCGCAGACGTGGTGTACGAAGCAGTACATAGCCGAGTTTGACGCGGTGATATTGAATGGCAGGTAAAGCAGTTGCAATAATGACACGGCGCTGTCGAGTGAGGAAAGATTACCGGTAATATGTTTACACTGATTTGTATGACAATCTCAAGGAATGGAAGAGTTCAGGATGCATTTTGTACCAGTTCTACTGATGCAAAATCGATAAAAGTTGTGATTGCAGCCAGCTCTAGAACTCTAAGCACCCATGCAAGTACCTTGCATTAGCACTTCTCGCTTTTCATCGGTTTCTCCACACATTTTCCACATGCCTTACGCTCCCCCTCACACGGCAAAAACGTGCATCCATTACCTCTCACTCGCCACACCGAGCAATCTTCGCACCGACCCTCCACGTACCAACCCGCAGCTCCACAGCTGCAGCAAGGTTCCAGGCACCAACCAACAACCAATGCGGGCAATTATTTTTTTGTGGTGAAGGGCAGAGGTGCAACTTACAAGACGATAACAATAAAAGTGGCAAAAACAGATCGTCACCAGGGGTTCGCACGTGGTCCCCCACCGTACTACTGATCTGGCCCAATGTTGCTTATGTGCCCAGTGCTGATGGGATGGGCAGTGTTCAACATGGTATGAACGATCCATGACACTGCAATGATCCTATTATAATATATACTTGCACGACGGTCTCACTTTCCTATGTACCTTAAATCTTTTCTTTGTACATTACTCTCTAATTGTAAACGCCAATCATCAAGCAATAACGTATAAACATTTTGCCTGTAATCTTTTAGCAGGCAATAACCTACGCATACGAACCATACATATCGCATGAGCCTGACTATCCATTGGCTTATGCATCACCTAGGAGGACATACACAGCAAATATTAAGATGTAACTATCGTACTTAAAGCAAGAACAAAAAATAGGTACGACCTTCTCGTACTTGAAACATTCAGCCATTTGCGAGGGCTTTGTAGAAGAATTAGAAGAACTGTATCTATTTCTTACAGAAATGGAGTCGAAGGCCTGCTCGTCTGTCGCTGGCCGTGGCCCCCAGGAGGGCCCGTTCACGCTGGTTCACGGGCCGCATTCATCATGTAAGTCATTCACAGAATGACCGCGTAGATGCTGCTTCTTCGGCTTCACAACATTTTCACAACATTTTCCCAACCATCAGGTCTGTTATATGCCGCTTGCCTTTATGGGACGACTCTCTTATTTTCAGCATACAAGTTCACCCTCACTAGTGGCATGTACCACAGCCAAAACAACCATAAATACTTCTGGATGTAACTAACTCTTGACCAAACAATACTATCTAGCTATCTAGCAATGTAGTATGTAATGGCCTAAAACTTACTTCAATTGTTTACAAGAACTGCCACCGTCTTACAAGACTTATTAGGTGTGCTCTGAGCACTAATAGTGCTGATAACTGATGAACTGATAACTGGCTGCCAACTGACAACAATCACGTCGGACAAGGAAAGTGAGCCTAAATTTTGTGTGTGCTACAAAAACAACACGCCAGCCAGGCAACGCCACTGACTTGGCCATTCCTGGGTGTTGGGTGCTTGCTGGGCCCTCAGTGCTGCTCATCAGGACACAATTGAGGATGTGTGCGCACATGCAGCTACATAAGTTATGAGGATGTCATGAGACGGGATGAGGTCAGCCGAACGTAACCTTATGTGCACAGTCTGTACAACATCTCCGTTCGCATGCTGACCTTGTACAGCCTTTAAAGGCCATAGGTGGGGAAGATGCCTCGCCAGCCGGCATCGACCGCAGCCACATCGGCCACCCTCGCAGCCGCGGAAGCAGCAGCAGCAGCAGCAGTAGCCCATTCACCGATCTTCCGCTGCAACTCCTGCGCTGGGGCGGGAATGGTCTCCCATCATGCCCCTGGCACGGAGCTCCTCATCAAGGAAGACGAAACGGGTAATGGAGGGGTAACGGTGGTGTAGGTAGGGACTTGCCCACACCGGGGGGCCCGATCAGCAAAACCACGCCAACCGCTCTTTGGGACGCCCATTTCCGCGGTGTTTGGTAGCCCGAAGAGGGTAGCGCAGCAAGATTTGAATTCTTGGTAGCTCAGGTGACAAGACGAGAGTGGTTACTTCTATATTTCCCGCAGCGCGCGCTCAAGTCAGGGGTTTGGAGCCACCGCCTTTGCGTCCAGACTGCTAACACGATGTCAGGCCCTGGCCCTGGGCTGCTGCCTCCAATCCGGCGGGCTCACCTAGATTGTCTACCAACGCGCGCTCCATACCGTCGGCACATGCTTCATTCCTACATACGTGCACTTAAAGAGCCGGCATCGCCCTCCCCCTTTCCCCTGCTGCGTAGTAAGCCCTCCTTTCCACTCTGCAACCACTGACTTCGTCAGCACCAGCACAAGCCGCAGCAGCAGCCTACCTAAGCTGAGGACGGCAGGCCGAGCATCTCAGCCACTGCCTCCGCAGCCGCAGCGCCACTCGCAGCAGCCTGCTCCAATCCAGGCCCCTGGCAGAAGTCCCCACATGCAACCCAACGGCTATCCGCGTCCCATACCGCCGCTGTGCCCAGGGGTGTGGTGGTGTAGCAGCTGCCCCAGCGGTGGGATGTGATGAACGATGGCGGCGGGAGCGGGGTGGAGCCTGACCAGGACGTGCCAGGGGTGTGTGTGGGGGGGGTGGGGGAGGTAGGAGTTCAGGTGCAGGATGGAAAACCGGTAAGAGGGTTCTAAGGGGGCCTGAGGGATGGCGGGCGGAGGAGGAGCTGCAGTGTGTATAGGGAGAGGTGTAACAGTCGTAAACGACGATGCACGGATTTGGGTTCTGAGTAATCCCCCATCGAGCAGAAATAAAGCAACTAGTGGGTATAATATCAGCAGGAATGGGGGATACCAGCACGCGGATGTCAGGACGGCCAGAGGGCGGTTGAATGCGAGTAGAAAGGGGAGAGGGAAGGGCGCCAGGGCAGGTGCAGCATTAT